ACAACATACATGAAGAACTTTATGGTAAGGGACACAACGCTCCAGAGGCTGATGATAGTCGGGGTTCTAAGGTCCGATGTCGAGATTGCGTGCATGGCACATACCATATGCACAAATTGTCAAGCAAGTGGGCACTGCATTCTGGCCCATGTCAAAAATTGGTCGTGTCGAGAGTGTCGAGGTTGGCCAGAACTGCAGCAACCTTGAAGAAAAAGAAAAATGTAAAGTGCCTGGCGATGGATTGAATAGGTACCGCCGCCATCCGCTGCGAGTCACCCGCATGTTGGAACTTGCTACCCAGTCGTCTTAAAGTGGTCTCTCGCTAAAAAAGTCTGTCATAGTGGCGCTTCAGCATGCAGGTCCTTTCCCCGATCTACTAGACCGTACATGATAGATCCAGTTTGGAAATGAGATTCAACGGCGCCATACGCCCTATACACAGTAAATGATGACAAGATATAGTAATGAGCGAAAGTAGAAACAAAGAGAGTGGTTCAAAAAAAAAAAAAACACATCTCAACTCTAGTAGCAAGGACGTCTGCCAACATGTAACATCATGCGCTGGAGGTGACACATTGGGTCTCATCCATCAGTGTCTCTGCAGAGGACTTTGCTGCCGTTTCCGGCAACTTCGAAGTACGTTGTTTTGTGCTCATCGCGGACTTTTGGACGTTACCAGACATCTTGATCACTTCCATGCTTTCTTCGCCTTGTGGTCGCATCAAGTCCTTGAATAATGTCCAAGGCATGCAACAATGACAACTTCTTGAAAGTAGCATGCCCATGGTGACTAGGTTATTTGTTGCATGACATTGACCACCTCATATAGAGGGTGTGAACTGTGAAGTGTTCCTGGTTGGACATATGCGAATGGAACTTTGTGTGGTACCACAGCCGCTGGAAAAGGTCAAGTAGCGGATTTTCCAACGGCGAACCCCGCGTTCCTCGGAGAAAGCCTTCGCTTCAGTGTCCATGTGTGCCCAGGCCTGACAGGGCCCGCCTTACGCCTTTTCAGGCTCTCGGGAATAAGTATGGAAATGGGACCACGGAACAAGTTGTTGGACATCCAGGCTTCCAGTGTAAGCGGTAAGTATCTACCTAGAATAGTTTATGCCGTGACCAGCAGCACCAACGGCCGAGGTTGAGATGGATGGCACACCTTATAGGGCTGAGACTCGAAAGTCAGCATATGTAATCTATAGCTGGGATCCGAGTACAGAAAGCGTCATGGACTAATCACACAAGAACTAGGCTCAGAAACTTGTTAGGTAGGTATTGTGTGCATCATGCCTTGAAGATGCACACACGATCGACGTTCATTAACGTCAAGGAAACGTGTTGATTCAAGAGGCCTCCCATCCCACATCAGAGTGTTCCTGGTGGTTAGGTAGGGCGGACGAAAACAGTTATAAGTGTACGGTTATAAGATCGGCTGGTAGTGGGGAGAAGCCATCGGCCTTTATGCAATTTGCTTGGTTGGCGAACCCTCCGAAGTCTTGGAAAGATTTTCTTTTTTTCTCTTTTCTTTTCTTTTCTTTTCTTGTTTAGGAACCGCATTGCAACACAAGCCCTGCAAAACCTGCAACTGGCCGACCGTCATCTGCCTTACAGGGGCATAATTTCGACCGTGACGTTGACGGGAAAGGCTGCGCCCCAAAACGCCTGAAAAGGGGTCCAACGGCAACCTAAGCCAAACAGGTAGCCAGCCCGGTAAGGCTGGACGTTGTGGTATCAAACTTGACTCCCGTCATTTCCACCTTTGACCATGTCGGGATTCTTCATGCAAAGCGCCTCCAGTGCCGATCTACATGCCTTTACCGTGTAGTGTATAAATCTTGATTTCAATGATACCATCGTGTTTAGTGTGTAAACACCGGGAATAAGGACACGCCATAACTGCGCGTTGGCGGGTACCGACGATCCCGAGTGATCCGCTTTACGCCCGAGAGCCGGTCGAGTCGGGCCACCGGTTACATACGGACACGGAGAAGGACGGTACGATGAAGCGTTGGTCAGCATGTCATGTACACAGGCAGACAGGCCGTTGCTTCCGTATATGAACGGGGAGCCATCAAGCGTCCACGGCTCATTGCGGAGGCGCGGGAGCCTTTTTAAGGTGTCCAATTTCAGTCTGCCAAGGCCAGCCCTGCCAGTACCGGCCCTCCTCAAGATCGGCCGGCTATGTCGGTGAACCGAACGAGGACCAGACAGCTGTGAAACCCTTTGCCCTTTGGCATCCAGCGAGCGACTGAATTGCGCTGTTGGCGTTTCATTTCTCCGGCGCTTGTATGTCGATCAGCTTTAGTCTCGTCCTCATGTGACTGTAGACCATGAGACACAGAATGTGGGTTGTGGACTCGATGCTTGGCTTTCGACCGGCGAGGCTGGAGTCGATGGCGGTGGCAGAAGCGATCTTGACCAAGATCTGGGGGTTAGAAAATTCAATTGGGAAAGCTGTTCGTCGGCCATACTCCAGTTGCAAGTTGCAGAGGGTAAGTAATGCACATTAATCAGCAGATATTAAGAGACAGCAGCGGAGAACTCCGTGGATAAAACGGTTGAGGCTGCCATCGAGATAGGCCGCCCGGTTCTCTTACGTTACCACAGACGTAGTGTAAAAAAAGTATTCCCTTACACGTACAGTACGCATATACCGTTCCAGTGGAAGGAAATCAAACCATAAGTAACCGTAGTACTGCCAACTCTCGGCCAAGCGACAACGCTGAATCAACAAGACAAAGATGATTGGATCAACGACAGCCCTAACAGCAACAATCATTCCATCTTTTCTCTTCAGACCGCCGATCGCTGAGGCTGTACACTATGTAGTGCAAAAAGATGGACATGAAAAAGGGACCGGAAACTTTTCCGTTCGCCCAAGTTTCTGTTCCCCTACCAGATCAGATAACAGAATAAATGGTTTTACAGAATAGTACGGCTAATGGTAAACGTATCAGGGGGTAAAGAGAACCACCCAGTAGGGCAAGCGGTACTTTGCACGTAAAATGTGTATTCCGTACACTTGGCGGGGGTAAGTATCACTGTGCGAGCCTCTTAGGGCGTGCGGGATCCATTTTCCTGTGGAACCAATGCCGTAGCGAGTGCAAAGTGGAGCAGGTGCGACCAGCGAACCGAAGGAAAATGGCGCGGAAAAGGGAGTGCTTGGATGTTACGCTGGGAAAGCGCTAACAGCTGAGATGGAAACCCTGTAATGTTACGTTGGACACTCCTGTCCAGGGCTGAAAGCTGCAGACAGAGCCAACCGGGGTTTGGACTTCAGTTTGCGGCAGAAACCAAAGCGTGGGAATGCCCGCGTCAAGGGTGCGCAGATACGCCTCTGCACTCATCAGTCTGCATCTCTCTCTCCGTGCGGGGGGGATGGATACATGAATGGTGAGGATGATTCAAGGTTCAGAGACAGTAGTCCCCTCCTACCTACTACCTACCCCCTTCCTTTCCCCTCGTTTCGGCCTCTGATTCTGGCCAAGGTATCATGTCCATGCTTGACTACGACAAAGGAATCCTGACCTTGAATTGAGTCCTTGACATATCTACCTATTCGATCGTTATTGTACAGATATATGTACAACTTGGCAATTGCTTCACCGTCCCAAGCAGTCGGGTAACGCGGCCATATCGTCAGACAACTAACTACACTAGAGGTAAGTAAACGAACAGGTCATTGTCCTTTTGGCTCTACGTACCATGCCATGTCCCCAGAATCCACACCTGAACTTGCCGATTCCGCTACCATCTCTGTCCAAAGGCATTACACGTGAATACCTGCCTTACGCTAATGCATTCCGGATAATACCGCGTAATACACGCTGTATCGACCCTTAGCTCCCCTGGCAGGCCAGCTGGAACGGTCCCAGGGGCAAGGACGACTAGCCAACCAGAAGCAGCTGCCCGCAACGGCGACTGGAGCCGTCCCCAGAGGTATCCACAGCCTCTCCGTAATCCGACTTCCTTCCTCTTTATGGCCTCGGGCCTCTTCCACCGGAAACTCGTCTCCGCCAAATCTTTTTCTATGGCCCAAGTCCCCCCCTCCAGCCCAATTGAATCCTCCCGTCGCCAGTCGTCCTCCCGCTCCAGTAGCCAGCAGTCCAGAATTCAGTCGTCCATCGCTTCAGCCAGACCACCACCACGGCACCGCTTTCGTTGTGTCTCCAGCCGCCTGAGGTGCAGAATAAGTCAAGCGCGCAATAAACCTGCAGTGTCAACTATAACTGCCTGTACCGACCGTACCTTGCGCAGTCTGTTGCTGAGTGCTGTCTTGGCCGCCGCCGCCAACCTGGAACCCTACAGTCACGCTCTACCGACATATTCATACAAGGTCCAGGACCTCAGGGCGTCCACCATTCAGAGGCACGCAACCCCAAACGAGGTACCTGTCGTGCTTGGCATTACGGAGCCGACGACGACGGTCCCCAGGGCCTGCCAGGCCGCCCACCACCCGGACTATAACCACCTATATATGTATCACCAAGCACCCTGTTAGCTACACCCACCGGCTGTCTCGACGAGGTGGAGTTGGTTTTTCTGGTCTGTTTTGTCATCATCCTCAATCCAGTCCTGTCTTCCACACCAAAAGGCGATCCGATTCTTCTTGCTTTCTACCGCACCAACTGAAGGGTATTTGTCGGGAAAGCCAATCGCCCGCTACATCACGCATTCCGTTCACCACCAGCTGCATCGGCAACACCGATCCAATTCCAACAACGCCTCTTTCTTGGCCAACACTTGTCATTGTACCGCGCGCCTGTCTGGTCCAGGGCTGAGACCTTCGATTCGCGAAACGTCACATTGGATTTATACGGCTTGTTTTCCGCATTACAGCCGCATCTGCAGTTGCCTTGCATTCTCTTGCCTTGCCTTGGCTCGAGCTGGTTCGTATTTAACGGTGGCAACCACGCGGCTACATCGCCTCGTACTTCAGCTTCCCGGTTGTGGCATTAGCACTCCCTGTGCATAGTTGTGCCTATCCTCTGCCATTTGCCATGGCAGCACGGGCAGTACCAATGCAGACGCAGCCCCGTTATACCAGCGCCGCGAGGGATTTTGACGATGGGCCCCTTCCCTCTATATCAAGCCGCGATGGTGGCTTTCGGGAGCACTTTGCGAGTCGTCCCTTTGGCATCCCACTAAACGATAATCTCTCACCTTCGACCGCTTCGACCCCTATGGCGATTCACGGCTCAGAAGGGAACGGGATCAATGCGCCTCCTCCGCTACCTCCTCCACGACTTGCCCCTGTCGATGGCCCCGTCGATCCGAATGTACAACACTACAGAGACTCCGAATTCATGCGCAATGACGGTCCCAATAGCCTTGAGAGCGAATCATTCAAATTTGAACGGCGAGCGCTTCCGAGCAAACACGAAAACCCCCATGACGAGGGCTATCAGAGTTTTGATAGTGTCAGGTACTGCGATTCCTTTGCTTTTCCATGATCGTCGTTTGCCATTGCCTCGAAACTAACTTGTCTGTGACTCTTCCTAGATCATCGCAGTTATCGTCGCCCTTCGGCCTCCACGCCATGAAAGGGTTTCGTCCCAGTACCGCAGCGATCGACCAGACAATGTTGAACAGGTTAAACAAAAGCGGCGGACTCAGTAATTCCCTGAACGACGCACATAGCTCTCGTCCAAGCCACGCCAGTCTGCCACAACTTTCCCTCCCACACCGGTCAAAGCCAGGGCTTTTCACAGCGGGGTTTGCCTCGTCGCCCACTACGGCATCTTCGCTTCCCAGCCCGTTTCCCCAAACAGGTCAACCAAGCCCAGCTATTGTCGGGTTTCGCCCTACTGACGGGTTTGACAACAGCGGTTTCAACCGTGCTCCGCCACTGAGAGCGCGCAGGACAAAGAGCTCGTTGATGCTGGATGACGGCTTTCTGAATGCCGAAGACGACGAGGACAATGACTTTCCAATGGAGGAGACAACACGCATGCGGACTCTGAAGATCGAAGATTCGTGGAGGGAAAGGCACCGGGAAAACGAGAGAGAAACGGAAAGCGGGTCTTGGCAGCGAGGACACAAGACTGGGTCATCACACTATTCGCCATCGCAGCTGTACCATGCGGGGAGAGACATGGGCGGAGAAAGAAGCTACTATCAATCCGGTCAAAAGCGGCCGGCCTCGCCCACGCCGATTGATAGATGTAGTGATACGTCAGGCCTGAACAGGGGATCGCCTACCCCAAGGCTGACTGTCGTTTCACAAGGGTCTGTCTCTAGCTTGTCGGCTGCTAGTCGCAGCGGAAGTTATATTGGCAATCTGACTGCTAGCAGCATAGCAAGTAACAGTTCGCTTGGCCGTTTGTCTCCCAACGGTGTATCCCCTGGCGGGGTGTCGCCGACAGACGTGATGGGTAATGGGAGCCCGTATGCCACACCCATCAGCCTCACCGCTTCACCAAGATCGTCGATCAGCCGGACAGGTGCGGCACAGTCGCCGCATCCTAGGATTTCGGGTGACTATACGCAAAGATCGGTTGAGCAGTCCAATAGGACGCTGGGGATTTCCAGGAAACTTGCCGAGATTCCGAAAAATGCTAGCAATATCGTAGCGGCTAAGCTCAAGGGCCCATACATGTGCGAATGCTGCCCGAAAAAACCCAAGAAGTTCGACACGGAAGAGGACTTGAAGTAGGTTTTGCATCATTTCCGTCCAGCGACGCACGTTACTAACCCAGACACTTTTCCCACCAGGCTACACGAAGCAGAGAAACAGTACGGATGCTCGTTTTGCGGGAACCGGTTCAAGAACAAGAACGAGGCGGAACGCCATCAGAATTCCCTGCACGTCCGTCGTCATAGCTGGTCATGCTCAGCGCTTCAGACATACGATCGTGCCTTCCACGACAGTAGCACGAGGCCAGGCGAGGCTGATACGTGTGGTTATTGTGGTGAGGAATTCGCCCGTACCGGACGCAATGCTGCAGGCATCTTTGCTAGTGAGCAAGATTGGGAGGACCGCATCCGGCATCTACAGGACGTGCACAAGTTCCGCGAGTGCAATGCCAGCAAGAAGTTCTTCCGAGCAGACCACTTCCGGCAACACCTCAAACACAGTCATGCCGGTACGAGTGGGAAATGGACCAATATGCTTGAAAACGCTTGCATGATGGACGAAGGACCAGCAGTCCCTCGTTGAAGAAGCGGAAAAGCAATATGTTGTGATTTTGGATACAAGCAACTGGGCCTTGCTATTTGGAGGGGCAACGGTTGGGGGTGATGGATGGTATCATTTATGGCTGTGACATGTTGGTCAGGTCAGATATCGCCATGCAGAGCGGTATTAGTTTTCAGATCATGCGGCACAAGGGGCCGTGGAGGGAAAGGACGTCATCTAATTGGAGCATTTACGGGATTGAGGATTCTTATCGGAGTTTGGGTGTGAAGTTTTCAGCTGTAGGGTTGCGGCGTTGCGTGCGGGACATATCTCTGAAGGCGCAGGCAAAAGTTGACACATCGTCTTTGGTGTGGTCATGGTCAGGAGCAGCAATCGATGTACTTTTATGGGAGACTTGACAGCGGCAGCGGCTGAAGAGTAGCGGATGAATAGTAGCAGTCAGAGAGCAGACTTGTAGTGGCGAAATGTGATTATGTCAACATGACTGATTTGAAGGAAGAATGGACTATGGTACAGTCTGGAATGACTATTTTGCTATGGATGCTCTTTCAGGCGGCGGTTGGGTACCTCTACATTGTCTGTTTGTTGTGGGCGGAATGTGAGACAACTTGCATGTCTCTTCAGCCCTACAAGGAAGCGGGCGCCGTCAGGTTACCCCACTGCCACAGCCCTACCAAAAATGTCTGTGATGGATTTTGAAAATTGGGGGGTTGGTTGGTTGCTTGATTCGTGCAGGGCAGTCGGTCGCTTTTGTTTGTCCTTTGCCCTGGGCCATCCTCTCTGTTATCCGTCGTCCTCTGACACCCAGGGTTTCTGTTTGTCACATTTTGTGTCAGCACACAGAATCCAACGTACCCGCATGATGGAACTGGGGGGTACAACTGCCCATGAGGCCTGTATCGGACGTGGATTGAACGACCAAGGTTCGCGATAGGTAAACAATCGTACGGTACTGGATGCATGAAACGGTCATAGTGTGTTTGCCCGTTCATGCCGAGTCAAGGGTAGTGGTGTACAATACCGTGTGATGGTAAGATACGCACAGCCAATACATACTTTCGCCCAGCAGGAATCATGTATTTCAATACGGTCACTGTACGGTACACTGTTCTAGCTCTCCATGTAATGGTACATGGTTCGTATCCACGGTAACCAACCCATATCGGGAATCCCGCAGCGATGAGGGGCAACAAATGATCGAGAAATTTACTGATACGCGACAGAAGCTGGACGAGCAACTCGCCTTGCGATTGCTTCACAAACTTGACATCTGGATTCTTTGGTAGCGCCAAATCGAACAGAACCCCAAAGTCAGTCGGAAAATACCAAAAGTGACCCGAAAGACCGGTCGCAATGGCGCTCAATCGCATCAATGGGCGCGAAGATCTCTTCGTAGGAGGGTAAGTAAGTCGCACGCGACAATCTCCGTCCGGACTCTCTGTCCAGCCATCCCATCCTCCTGTCGCAAGAAAGCTTACCTTGCTTCTTTGTTTTACTCGCGAGAAGGGAAACGAACTAACATGGCCTTTTTGTCTTCCGCAACAGCATCTTCGGTGTCAACCGCGCCCGCTTAATCGAAGAAAACAAGATCACGCACATCCTATCCGTCATCAACTACACCCTCCCCGCCGATCCCGCGTTTCGCAATGTCCAACATCTTAGCATCGACATCGACGACGTGGAGGAGGCCGATATTTTGGTTCATTTCCCCAAGATGGTCCGCTTCATCGAGCGCGGGTTGTACGGTGACGAAGCAGCTTCAATAGCACTCGGGGGGGATAATGCGCCACTGGCTACTACGCCCGCGAGCGCGAGCGCAAAGATCGATGGCGACGACGAGGCAGCGCAGGACGCCGAGGCCATAACCGCCGCGCCACCCACCAGCGCCACCGTAACATCACAACAACAACAACAACAAACAAAACCCGGCGCTGTCCTAGTCCACTGCGCCATGGGCAAATCCCGCTCCGTCTCCGCCATCGTCGCCTACCTCCTTTGGAAACACCCGCACCGCTTCGGCCGGTCCGACCCGTCCACGCCCGCGCGCCGCGCCGTCACGCAGGCCATCAACTGGGTGCGACAGACACGACCTATCGCTGAGCCCAACGACGGGTTCATGGAGCAGCTAGAGCTATGGTGGACCATGGGCTGTCCTCTCGAATCAGGCGACGACGCGGTCGAGAACCACCCTGCCTACCAGCGGTGGTTGTACAAGCGCGAGGTGGAGGACGCAACGAGGATTGGCCGGGTGCCAGATTGGATCCGGTTCGAAGACGAGGAGGCTGCTAAGCTTGCTTCTGAGAACAACAGCTCCAAAGAGGCGGAGGCGGATGGTGGTGGCGCGGCGTCGCTTAGTCTGCGATGCAAAAAGTGTCGACGAACACTGGCGACGAAGCCGTTTATTGTCTCGCACCACCAGGGGAAAGGAAATAAAGAAAGGGACTGCGGACATTACTTTGTCGAAGCCCTGTCGTGGATGCGCCCGACGCTGGAGCAGGGTGAGCTGGAGGGCAGATTAACGTGTCCGAACCCAAAATGTTTGGCGTCCGTGGGGAGGTACACGTGGCAGGGGTTTAGATGTAGCTGTGGCGACTGGATCGCGCCGGCGTTCTCGCTGCAGAAGAGCAAAGTGGACGAGGCGACGTCGGCGCCGCATCCAGGTGGTGCCGGTATAGGGCCTGGCGGCGGCGGCGGCGGTGGGGCAGCTGCCGTGGCGGCGAGGATGGCGGCGTTGGGGATTAGGATGCCGCCTGGTGGTCTGGCTGGACAACGAGCAGCTGGGGAGGGCGCGGGGACGGCGGGTGGACCTAAGGAGAACCTATGAACGGGTTTTGTTCTTTGGGTGGGTAGAAGTCCATGGCTATCTTGCCGTAGACTGATCATCCCATCGATTCTTGCCTCCCAAGCAGAACGGCGGTAGGACCCAGAAGGACGTCCAAGAGGAGTTATTATACCTTGCCTGACGGCCTCGCAGGTCGTCAACCAACATTCGGAGCATTTCCCACGTCAAGGTGTAAACACCCATGAGTATACCCTAGTGCGGTCCACAGCAAGTTCTGTCGTGAAGGGGAAAAAAAAAAAAAAAAAAGATATCTCCCCGGGACATCTAGAATAAGTGGTGGATCATGAGCACTGCGTTACGCCTACATAAGCATAGTGATTATGTTGTGCGTATAGCTCTGTACTAGGCCTCCGGATTGCTTCAGAAGACGTGTGACCTCGGGTGCGGCAACACGACACAAGCCCTCGGCCGGGCAAGGAAAGTGAAGTGATATAGAAGATTCTGAGGATGGAGGACTCTCCCATGGAAGGCTGGCTTATGGTGACAGAAAGATCAGCAAAAGGAGCATCGGATCGGATGCCACCTTGTGCTGAGTACCTAGGCGCTTTGATGCTACACGGCAGTTTCTCCCCAAGGATAAATACACTTGTATCTGGGAATACAAGTAGCCCATACATACATATCCCTTGCTTGGGTTGGCGGAGGGGTGTAGATTTCCAGTCCTTCTAACACGGGAACTGTCCAAAGATGGCTTGCCGCTTAGATATGTAGTAACCTGAAGTCCGTATTCGTACAACAGGCATGTCTGTTTCCAGATCTGACACCCGGGTCATGAAGGCAAGAAAGACACTGTATAAATACGTCCATATATGCCAGCATGTATAGGTTATCCTTAAAAATAGCGATACCGGTTCTTAGGTCAGCGATGTGGACTAATGCCGCCGGCACGCCGCCACCTGCACACACACACACACACATCAACATTCCACTCGCCTCTACCGCATTGTTGAATCAGGGATGACGGTCCCTATGCTCGAATGTCCCTGCCGAATACTAGTTATAAAGAATAAATTGAATACGTTTTAGTTAGTATATTTAACACCTTGGGTACACCCTTATACCATACATCCAAGCGTAGGTATTTGGAATACTTTTGAGTTTGATTTTCAAGGCCAACTTGGAACGGAAGAAAAAAACCCACCCACCCAAAAGGCCTCTACCCAAGGGTGTATTCGAAAGGTAGGTACGTAGTTATCTCTACTACCTGTCTCCTAATGGTGTTTCCTAACGAACCGACGCGCGCTGTTTTGGACTGTCTATCTACTTCATGGATATTCGGTTTACTATTTTCACAATCACTGCGTCTGCTTGACTGCCCGTGGTTGGAATGGTAGGACCGTGCCGGCACCTCCACTGTTACTGACAACGAATCTGCAGCGCTAGGGCATTTTAGGGCAGGTGCTGTGTGTACTGTACCTGGACTGGTGGACCTGGGGTGGTTTTCCCGTCATCTCGGGCTGTTTTCTGTATTGGTAACGTTTCGGCGACGACGTTCCGGGTCTCTCCCTTGATTGATTCTTCACTCCTAGATAAGGTACGTGGTAAAAAGCTCTATGGATCATATGAACAAAGGTACTCAGGCGGTGCCCATCAAGGTACTTACCCTCGCGTCCATCTTCGAGGTGTACACCACTGCACTAACCGTCACTCCTGCAACATTATTGCGCCCGTTACGTAAGCCTGAAGCCGTCCCCACCCTTCCCGATCCTTACAGAAGTTTGGTGCAGGATCGACCTTCTCCGACTCTCCGACAAACCACCGAACAACAACATCAGCAACGACATATAAATAGGTAGGTCCAAGGTAACCATGTCTTCATTACAACCTAAGCCAAGTCCCAACTCCTCAAAACTCCTCCGCTCTTTCCATAAAAAAAGGAAAACACAACACAAAGAACAAAGAAAGAAATTATTTCTGCTCCAGAGCCACCCATCAACCAGCCAAAGGACGGAGCGGGGGAGGAACATGAAAGAAGCCGTCAGCAAGGGACCAGGTAAGGCACCATCCTATCCTGCGTCCTAACCGACCTCTTCGCAAACGCCAGGTGTTTTTCCGCCGACACCAACGCCCACCAGCCAGTCTGCAACGGGCTACTCTCCCTCGCCAACCTCAGCTGCTCCTCCAGCACATCGATCGCTTTGGGGTCTCCCTGCTGTCTCAACAGCTCGCCCTTGGCCCTCAAATAGCACATCCGCACCCGCCAATCGGTCGCGCCCGGCAGACCGTCGATCGTGCGCTCAACAATCTTGAGGTTCTCCAGCGCCGATGTAATGTCGTTCATGCCCAGCTCGCAATGAATGACTTTGAACAACAAGTCCAGCCGGCCGTGAATGTCTTGCGGGTGAAACTTCTCCTCCAGCTCGACGGCCGCAACCATGTACCGCTTCGCCGAAACCATGTCTCCCTGCGCGTAATAGGCCGAGTACAGTCCGCGCGCCGCCGCCAGCGTCTGCGGGTGTTCTTCGCCTAGCCGTTCCGCCAGCCCGTTGACCGCCCAACGCAGGCCGGTGACGACCAGGTCCGAGAGCACCTCGGGGCTGCGCAACAGGGAGCCGCAGATGACGTACAGCGGATGGGACTTGCCGTGGATCTGGCCGACCTCATGCCGGATGTAGCTCAGGAGGTAGTGCAGCGCCTGCGCCTTGCCGTCCTGCCAGAAGCGGCAGCAGATTTGGAAGATGCACGTCAGCAGCAACGGGTTCGGGTCGGGCGTGATGATGGGCCGGATCTGGTCGAGCGTGTCGTTGTAGAGCGTCACGATGCTGTCGCGCTGGTCGTTCCATTGAGGCAGGGAGAGCTGCGCAGACACGGAAAGGGCGAGTTCGTAGAACCGCCGCAGGTTCCAGTGCGGCGGCTGCTTGACCACGTCCGATGCGTCTACCTGCGAGTGCACGAAACGGACGTAAAAGTTCCGCGTGCCTGTTACCACCGTCTGAACCGAGAGGAGGTGTCCTGGTGGTGTGAGTGGGTGTAAATCGGTGAGTTTGCGCTTACGGCGCCAGTTGTCGGGACTGCTCTCGGGCGACTCCTCCTCCGTCTTCACATTTGGTGGTTTCCGCCGCTGTTGCTGTCGTAGAAGGAGAATTTCGGGAGGTGATTCAGGTCGTGATTTGATTGGTTTGACACTCGCAGGGCTGACCAGCTCTGTTCTGGGTGGTGATATCAGCGCTGCTGGGGGTGTCGCGATATAGACAGGCGTGTCAATAGGTGTCCCGGCAGACTGGTTAGGCACAACGGCGGGATCCCGGTAGATCGCCTCGGGCGGCTGTGGGGGGTCCAGACTGGGCGGAGTTGGAGAGCTTGGACGACTGCTCACAGGCGTGTAGCACTCGATTTCTTCCGGCATGGAGGACAGGTCAATGTCTTCTCCGATCCCTGCAGAGGAACCTTTTTGATGGCCATGATGCTTGCGATGCCAGTATCGGTCGAGCTCAGCTTGTGATATGTCTCTGCCCCTGACGCGAAAGGCCGACTTTTTGCCCTGAGCAGCTCTCTCAGCGGCCTTGGCCGACATGTATCTCATGTCACTCTCCTAGGAAACGAAACGTCCGCGTGAGCAAAGCTGGGCCATGATTACCCGTACCAGCCGGAACTTGCTTGTCTTACCTTGTTGTTCTTCTCGAGGCCCCATTGCTGGAGTCTGATCTTGTACTGGTGTATGCTACATTGGTAACTGCAAGTCAGACTCCGCCAGCCATTGCATACCGTGGTGGTTCGGGTGTGTGTAAAACTTGGGATCTCCACTCACGTCGCGCGAAACCCATGTTTCTGTACCATGATCTCCCTCACATCTCGGAGCTTTCTCTTCTCGGACAGGTACAGATGTGTAATTGTTTTCTTCCACGTCTCCCATTCCTCCTTGGAATGGATGGCTCCCGAGCTAACCATGGCGCAGGCCGGATCCGGTAACCGACGGGCCAGGTCTGACGAACTTGAAGCGGGCCAGGGCATGAATCAGCAGTCGAAGGGCACCAATCTCTAGGTTGAAACAAAAGTTGTCTGCTTCCCGCGGGCTTCCAGAAAGTCGGAGGCGTGCAATAGTACGGTTTGCGAGTACTTGGTAAGAGGATTGAAGGCTCCTTTGAGACGTTTGGCAAAAGCCACTTGCTTGATTCGGAATGGGGCCCGGGGCGGAACGAATGGAAGATGAGTTGTACCAGCCTTTAAGCCTTCTCTAGGCCACCGGATGCTGACTCGTACGTATGTAGCGCCGGATCCGTAGGTGACGAAAAGGGCTGGCCGTGGTGTGTAGACGATACAGAAAACGAGAAGACTGGTGGAGGTGGGGTTTGAGGATTCGACGCGCCTTATGTCTAATGCAGACCACTTTTGTCTAACCAATAAGACAGAGCGGCGATATTCCCTGAATGTCCATGTGCGGCACAAGGCCTGTACCGGGGGGTGATGTACCTACAATACTGATCACCAAGGTGTAGTGTACGTGTAGTGTAACTGCTCTGTCGATAGGAGAGACTACTGTATGTACATCGTGGATCGATGTGGGGATGGTGGTGTATCTAGCTGTGTTTGGTAATTGCCATCCACGCCTCGGAGTTCCTGGATATGTATTCCTGTATTTCCAATGTTTATGAGTTCAAGAACTTGACCTCCCTCGGTCTGGTACTATCGTCGAGCTGTTGGTTTTTCGGTGGGGGTAGGACATGGAGGTATGTAGTGGGGGTCCACCCCCACGGATGCTTGCCCAGGAAGACTAGTGTGGGTAGGCTACCGTAATCGGCGAGACGAAGAAGCAAGAATCTGCGATGGAATTGGACTGTTGACTTTGAGATCGTCGGTCGGTCTACCCGTTGGTTTGCGGCTGATTGCCATGACTCAAAGGTCGCAATGAGATTGACGAGTCATTGGTGGTCGACAGCCTAGCGCCGGCTGAGAAGTGGAAGCCATCACAGGTCGACATTCGATGGGGTGTGAGCATGGGATGGGGGAGGGGCATCAGGGCGCCATCAGGGGTCCAGGGACTGCTTCCGGGGCATTTGAATGGATAGCTGAGTGACTCAAACGAACCCTAACCCTCATTCGGTAACTGCCGGCAGACCGAGTACGACCTCGTGAGATCGGGATTCGCTTCCATCATGAGGACGACGGTCGGCGGCATGTTACAACGTGGTGCAAATTTGCCAGGTCCGGTCTGTTCATCCGCGGACGGAACAGAAAGGGTCGGCTTCTCACGGTCTTTTCAAAGAGCGGAAAGGCGGGATCGTAACCGTGAACAGCCCGGGGTTCGTTCCGTCGATCCCACCAGTGGATGAAGACAATTGGCTGCCCTGGTTCAATGCTTAGTTGCCTCGGGGGGTCAAGTCCGCCAGTGCATCGCTCAGTTTGTTGGGACCCTTGTATTGGTCTTGAAGACGGCCGATAACGGCGACGTGGGGTTAAATGGACTGCCATTACTATCACCAACTGTTATTTGAAGGCAATTGAGAGTTGATATTGCAACCGCAACGACGAGAGGAAGTGACATTGGAAGGAACAGTTCAGTTGGAATGAGCAGGAATTGACCAATGCAAGAGGCTGGCTGTTATGTGGAGAACTGCAATGAATGGTCGGCTTGTTCCGGTCAAGTCACGTGGCATTCACTCCTGATTGAATTGCTGACCTAATTGGTTGGCTAAATGCCTCTACAGGATAGTGGTGATAATTCACAGAGTACGTCATCACTAATACATGGATTCGAGGTACATCGTTTTGATATTTTTACTTCTCTTTTCCTGAAAACAGATAGGTTTATAGCAGCCTTGTGTACTTTGGATATGAGAAGTAGCACCACTCTGTCGATATCCAGTCCAAGGTAGTCCTGTGACCGTTCGCTTGGCGCGCCCGCCAAGACCACGGTCAAATGCCCGTCTCTTCAATTTTGGCATGGACGACCTAGCAGGGCCTATCATCCGCTGTTCTTATGAGTGAGAGCTCTTGTGGAGCCCTTTCACCTTTCCACACATCGACGCAATTCATTCACGACGCATTTTAGTGTATCGAATGTACCAGTCCGTCACAAGCCAGGTCTCCGTTGGCAGGTCCCGTTCCCCTCGTCCAGAATGTCGATAACACAACCTCCACTCTCCCCATTGACAACATCTCCATCCGCTACCACGGACATAAATGCCACGACTGCTACCACCGCTGGCAATGCGACAGCAGCAAGGCTATCAAACATAGTAACTGGCCACTCGACTGGTCACTATTCTGATCACCAGCAGGCAACAGAATCAAGACCACCCAACTCGACATCCACCTCGACGGCTGCCGGTAGTGCTACAGCTACAAGCGCTGTCTCCACAGAGCACCACGGCGGGCACTTGCACCCCCCAACCCATCAACAACACCAATCGACTGACCATCAACTACCTCCTCCTCCTCCTCCTCCTCCAACACAACCACAACCACAATCACAACCACAACAAGAATCCTCGACAATATCTTTGCCGCCATTCAATGTCGATGCTCACCCCACCGTCCTTGCAGCAGCTGCCACTGCCGCTGCCGCCCATCATCATGCCTCTGCCAACCATGATGACCACCACGCCCTTCAATCTGCCGTTGTAGTTGCTCCCGACGCCATTGGTCAAGCACCACCACAACCATCCATAGAGCCAGGCAACGTTGCAAACCCTCAACCATATCCGCCTGAACCGGTGGCCAGCATGTATACACAGGCACTTCCAATGGCCTCTCAGACACCTTCTCCAGCCTCCGCTACCACGCCAAAACCCCAGTCCAAGACCACCCGCCTGCGGAGGGCCTGTGACCTGTGCAGTTCAAGGAAAGTCAAGGTAAAGCCGGGCTATCTAGGGCTCTTACGTGCCTATATCATAGAGCTGACCTTTTGCTCTCATGTTGTAGTGTGATGAGACTCATCCTTGTCGACCATGTCGCGATCTTCAGGTCGACTGTACCTTTAACCGGGAAATGAGGCGTCGAGGCCCTCCCAATAGGCACGCAGAGGCTGCCAGAGCAGCGAAGCGTCCGCGACTCGAACCTGCCCTGCCGAACAACATGGGCCATCATGCGCAGCCTCACAACGCCGCCCAGACTTTGATTTCCATCGCTGGCAACCCGCGAGGCGGCCACCACGCAGAGGCGCATGGGCAAACTCAGACTATGCTGGATGCCGAATCGATAGCCCCATGGTCCGTCTTGGTTCTCCTCGTTGACGACTTCTTCACCTACATCCACCCCTTGACGCCCTTCCCCCACGAGCCTACCTTCCGTCAGCAACTGGCCAACCGCGAGGACCAAAAGAGCCGCGAGTTTCTGGCCCTACTCGCAAGCATGGTTGGCTGCCTGGTTGCCTCCTTTCCCAGGACCGCGAGGTTGCATTTCAAGTCACAGCATGGCCTGGATCTGTTCCCCAAGGCCATTTATCTCGTCGACCGATGCCGCCAGGTGGCCATGGAAGCCCGTGGTTCTCACTTTTATAACCGAGAAGACATGACGGTTTACGACGCTGTCACCAGCTATCTCCTCGGCTTGGCTGCTGCTTACACTCTGCAATGGAAGGTGTGTCGCCGCTTCATGTCAGAAACTTGCAACATCATTAGAGAACTGGGGTATCATAAACAGCGTGACTTTTTCGCAGTCACCTACCGGGGCCCTGCCTTCGATCATGTCCAGGACCAGATCGGCAAGCGTGTCTTCTGGGTCCTGTTTCTGGGCGTCCGCTCAATGATGCAGCTCGGCGGGCCCAGTGGCGATGTAGTGTTCCCCCCACCGACACCTGCCGAGCCGTATCCCGATTTCCCCGTTGAGGTGGACGACGAGTTCATTCTGCCCTCCCAAATCCTGGTGCAGCCCCCTTCTATCGTGTCACGTCTGACTGGCTTCGTTCAGGCCATAAAGATTTATATGACCATGAACCCGTTGGTCAGCATCGAGTTATCATACGGCCTGTCGACACTACCCTTCCAGGATCAAAAGGTCATGTTACAAGATTGCGTACAAGCTGTGAAGCAGGTCATGGAAGGCATGCCCCCAGAACTCACTCTAGACTTGGACAGCAATCCCGCCGACGGTGTGCCAACAAGCCTCAGTGAGCTATCTCGAATTCCGGCGTCGCGTAGCGCTCTTAGCGACAGTGGATTCCAGTACTGCGCACCGGCCTATCCTGCACATCAGCCGGCCTCAGACATCCGGCATATTGTCAATAACGATCATGGTCGTCGTCTACTTCAGTATGAGATCCAAAAGGCAAATATCTATGCGTCGCAGGTTGCGACACGCTCATACTTTGTCGAACGCTACTTGAACCTTCGCGATGCCCATCGCGAACATACCCGTAATCAAGCAGCACAAGCATATGATGCCGTCACGGCCGTGGAAAATGGCGTCAACGGCAGCAATGGAGTTTCCCATGATAGTAATAAGAGCGTTGCGGCTGCTGCCCTACACGCTGCTGCAGAGGAGTTATCTGATCCTATTGACGAAAACATGACGGCTGAGCGTGAGCTGATCGTCCAGAATCTCCTTGTCGTGCTTGCTTCCATCTCTCAACGCAACATGGAGCCCAATGGCGCATCCTTCATCAATAAGGTTCGTCAGGTGGCTTCCACTCTCGTCCACGATGCTCCTGGACGAAAGGGACCCATGGCCACCAAGGCCCAAGAACCTCTCACCCGCTTTCTAGACATTCTCATGAGGCTGGAGAAGACTGGACCAGGGAACACGGACCGGGGTGACGGGACTATGACTCCGCAGGATGAAGAGATGGAACTCAGGAGCTGGGCGGACCTGCGAGAGCACCAGATGCGATTCTACCAAAGTGGGGGATTCATGGGTCAACTCTAGCCTGAAGATGTTATCTACAAGGCGGGCGGTCGTTACACGAAGCGATGATATCAGTGCCTTATGCCGAGTTCTTATAGCTCGTCCCTTCCCTTGTTTTTCATCATGGGTGTTCCTGTTCAATCGACGGCAATTAGACGGTGTTGGGGAAACCAAAAAATGTCAAGGTTTCTTGTTTTCTTTTTTTCTTTCCAAATATGCGTGAGCATAATGCCGGTCAAAACAACCTTGATCGGACGCTGTTCGGATGACTTCCTACTGGGGGATCTTCCCGCCGCTCATGTTATGTTTACCACTTTGTTCCTTTTTTCCTTTTTTTTTTTCCCCCTTCTTTGGTAAAATATCAAATCTGGTACTACCTTTCGGTCTTGTATGGGTAGCGACGTGGCTATTTCAGTACAGGTAAACTATGGTAAGGAGTTTGGACAGCAAGGGTATCCATCGGTGTTAAATGGTTACACCGTCGGTGAGGGGCAGTTCGGATACAGGCACACACGGTTACAAGCGATATGATGCTACTGCAGCAAGCCAACGATCCCAACAAATGTTGCACGATCCTACTGGAGGGCGCTGTGCGTATGGATCGCCGGTGGATTCGAAGGAGGGGTAGGTATCCGGGAAGCCGAGGTGGATCGATATGAGTTCGGAGCTGGATTCCATACATAGAAAGCGCCGGGCTGGGCCAGACACGGATTCTCATCACGCTCAGCATCACCCTTTCTCAACCCGTGTTCTCATTCTCACCGTTCTTTGCAAGCACAAACAGTTCCTTACACCATGAACAACGAGTTGCACGTCTTGATCATCGGTGCCGGCCTTGGTGGTTTAACACTTGCCCAAGGTCTTCGCAAGCAGGGCATCAGCTTCCAGATTTTTGAGCGTGACGCCAGCGCTGAATCAAGAGGCCAAGGATACGCCGTTGGACTTCACGAGTAATACATGCCCCCCCTGCGCCAACTTCCAATGGTCATGCTATACCTTTTTTCTTTTCTTTAAGTAACCACTGACATGCATATACCTACGGTACACCGGCAGTCCAGAAAAGCTCTTTGGTGGTTCACTTCCTGACGAAGTCTTCTCATCCGTCCGATCCTCATGCCACCTCCTTCCTCTCCAGCTGCCATCATGTCTAGCCATGTTCTTTCCGGATGGGCGGGCAGGGTACGTGACAGATAGCCCGGAGACGCCTTGCTTGCGAGCCCACAGGTTACGTCTGAGGCAGGCTTTGGCTCGCGATTTGGATATCCAGTGGGGGAAACGGGCGCAGAGGATCGAGGAGGGGGAGGATAAGGTGACGGTTTGGTTTGAGGATGGGACTCACGCGGAGGGGACTATTCTCGTGGGAGCTGATGGGACTTTTAGCGCTGGTTTGTGCCTACCTGCCATCTTCCCATGACTATGGTGATGAAATGGATGTGGATGATGAAATGGCTGACTATCAACATAGTCCGCCCACACGTCCTCCAGAAACCAAACTCGGAGGTCCTGGAGGTCTCGACCTCTTCGACACTTACCATGGGCGAGTGTCGGCTTAATCGTGCTGATATGGAAAGTCAGCTCCAACTGGCTTATTCGTGCTACGTCGCCTATGGCCCGGACTTTGTCCTCTTCAGCGGTCTCAACCGCGTCAGCGACGATGGAACCTATGGAGATTACTACTGGATGATGGTGGAAAGTCGAGAAGTAGGCGATGATCACTGGGTCAAGACGGGCACGGCGGAAGAGAGGCTGCGGAAGTCGAAGGAGAGGATACAGGCGCTGGATCCCAAGTTCAGAGTCACGGTGGAAAAAACGGAGGTGGAGGGCTTGAAGAAGGTGGTGGTATGTCGAACTGTGATGGACCATTTTGCAAACCGAGGGAATTTTTTCAGGTTCACTGACACTGGTGTCCTCCAGGCTTGGTATGATGCCCTGATTGAGGATATACCGCCAGTCAATAGGGTGATTTTGATTGGGGATGCTGCTCATCCGATGACGCCGGGTAAGTCCCCTCTCTGCTCAAATCTTCTACTACAACCACTTGCAAGTTCATACCACCGAGAGGGAGAGCTAACCACGTTTTCTTGTCTTCTTCTTTGTTGTGGACAGCTCGCGGGGAAGGTGCAAATCACGCAATCAAAGACGCCGTCGGCCTATCCAAGCTTCTTGCCGAAAACAAAGATCAGCCGATCGATATCCTCCGGCAAAAGATGGATGAGCTCCAGCGAAGCCTGGTAAGCGAAGGCAATCAGGCGATTTTGCTGGCGCGCCAGGTGATGGCCAAGGCCCGTCAGAGAGAAAGGGTAGAAAAGCCCATGGTTTGGGGCCATGAGGTGAAGATTGTGGATGAGGCGGTGCCGTTGCCTCTTGAGCTTAAGTAGGGGGTTCGGGGGAGTCATCCTCTAGCACGTTTAGCGATCGTGTCATTCGTGCTTGAGAAACAAATAGCCAAGCTTCCGATCCTTTCTACCATCGTCAAATCAAGCAGGAACTCAGCCTTTGGTATCCGCGATATTCAGTGAGTGGAGGGCGATGAGTCGGATGGGCGCTAGGTTGACAATGACCCCATTTCTTCTTGATATGTTCTTTCATTTTCTTGACAACTTTAGTTGCCTCACTCCTGTCAGTTTCCAGCATACAACTTGCAAGTCGCGGGGTCATCAAGAAAGGAAACAGCAATCATGAGTGGTACCGTGGGTGCCTCTCTTGAAACAGAAGACGGCGCTGCAAGTTCATTGCAGTCCATGTAGAGGTGAGTATCCAATTTTCCTTCCACCACCATTCTGTCACCATTTTCATTCGAATCTCATATCGGCCACATCCAAATGCTGATGAAACCTTCAAGCCGAGTACGCCATTATATCCATCAAGACTACAATATCAAGGGAACGTCAGTAGGACCCGCGTTGCCATCTTCTTTCCATCATATATCGGTGTCGTGGCCTATCATTGCTGACATCTGGATCTTGCCAAAATACAAACCATATTGGACCTCGCGAGTCCTTGGAATTGTCCAACACCCCCGACATTTGGTGTGTGATACAAGGCGATCAATACTCTCAGCCAGCAAGCCCATCACATTCCTTCCTCGTGGAACACGAATAGTGTGGCGATGCAAGTCCATTTCAAGGCTCGTTCACTTGTAACACAACAATTGCCAATCTCATTCGCTGTGGCTGGAATTGTGGTTACAATTTGGGCGATTGCGGCTTCCGACGTTGCACAAGGGTTCATATCAAGCAGGGTGCGCATAGCCTGCTGGGCATGTTCAATTTAACGTGTCTTCGTCAGTGAATTTGTATTTGAACGCTCCCGCCCATCCGCACTTTCCATCCCAAGTCGCTTCCAAATTCTCTTGCAAATACCACCAGAGGCATGAATTCACACACTTCGACGACATACGAACCATCTGACTCAACTCCGCTGTCCCCAGAATCCTCTACCCAGGACTGTCTCCCACTTGGCCAATATGAAGCGCACCAGGACTGCATCATACCGCAAAAAGTCATTCCTCGGAGAATCCTGCCAAGTAACACGCAGCTGTCCCAGTACAGCCCGTGGCAACGATGGGGATCCTCCTGGTTCTGGGAGATAGCAGCAATGACACTCAGCTGTTTCTCCCTGGCCTTGACACTGGGTATTCTTTACTTCTTCGACGGCAAGCCCTTGAAATCGTGGCCCCTCTACCTGTCACTGGGCACAATTATATCGACCCTGGCACAGGTTTCTCGCACCTCTCTTGCCTTCGCCATCACGCCCTGTCTGGGGCAGGCAAAGTGGAATTGGTTTTCTCAAAGAGAAGACGACGTTCTGGTCTTCAGAACCTTCGATGAAGCAAGTCGAGGGCCTTTGGGAAGCTTACAGCTGCTCTGGAAGCTCAAGTACCGGTAGGTTTCTGTCACTTGCGAGGGTTGAGGGCCATCCAGTCGAATCACCTGTCCTCCAGCAGCTAACAAAAATGATCTGATAGACATCTTGCCTCGCTCGGCGCTCTAGTAACGGTTGTGATGTTCGGATACGACCCCTTCGTCCAAGCCATAGTTGACACCTCTGGAAATGAGGTTTTACTCACAGGAAGCTCAAGGGCCAAGATCAGGGCATCAAACAGGATCTGTGTAGGTGAAGAACAAACAACAGGTGCACAGATTACTTTGACGAACAAAAATGGCTCAATGGGACCCGACACAGTGGTCCTTCAGGAAAGTGCGCTGATAGCGGACTTTGGCTTGACGCTTGCCGTCTACGATGGATTCGTCAACAAGTCCTCGGCCTTAACAGATCCTTACCAGTCATCCTTCTCTTGCGAGACCGGCAACTGCACCTTCCAAGTTTTCGACTCATTGGCAGTTTGCAGCCGTTGCTTCAATGTGTCAGATCATATTCGAAGAGAGCGAGTTCCCAAGGGAGGAACTACATATACACAATACATACTACCATATGGCTTGGAAATTCTCAATTGGGACGGCGCAAAGCCACCGGAGAATGCATATCCAGTTCCCACAGAAAGTCCAATACACAGGCGGCTATATGGAGATACTAATCAACCATCGGCCGCTACAAGCTTATCACCAAACCAGACCGTAGTCAAGGTCATAGCCAACCGGTCCGAGTCCATATCCTTTGCCAACTTCACTACCACCTTTGTTGTTTTCAGAATCATTCAATCTACCCCAGAATTTGTCAACAACCTTTCGCCTTGGAATACGACGTTTCCACTCGCCATGGAATGCGGATTATCCTTCTGCGTCAACCGATATAATTCCAGCGTCAGTAAGGGCACACTCCATGAATCCGTTCTTGACTCGTGGGACAAGTGGTTACATCCGTCGCTGCTGCCTCAAGAAAATCTGGAAAGCAACATCACCACAAAAAAACAGCGTGAAGAATGGATGCATCCCTTCAACCACACACTAGGCAGTCCAGCCGGCTCAGATCTACATGGAAAGCTATGGGATTTTCCGCGATCTGATTTACTCCTGGCTACATCCCCGAGTCTCGACCCCGGGCACCATGACGACCCTGGTGCTACCACGGTTTCCAACCGCCTCCCCTACTTCAACATCACCCAAGTTACCCTAGCCTCCACAATCGACTGGTTCACCCACTTTCTTGCCCCCAAGCCACTGATTTATCCAGCCACAGCCGATATCGGTTACGGTAACCCCGTCGCCGGAGCCATTGCCAAATCTACCAATCTCGACATGACTTTCAACAACGTCGCCCGTAGCATGACAGCCTGGATCCGCGAGAACCAAGGGATATGGCTAATGGAGAGCTCCACGAAGAAATGGGAGTTCCGTTTCTGCATCCGTTGGCCATTCGTCACCGTTCCTGTGGCGGTCATGGTGGCGAGCGCGCTCTACCTTGGGCTTACAATTTGGCAGACCCGCATGTACGGCGTGGACCCTTGGAAAGAGGACGCTTTGGCAGCGATAGCACATGGGCTTGATCAGGAGAGCAAGGCGAAGATTTGTCAGGCAGAAAGGGTAGGGTTGAGGAACGAAGCTGCGATGGGGATGAAGGTTACGCTGCGGCAGGGGATGTATGGGGAGGTCGAGTTGAGGGATGTGGGTAAGGAGGGATAATGCGCTTAATATATGTGACTTTGATAGGCAAGCAAAGAAGAGATGACGGAAGATGACGACTTATCTCAAACACATACACATGAGCAATATGCTTTTATGAACACGGATTTAGAGGTATGTATCAATGTCCCATGGAAGCAAAAAAAAAAAAAAAAAAAAAAAAAAAAAAAAAAAAAAAAAAAAAAAACGCTCAACTCTCCCTCCTCGTTTTCTTAACGCAACCGCCAGCCGACCTCCCACATCCATCTCCAGCTATGCCTCACAGGGCGGCCGACTACTGTCTCTTAACTCCTTATCGGACCCTGTCCAACTGTTCTCGGACGCCTGCGGACCCAACTAAAAGCTGACACTGTTGACAGGCGAGTTGATGATATACCTCACGCCCTCGGCCTCCGTCACGGTATACAGACGCCTGCCATTCCTCTTGTCGTAGCTCAGATCTTCGGGACTTCTGGGGTAAAAGCCGGCATTCTTCTTCGCCGCGGCGCCGGGAACCCAGACCCAGAGATCGCCCTTGGATGCTCCGTTGCTTCGCAAGAGGTAGAACTTGCCGTTCGCCGACACGGCGCCCTGCATGCGCTCAATGTTGACGCAGTAGGCCCAGACGGCCTTGGAAACGCCGCTGCTGTCGGTCTTGAGCCGGCGAGTGGTGTAGTCGAGCTCATACCGCACCAGACGGATAGGGTCCGAGGTCGAGGTCTGGTACTCGCCGACGATGAGACTGTCGGGGGTGGTGGTGCGGTCCAGGGCCATGTAGGAGTGGCGGAACTTGAAGGAGGAGGACCACTTGTACCATCTGCATAATTTGATATCAGTGCGGGAGCGATATATATAGAAAACGCCACGGGATGACTGACCTAATCTGTGGAATCACATATTTGTAACCAGCGGCCGAGTAAACACCGCTGAAGACCTTGCCAACATCATCGCCAGATCCAACTTGCCAGATATTGGTCAAGTCAAAGACCCTGATACCGTTGTACGTGTCCAAAACCCACAAGGTGTTTCCATACCACATGATTCCGCCTGCATGCACCGGCACCTCTCTAAAGTTGTCGGACGCATGCGGGTACACGAGCAGTGCATGGCGGTAAGTATCCTGGTGGGCTCGATTCACAAAAAGTGACGCGAACGCTTTTGTTATCATCGCGGTGCCAGCTCACGATCCAGCCGTTGATGGCCTCGTATGTGCCCGCGTCAAGCGCATCGGCCGTCGAGGTAATTCCCTGCGGCACCCACTTGGTCGTGTCCTCGTCGTTGAAGTCCGCGGTGTGCTCCCAGAGCTTGCGCCCGGGGGAGGAGTCGGAGTCGGTGGTCATCTGGCGGTGGTTGCCATCGTTGAAGACGTCGGCGACCGAAACAACTTTCTTGCCGGCCGCGAAAAAGATCTTGGAGAGAGAGAGAGAGGCGACGTTGGTACGCACTCTTTTCCTTGGAGGTGGTGGTTGAGCAGTCGTTGGGGTCGTTAACGGAAGCAAGTGAAAGAGTGGCTGCTGCTGCTGCTGCCAGGGATAGGGCTAGGGCTAGGATTGATGATGTGAACCACCTCATCATGCTTTATGTTGTCGTGGTTTGTCAGCTTAGAGGGGTAAAGGAAGTTGAAGCATCGAGACATGAAAAGCGGGATCTGGATGGTTTATTTGGCATGGTGACTGCTCGTCTTTATAGGTATTATGTTCTGAAAGGAAGTTCATCAAGGGTTGTCTCACACATTGTTTACTGGCCTTGCACTTCAGACCTGTACCACCTCACCCACCGTTCAAGACCTTGCCACTCAGGGTGATTAATCCGCACGCAATAGAGCTTGGCTGTGGGGTTGGTATGTAGCAACTTATGACGAGATACTTACTCTTTTTCAGCTTCCTATCTATTGTTTTGATTTAGTAAAAGCTCAAGCTGGGCTAAAACGTCGTCGTCCAAGCCGACTTACAAAGGTGGGATGCATCTCGGGCCTCCACATGGTGCTGTTGTGACACGATAGTTAAGGTAGCATCAGATGGTTGGTCTATAGCATCTGTTCCTGTGTCTCATTCAGTTGCGCCTTTTTCTGCCGTAAGAAGGGTGGTATTTTTTTTTTTTTTTTGGCGAGGTGACACCAGGGAAGAGTTGATCTTCAGATGGGTGGTCCGTAAGAGCGGGAGGTCAAATTCCCCGAACCCATCCTTGTCACAATAAATACCATAGCGGGTTCGGTCAGTCTGGAACGGTGGCAGGGGATTTGTTGTAACTAAATTGACCAGAGAAAAGACAAGGCTTAATTGGTTATCAGGTACCTTGATTGGGCAGGCCATGGAGAGATAAATGTTTGCCCTGCGTTCCTCTTACTTTTTATTCTAGTGTAGTCGGTGGTTCCTTGCCTTTTCCGTTCTGAGATCTTTCTTATTCTTGGTTCTGGCTCTAACCGCAGTCTCTCCTTTCCCAAACCCCCATGTTGTTAAGCTCAATCCATTACCTCATTCCGTCCTCTCTTAAATTCCTCTTCTCTCATTATCTCCTTTCCTTCCACCGACTCAATCTTTGCGTAACGCTGAAAGCGCTCCTCGCTGTCAAGTGGTGTTCAGCATCTTCTTCAGAACCTTCTGCTGTGTATGTATCTCCTCCTGCAAAGCCACCAATTGGCTCTTCCATCTTGCAGGCTTCACCTTTTCCCTCTACCCTTCCGCTCTTTACTCCTGCGGCTGGTCCCGAATCCCATGTCCCACCTCCTTCGTCCTCCTCTTCAAATAAAAACTCGAAGCCCTCAATGTCCGTGTCCGTGAACATCAACGACTCGACCGGTGATAACTGGCCTTGCTCCCCCTCCATCACCTTCTCCAAACCTTCCTCCCCTCCTGCATTTTCCCCAGTCCCGTCGTCAACAGTCGGTGTATGCCCCCCAGCTCCCGCAAGACTGATTCTCAGCCGACGTAAACTGCTCAAGTCCACGGGGATCTTCATCTCCAGAAACCTCTTGATTGGCTTCTCCAAGTCCTCGTCATCATTGTCTCCATGCTCGTCCTCGCCCTGATCTGCTTCTTCCTCTTTCTCATCCCCTCCCTGGTATTCCTGGTCTTCTTCCTGCTCGACCAACTCTCTCCATGCGCTGTCGCCGTCACCAATAGCAGCAGCAGTATCAGCCCACATACTAGACGTAGTCCTCTGCGCAACAACAACAACCCCCGTGGTGCAAGCCGGATACCTAGGTAAAGGCTTCCACTTTCTCCACACGGACATTCTTCTTTTTGTCTTTGTTTTCTTCTTTCCTCTTTCCCTTTCCCTTTCCCTTTCCCTTCCTTCTATCGCCTTTTGTGGTCTTCCACTCTTTAGCCCCACCTTCTTCTTCCATTCTTCGTTCACTCCATCATATTCTCCTTTTTCCTTCCCTTTTTCTTTTTCATTTTTGTTTGTTGACTCCCACACCCTCCACACCCTCCTCTTCTCCTCTGCTGCTATCGGGCCACCACCAACCATAAAAAAGCTATCCCCCTTATATCCCAAAAAGTGTCCCTCCACAAGCGGGTGCCCAAACACACGTCTGGCCCTGAAGGGACGGGAAACTTCGAGAACGGAGCCGTAGCCAGACAGGGAAGTGTCCCAAGGCGGCGGGGTGTGCGGTCTTTCTGTTTCTGGTGAAAAGTCTGAGTCTGAGACATCCTCATTATCGTCCTCTTGGTTGGTGTTTTCGGAAGGGGCATTGACGGCTTGGATGGCTTCAGTGGCTGGAAGTTCGCTAGAGGAATTGGGTTGCGCCTGTTGATTAGGTGGTAATTGAGCCGCACGGGCAATCGCCTGAAGAGGTAACTTTGGTAACGGTTTTTCGGTGGTAAACGAGATAGGGAGGCGATCTGAGAAGGGAGACTTGTCTTCGCCCTCGGCGCTACTATCGTAGAGCTTCGACTCGCGGGATTCTTGATGGTCATGGCGGCCTGGGTTGGGCAAGGGAGCGTGGATTTCTGGAAAGGTTCTTTTCTTTTTCCATCGGATTGGAAGGCGAAACAGGTATCTGGGGCGTTTGGACTTGCTTTTGATGCTCCTTGGGAGCATAGGGGTGTATGGCTGTGAGAGTGCGGCGCCCATTGTTATGAGCCGTCGGGAGTTGCTGCTTAGGATGTATATATTGTGTTCTACGAACGCTGTCGCTGATATCAGTTATTGAATTGTTTCTGTCCTTCGTTGTATTCGGTGAGATTATTGAGTGTGAAAGGCAAGGTTGGTGGTACAGTACATAGTAGCGAAGGGTTCCAGTCTTCTCCTTTTATAAAGAACCGAGGTTGATGATGGCCTACTTCTATTACCGTGGGCGTGCATCAGCCAAAACTTACAGTGGCACTCGGGTGTGATCCGTGACTCGGCTTAGGTTCTCACTCTCTATCTTGACAAGAACCAAAGTCAACACTGAACGTAAACACCAACCCCGGAAAAAGAATCAGATCTTTCGATCTTACCTTTTGAATAAGAAAGCCCTTTTTCCTGACGCGCGAGTGTGTCACGCCACCCAACCCAAGGGGTCAGTGGGTGCAAAAAGCGTTGGCCATTGGCCGTTTATTCTATATAAGGAGAAGCTTATCTGCCTGCCGTACGTGATTCCTCTTCTCATCAGCATCATCGTCATCAAGTTATGTACATGGCAATCATTACAGTCATAAAAATCCAGGTTCGCAGAGGAGCGCAGCTCTCTTTGACCTTCCTTCCGTATCTCCATCCATCATCATCATCATCTTTTTCCTGAAGAAACATGTGCATTATCCAACCCTTCAACAATGTCATTGGCCACCGCCGGTAACTTGTCGTAAGTTTCCCGCAGGTGGTAATCGTCGTTCTCGCTGTCCTCCTTCCTCCAACGGCACCTGCCAATACTCCTCCCGTACATACTCCCAAACCTCACAAACAATGTCCCATCTCTCCTAAACATACGACCTCGAATGCGACCTTGACCTCCTGCTCCGACTATGGCTCCCACTATGACTCCTCCTCCCATGTCCACCGTGATGATGATGGTGATGAGTCGTCGTCTTCCTCGTGTAAACCCTCTCGCCCCGTGCCGTATGTCCACCATGAATCCACGCCAACAGACTGGTAATGAAAAAGAAAATGCAATTCATGATACCAAAAGCGAAGCACGCTTTCAACATGGCGCACGTCTTGTTGATATTGATGCGGAACGTGTTAAAGTTGGCGGACCCCACGGCGCCCAAGTCGAGGAAGTAAGGGTTGCCCCGGTCGACCGAGGTGCAGTTCACGTTGCCGATCCAGCGCAGGTAAAAGACGGCGGCGATGAAGGCGCCGACGAAAGCGAGGTCGACAAAGGAGACGAATTGCGCGTTGGTGGAGGAGCGGTGGTAAGAGAATAACGTGGCGATGCACCAGGCCAGCGCGAGGACGGAGACAATGAAGAGGATGAGGATGTAGGTGGGCGTGAGCTGGTTGGCTTTGACGTAGCCGTCGACGAAGTAGGCGAGCATGCCCATTGTTGGTATCTGATAGAGAAACAAGGGTTAGTAGACTAGATCGTTGTTGGGGTTTGTGATTTTGGGGGACGGGAATGAAAGATGCTTACCAGGGTGATTATTTCGAGGAATCGCCAAAAGGCGAACATCATTGCGAAGAGCATCTTTTGGTTTTGAGCAGTGGATTTGGTCGAAGACGGGCGTAGAGAGAGTTGGCGATTCAGTCGTTACGAGGAGATGCGACGGGGTTTATATTTGGTTCCTTGTGAACGGCGCGAATAGAAAGTCGAAAGTCGCAAACAGTCAGTCGCAAGAGGGTTGGCCGGGAATTCAGAAGTGGTTTGGGGCGCGTAAAAGGTTATAAGCCCGTATGTGTCTGGTCTGGTGACTGACGGCGGTCGCTCTGCCAATCGGGACTGACAAACTGCTTGAGCCTTGTTGGCTGTCTGTCGCTCACGTTGCTGCTGGGTGGCTTCGCGTTTGTGTCGCCCTTCTTTTTTTTCTTTTGCTTATTTTTTAGAGGTTGCCTCGTCTGGGTCTGGCGGTCAACAACAGGTCCCTCGCGTCAGCTCTCAAGGACCCTGATGACTGCTATGACGTCGATGCGCAGATGGTTCCTGGTTTCGAAGCTCTGTCGCTGCAACCCAACCACGAGATGGGCGAGAGAAGACCGATCCAAGTCTTTTCCAACACCGATGCTTCTCGTTGCCTCGTGTTCCTCGATTCGTCGAAACAAAAAGAAACTTGAAAAAGGTGAAGGCTGAACAGTACGCGCTGGGGAGGATGCGCAAAAGGTGGGTGGGGTCGACTGGTTCGTCCGAAGTGAAATGTGGATACGCAGATCCAACCAACGTTCAGCAACCTAAGCTGCGGTGCCTGGGCCGGGTTTCAGTTACCTTTCCGCGAGTGTTGCGTCAGGTCTCTTCTTCTCTTATAATACCTAGATCAATAAAGGATTCAAAATGGTCTTCTCTACAAAGTCGGGCAAACCAAAGGGAACCAAACAAGATATAGAAAACTTCTCTGCGTCTTTTCTTCACCGTACTTATGTAAGGCACGCCTCGAAGCATCGACTTACATGCACCTTCAGCCCCAAAATCCAGGGGGTTGGCCCAATCACAGCACCGCAAAGCTGTAGAGAACAGACTGTGCCCCACTGGCGAACAGCTCAGCCCAGAGACGGGGGCCGGATGACGGGCCTCGTAACCAACCTCGTCAGGATCTCTTTTCTTTCGAGGAGATTCCAGTTTTGCCAGTAGTCAACAAGTCGGTCCCTGCAGAAAACCGATCCAGAGAAAACCAAAGCCATCCGAAGAAGGGGCCATGTCCTGGAAATCCGGCTCACCGCCCGAAATCTTCAACTCCAATATGGGCCCAGCTGACGTACATTGTGCAGCCATGAAACAGGCCGAATACACGCCTAGAACTGTCGATCTGTTTCTTCTTTAAATAAGGTCAAAACTTGAAACTGGACCCTTTCCCAGCACCATTCCGGTCGCCGTGGTTCGCCACTGTGGACCGTAACCCTTGATCAAAGATACTAACCACGCCCAACCCCCCATAATGACTGACTTTCACTCGCATCATGAAAGTTCTTTCGTCTAAGGAAACGTCCCCTTCTCCGGCCCAAAATACCCTCTATCCTTCGGAATCTCCAAGATGCCCGTCCCTCTCCCATCCACCCCCGCCCCACTCACCGTGTTCCCCCACCACTCCAGCTTCTTCGGATTATACCCGACTGCAAAGAAGATGATCAGCCCGCTGACGGCTACCCCAGCCGTCAAGGCCGCCGACAAGACGTAATTGTACTTTTCCCACCACGCCAACCGGTGCTTCGGCATCCAGTACATAAACACATACGACAGAATGAACCCGGGCGTCTTGTAACTCATGTTACTCGGCGCCCAGTGCTGCACGCCCTGGATGACGAGGATAGGGTTCAGCCAGAGAAGAGACGCCACAAAAGGGAACAATGTGCGGTCCAGCAGGGAAAACATCCGCCGAGAAAGACGCTGGCGGAGCCGGTCTTTGACGCCGGGGAGATAGCGGGGGCCGTATGTTTGTCCAAGAAGGAAAACTAGGGCGATGCAAGTCCCGATGAGAAAGCACCACTTGAACAGCGGGTAGAGCGAGTTGAACATGCGGTCCGACCCGAGAAGGCCCCACATCAGAGAGCTGGCGTAGAGGGGATTCCCGTCGTTGGCGCAGGTAAAGCGGGAAGGCTGGTTGGGGGTGCAAAGCCCCTTGACGTTGGTCATGATAAAGTCTTGGGTCCCGACGGCAACAAAGACGGTAATGATGATGGTCCCGATTTGACTTCGAAACACGGCTCGGGGCGGAATTCGCACATAATGACCCATCTTTAGGTCTTGGACCATGTTGTCGCCGTACCCCGCGAGAGCCCAGGACCCTAGTGTCTGCGCAAACAGAAAGGCGTTGGTATTCCCAGGTAGCAGAAATCCTGTAATCACCTGGATCAAGGCGCCCAGCCCGAGGTTGGTGCCGGTGGTTGCCGAGAGGAACGACAACGGCACGGCAAAGACAAGGTTGATCCCAATTACAAGGAACACAAGCCAGATCGGGGTATCCAGTGGATAGATCTTGAGAAAGATGACGGATACGACAATGGCGCCCACCAGGATGATGAGGAACCACCAATCCGGAACCTCGGGGTACTGAGCCATCAGTCTGCTGTGAATATCCATTGCGTTCTCATAGTTGCCCTTTCCGTAACGCAACCCATGGTAAAAATCAACATAGGCTTGGCCAATAGTCTTCCATTGGTTGACCATGATGTAGAAAAAGTAGCTAGAGTGAACCATAATCAGATCAAGACAATGGGCTATCTGAAAAAGGATTGACTTACACTGGGTAGAAGCAAAAGTTTGCCCCTACAGTCAGGATATATCCAGCCGAGTAAAACGGTGGTGAATAGTTCTGGTACTTGGTTTGATCCAGTCGGTTGTTGACCACCACCTTCTGAACCTGATATGGCGTCCCATCGTTGGCAAAGGCTGAGCTGGAGTTGATGGGTAGAAAGGCTGTATAGTTCATGTTCTTATAGTATATGCCCAGAATAATGAGACCGCCGAGAATGCCGCCAAAGTACATGGTACAAGTGGCGAAGAAAGGCTGGGATAGTGCGGCGTAGGAGCTTGTGGCAACGTTCCAGTCAAACGTAGTGATGGGGTTGAACAATCCCAAACCTGTGATTGAGCCGGTCAAAAGGGAGAGGACAACGGAATCTGGGGCTATCCAAGTCATCCAGTTGAATGTTGAAAGAGCAGTGAAGAGATAGCCTGGAAACCAGTAATATATAGCCATGGTCAGAGTACATGTATAGAAGAAGCGGTAACGGGAAATGGTCCATCCGTAGATGTTTTCTTTCGGTTCGGGTCTTGTCAGAGCTCGGTTCATGGCGATTGTGGGAAGAATTGTCGGCCATAGCGCCTTGACCGGGTAAACACTGAATCTCCGTAGATATCCGGCAAATCCCATGCCCATGAGCTGGACAAAAAGCGTTAACATGAGTTGGTATCCGAAGTTGACAAATTTTAGCCCGTAGTAGACGTCCAGCCTTTGCACCAAAATCTGTCCAACAAGTCAGCCTACATCATCCCAATCACCATACCGAAAACGTACCATTCCATATGAGTTGGTGGTGTAGATGGCAATATTGTAGCAAATTGTGGAAAACATCTGCTCCTTGAACGTCCACGGCCCTGGGTTGAGCGAGTGACGAACACCCCAGACCGTTATGCCCCAATCGGGGAGCACCCATTCGAGGAACTTGGCACATGGAAACAACAAAATCTGGATAACCGACCCACTAAGCCCTGCCAAAAACAATCAGTCCCAGTATCCAAATGTTGGAGGAAGAGTGAGTCCTCGGTACAGCATCCAACATACCGATAGACGGAAATCTGCTGTTAAAAAAGGTCGACATAAAAGTTCCAATGACGGCCCACGCCACGCCCAAAAAGTATGCCCTGATCGTCTCAATCGGCACAGTCGGATCATCTTTCAACTCTTGGACCGCGCGAACCCCGGGATAAGGTGACGAATAGCGCATCAGAGTGGCATCGATTCGCAGGTCCCGGTCGTAAAACTCTCCATAAGCTTTGGGGCCTTGGAGCAGGCGCTTCATACGCTCTCGCATTTCCGAGGGGAAGTTCCAGTCGTCGGCATGGAACCTGACGGATTCCTGAACGATGGCGACGGCCTCCTCCTCGGTCATGTTGTCGACCTTTTCGCAGATGTAGTCGCCCTCCCCGTTGGGAGCCAGTTCTTCGAGCATCTCATGTGGGATCTGTTCGCTGAACTTGTGGGTTGTGCCGGCGCTCGACTGGATCTTTTCTGGGTCATGACTCGACACGCGTCGCTTGGTGCCGCCGTCGACATCCTCGGCGATCTCAACGGTTGGGCTTGGGGGTTGCATGGTGTTTGCAGCAGCAGCTCATTAGAGTTCGCCGACTTTGTTGACCCCAACTTGACTGTCGCAGGCAAAGGCATTAGTCGAATCAAAAGTTGGGATGAGGGGATCGTCGAGTGACGATTGAACTCACATTTGTCTGCTGGGCCTGTATGTTGGATGGGCAAGCCACATGAGCAGCGTGATGTGCACACGGATACTTGAGAAGTGCGCAAGGGATAAGAATGCGGGGGTGCCAAAGAGAGACATCCTCAATCTTGATGAAAATGGAGGGAAGCTCCGAATCTCGAACACAGTCTAGAATGTGTCCTACGTTACATGCATTCGAATTAGGGTCTGGAACGGAGAGATACCAAGTGATCAGAAACTGCCTGGATGTGGTGGTGGAAGGCATATCTGGTAAAGTGCGGGGAAGCAACGGCGGGATTGGGAAGGAGCTGAACACCACCTATGGTACCTTATCGTGATTTCATTTCCATGATACTAGTGTACATGCTGGTCATCAAGCATTCCCAGAATTTGAGAACCTTACCACCGCTGTGGTCATTGAAGGCGTTTGCCGACGAAACCTGAGTGTTGGCCTTCACATGTGATGCACATAAAGAGCCAGTGCTTCCATGGTACTGTACCCGAAATCCTCAACCTCGAGTGCAATGATGCCAATCAAGAAACGCTCATGTTGGCAAGAGAGGGGCGGGATTCGTACACTCACACAAATGTGAGGAAGGAGCTAGAGACCTAATCTCTTGCGTAAAGTTTCATCATCATCAACTCTCCTCCTCCTCTTAACACTCGCCACGGCCACACTTCCCGTCAGCTCTTTAAGTACCTTATCTTGGTATTTTCCCAACACATCACACTGTAGATGGTTGTTCACTTCATTTCCACTCCCCCTCCCCCACTCACTTCCCAGCAGGCCCAACAGACCCAACACCCTTCAGCGGCTTCGTAAAAACCACATCCTCCACCGTCTCAATATACTTGTCCTCATCCAACAACTTCCTAATAATCGGCTGCCGATTATGCGCCTCAAACGCTTCCCTTCCCGTGTACTGCTCAAAAAAGTAAAAGACCCTTGACCTCTTCTTCTCCCCTCCTCCTCCTCCTTCTCCTCTTCCCGCGTCGTCAGTGGTGGTGTCTTCTGCTTCTGGTTCCTGAGAAATAGAGTAATAAATCATGCCTGGCTCGGAAGCAGCGAGACGGGTGGTTTCTTCGTAGACGCGGGCAAGGGCGGAGGCGTGTTGGGGGCGGGCGTAGACCTGTGTGCATGGGATCAATTAGGGTTAGAGTTAGCCGATGGAAGAAGGAAACTAAGGGACTGAATTTACTTACTTTTCCGAAAACGCAAAACTCGCCCTCTGGGATAGCGTAAGACGGTGATGGTGATGACTTGGCTGTTTGTGTTTCTGGCTCTGGGGGAGCTTGGTCGTTGTCGGGAATGGGAATCTCGTCGGGCATTGTTCTTGGGTTGGTTGGTTGGCTGGCTGTAAGAGCCGACCTGGGATAAAGCTGAATGAGGAGCGTGGAGAGTGTGTGTGTGTTGTTTAAGCGTGATGGTTGGGGGATGAAGGTCAAGAGATTCTAGCGCTTGGGTCAACCTTTGTATAAAAACATCGATGCGAGAGGTTACATTGTAGGTCTCAAGCGCTACCTGAGTGAGCTAGGCTAGAAGCGTGTACATATAACAAGAAAGGTAAGCTTACAATCATGATAAGCCCTAGAGGTAAACCAATCACGTGTTGTTTATCAAGCAGACAATGTCATAAGCTTGCTTAGTTGAGATAGTCCAGGAATATGTTGATATCCTCTTTTGCGTCGAAATAAGTCGTTGACCCGGAAAACATACACATTAAACACTACAAGTAAAACACACACTGAGAAACAAGAAAGTAAACAAAGGAAACGTATGAATGGGCCCGTACATAGAGCTCTGCTTCTGATAACCAGTCCCAACCGTAACTGGGTTCCATCATATAGTTTATAACCCATGTCCACCGAGGAAGAAGGGGAGAGCCAACAACCGACGCTGGGCAATGAGACCAGACCGCCTTTAGCACTTTACGATCCACTTCATCCTTTTTCGCTCTCTCATTCCTCTCTACCCTCAACTCCTCCATTGCCTGCCCAAGCCTCCTCCTTCCCGTCACCGTAATCTCTCGCAGTCGAACTTTCCACTTCTTCGAGGCCCAAACGCGAGTAGTGTACTACTCATCCCCCAGCAAAGCCTTCGGATCTGGCCCATGATTATGCATCGCCGGCTGCTGATCCGGCCCCACCATGGTCCACCTCACCTCAAACGTCGAGCTATGCTTGGCCGTCTCCCTCAGCACGAACCTAAACGGGCAATTACACTTATCCGTCCCGATCCTCCGTTGGTACGGCTTCCTCTGCCCATTGCGTCTCGCCTCCTCAATCTGCTCCTGCGTCGGGCCCGGCACAGGCCGATACTTGTTTCCGCTGAGCGCGCATGACATGGTCAGGTGGTACCGGTCATTCTTGATCTTGGACCGACGAGTAATAACGCGGTATCCGTGCTGGCGCGTCCAGTTGTTCACCACGACTGAGGCGCCATTGGGACCCCCGCCGACGTAGTTCTTACCCCCCGCCGAGGTGGACAGTTGGATGTGGAAGATGTGGCCTTGAGGTGGGTAGGCCATGTCGAACCCTGCTCCTGCTGCGCCTGGTCCGGAACCGCCGTTGTTGTTGTTGTTGTTGTTGTTGTTGTTGTTGTCCCCAACCCCCCAGGAGACGGAGGGGAGGGATTGGTCGCCTACTAGGTTTGCCGAGAGGAGCTGGAGCTGGCGAGATTCTTCGTCGTCGTCATCATCGTCCACGTCGTGGTCCATGCCGCCGACGTTGGCGGAGTTGTCATCGTGATGATGACCATGGTCGCCGTTGACGAGGCCGCTTACGCTACTTTCACCACCACCGACAACACCACCGCCGCCGCCGCCGCCGCCGCCGCCATCGTGGGATTGACCGGCTGTGAGAAGAGCATTAAAGTTGATGTTGTTGGTTGCCGCGTTTGCAGATGTGGCCACTAGGGTGGAAGTCGCAGCAGCCGAGACTGGGGCGTGCTGTTGCGGAAGAAGAAGGGGTGCATGATGTCCGCCAGGCAGGGATGGGACGCCGTAGGCATCGAGACGATGGATGATACCTTGGACAAGCTGGTGAAGTTGACCAACCTCGGCTTGAAGTTGAGCAAACCGTTGGGCGTCAATTGAAACCAGAGGTTGCTGCTGAGCGGCCACCTGTTGTTGTTGTTGTTGTTGTTGTTGTTGTTGGACCTGCTGCTGTTGTTGTTGTTGCTGTTGTTGCTGTTGCTGTTGAGCTTGTTTTCTTGGCTGGCGGGGCTTGCGTGGCTGCTTCTGCCGCGCTTGACTTTGCTGAGGCTGGGCAGCTTGTTGTTGTTGTTGTTGCTGTTGTGAAATGCCAGGGTGTTGAGGTTGTGATTGCTGGAATTGCGGATGCCCGGGCTCGGGGGGTGCGGAAGTTGGCTCGAAGAGTGAGGACATGTAGGGGGGGTTGGGAGCCATCGTGGTGGAACTGGCGCTCCTACCTGGGCTGCTGTCGCATTCAGAGATAATCCCAAGGGGTCTAGAGAAATGCCAGCCAATGTAATCCAGAACGTAATCGGGCTCCGAAAGCGAATCCTCGTCCAAAGTTCTACTTGTTGAAATGGCCGAATGACGCCTTTGGGGGGTTGGGGAATTTGCACACTCCCAGCTAGAGCTCTCGCACGTGATCGCATGAGCAAGTACCTTGGGCCTGGACGGGGTTAGGGTTACATATGAACCCTCGAACAAAGAGGATGGCAGATAGGAAAGATCTTTTGCTCGAAACCACGGCGCATACCACGACCCCAAATGTATCTGCGAACCTCACATCCAAAGGCCTCCCGACCATCAATCTCCCTCGTATACAATGACTCCTGTCTCCATAAGCACATCTAGCCACATCCTCAAGCCATCGCCTTCACCCTCTTCACCCCCTTTTAAGTATCAGATTCGATTCTAGTTCCAATCTCTCACCCCCGCCCTGTCCTGATTTGCCAGGTAATCGATAAGACACATCCTCAGTATTTCCCGATGCGCCAAAGCATTTGAAGATGCCGTTTTCGTATCTCAATTGCTCATCTGGTTACAGTAGTGAAAGGACTTGAGTCAGCTTCAGTTTGACACAGTAAGAAGTTTTCCTATGAACATCCCTCGTGTTGAACCAACAGATACTTTATTTGTATCGAGGTCGTCAGAACAAAGGAAGTAGTTGTTGAAGAAAAGACTCACTGAGGTTAACGCTTGATATCTTCTTGTTGCCTCGGTTGTCGGGACATTGACACTCAATCACAAAAGGGGCGTTCCTCTTGCTTCTGCATTCGCAGTTACTGATTCCGTTTCCACTAATTAATTGGAACGGAGTTAGTGACTGGTCCATTTAGGTCTTTTTCTTTCTTCTTTGTTCATGTCCCAAGGTGTGCTGTGATATAATCTTCGAAGATGCGCAGTGAATAAATAGAGAAATTAGCGACAAAACAAGGAGAAAAACTTACTTCTCCTTCCACTTAATCTGCCCATTCATGTTTTCCAAACATTGGTTGAGGTCAATGTCGGTAGAAACTTCGTAACCTTTCAAACCACAATATCCGTGAAAGACGTTCTTCAAAGCGTTGTTACCCAGGCGGTCTTGACCTGGGTAAAGAAAAGCTGCCGTGCACCATATTGATGGACGTAAATCGTCATTTGAGGTGGCCTCAATTACTGCTGCTTGTGTGCTCAGAATAGCAATTAGATAGAGGACATTCGGCCTCATTGTAGGAGTTCAGGGGTATGAACACACGTCCCAGCAAGAACTAGACGTATGGAGGAGTTGGTGAAACAGGCCTGCATGTAGCTGATTGAACTCCCAAGTATGACAGTGTAGCACTGGAGATGGGTAAGAACTGTACTTTGGAAACTGGCAGGGCTGGCTTCCAGAATAGGTGCAACCTTATATATCTGTACTGCGGTGCCGCTCAACTCGGACAGACATTGCCAGTTTAACAAAGAAAAGTCGAAAAGCAAGTGACAAAATACAGCAAGGAGGGCTGACAGCCACACACGGTCTGGGCCTTTCATTGCCTTGAACAGCGGACCTTGCACGGAAGAGCAATGACGGGAAGAAGCCACTCGCGTGGAACATCGGCCAAAGACTTCAGCTTAGCTGTGCCTATCCGAGCTTGTATCCCCCCGTCGAGCGGAACGAATATCACTCAAAGAGAGCCAAATGAGTTTGGTGAAACATATTGCCTGGCTTGTGTAAGAATTGTGGGTTGGACAACGGTCGAGAGATTTATCAACTGGTGCCGGGTTCGGGGGCAAGGGCAAGCCGCAAGGCTGAGTAAACAGGAAAATCGATCACGAAAAGGAAATGCCGAAGACGTGCAAGTAACAAACATGCTCTTTTTGCACATAGGGTTCAGAGAAAAGTCATTGCAGACCTCGGATCTTCAATAGAACCTCCCGTTTCTGGTGGCAGACTGATAAAGTCGTCTCGAAAAACACAATGTTATAGTCGAAAGAACCGAGTGCAATTGCATTTCTCGCTCATGGCCGTTGTATTTTCCATATTCACGGGTAGAATGCGGGTATCCGGTGTTGTTAAGGCTTTGGTGCTTTCACGGGTCCTTCCCTGTAACAGAACCCTCATCAGCAAACAAACAGTCAAGCTCGGCTGGAATATGTTTGCGGTTTTTCTTTGTGAAGCCCAGCACTGGCCTTCCCCAATGTCCAATGGCATGAAGCAGTAATGAAGGGATTGCACTTGCGAACCTTTGCACTTACCTAGTTGTGCAACATATCACACATTGCTCTGTGCCAGCTTGAAGTTGATAGTAGTCATTGCGTACATGTTAGCCATGTTCTGCGTAGGGGGGCCTGCCAAATCTGGAAGGAAGATGAACGAGGTCCAAGGCAAGGCTTCCTGTCCCAGGCAGGCTTGGCAGGTCAGGATCTAGGCACGAACGGCTGTAGCCAGCCGTATAGTGGTCGCTGAAACCGGTAGTCCGTTGCTGTGGCGTGAAGTGGTGGACAGGCACATGAAAGGCCGAGTAGGTGAAGCGTCTGTGGGAGCATTGCCCACGCATTGACAGCCCTCGTTGTGTTCTAGGAGCGTGTTACTGGTAAAAAGGGACCTGCCGTCCGATGTGATTGTGGTATACTGCGTGGAAACTGAAATCAAAGTGCAGGCCCTTCCCAACATTCCCTCCTCAACCGGCCAAACCATGCTTGTTTGTGCGGAAACGTCACCTCCTTTTCTTTGGTAAACCCGGCGTATTCAAGATGTTGGATGAACCTAGGATGGGCGATTAGCATCCATGATCTGTCGAAAGCAGCGAAGATTTTCTGACACGATATCGACTTACCTGGTGTTGTCTACCCTGGGTTCGACACACATGCTCATGGTCCTATAGTCTGCCATGAACGCATAGTGCACCAAACCGCTAAGCCAAGTTTGTACTCTCCCACGCGCCCACTCCTCTCCTATCAGGACATGAACGCCACGGTCCCAGTCATTCGCTGCCTCCCCTCCAATGTAGCGACCCAACAAATCCTCCTTGACCCAGTAGAGTTCGAAGTAACCAAAGGGCACACCATCCCACATGCCAATGACAGGGAAGCTGTGTCGACTCTTGAGAGCATTAGTCAAGAAGTTGACCGAGTACTCACCCCAAAATGCAGAGACGCGTGGGCTTTGATGCCAGGCTTCTATTAGTGCCAAATCCGTCATCTGGGTAAGATGGTTTTGTCCTTGAGGTGGGTTCGGACCAACGGGGCCGAAATAAGGTACTGGTTGCGGAGATAGAGACGCCACGCGGAAGGCGAGATACTGGCCAACGGAAGGCACAAAGCGTGTGTAAAAGACCTCTCCCATGCGAGGAGGCTTTGGTCGGACGGGGTGACGCACATGGTTGGTGATTGTGTACTGCAGGGGCGCAGGAGGATAATATGTCGGGAGATAGGAGGCGCTGAAGAAAGGACCGATGGGATAGGACGGCATGGAACAAGGAGGCAAGGAGCCGTGGGATTCGGATACGTCCGTGATCTGGGATTGCTGAGGCTGGGTGCCGTGCTGGGCGGCTGGGGACCCAGGCCGACTGACAGCTGGAGAGCCAGGGTGGGACTTGAGGTTATTCGAGTTTGGCTGGAGGGAAAAGAGGAAGAGACGGCCGGGTATCTGCCAGAACATCTTGCGCGAGACAAACATGTTGGCCCACGGCTCGTCCGAATCATCCAAGGCGGTGCCGACAGAGGAGTCGGCGCTGGCTATAAGACCCATGCGTTCGAGCTTTGCTATGAGATTCCTCCCGCGCAGGACACCATCCCTCTTGATGCGAATCTTCCACTCACCACGCGGGCGGCCAGCGGTGGGCGTGGCCTTGGAAGCCTCGGTTCGTAGGATGGGCGAAGGGGCGGGCTGGTGGAAGTACCAATACAGGGTAACCCACAGCATCATGGCGATCAGTCGCGTGGGGCTGGCGGCGGGCTTGAACTCGCTGCTAGCAGGCATCGAAACCGAGGAAATGAACAGGCTGTCATTCTGGAGCGTGGGCTTGGTGTACGTGTGTATGGCTGGTTTCGACTCGGCGCCGTGTTCGTCGCCCTCTTTGGCGTCGTGGCTGGAAGAATCGCCGGGCTTGTGATCATCTTCGGTGTGTATGACGATGCTCCAGCCAGCGGGGATAGCGTGCTGGGGAGTACTGAGCTCGTGGGATTTGAAGAAGAGGCCAGCGAACACGGGAGTGACGCTGATGAGCTGCCCGTCGGGCAATCGAATGACTTGGGGTCCCATCGGACCGAAATCGTCTGTCCGTCTCTGGATCGAAGGGCCAAGTAAGGATGTCAGTGTCTCGCAAGACTCGGAGATGGAACGAAGGCTGTCGTGAAGATTGTAGAGGTAGTCAAGTGAAGCCGGCGAGGTTGAAACTGAAGGCAGGGCGGCAAACGGGCAGGGCAGCAGGGACAGCTCCGGTTGAAATAGCTAGTGTGGGGTAACCGGCGGGATAGGTAGCATGGAGAATGGAGACCATGGCACAGATCGTGACGCCGATCCGGCAATGGGAGCCTGGACACGATCACGCGCCTTGTATAACCGGGTATTAATAATTACATACGGTGATCTGGTAGGGTACATAGGTAATAAGCCAACGTAGGAAGAAATGTTCTGGAAGAAGGATCGGTATCACTCCATGTCGGCTTGGACTAGGACGACATGGCGAGATGGCACGAGATATGTGGGATCATGGCTTGGTCATCTGGAGCTGTTTGGTTCATGATATCTGACCAAGGCCACGGCTAATGTCAAGTTCAGAACCTCTACAGGCTCATTCTCTCCAAAGGTATCCCATTGTGCCGTTTCTAGGTGTGAAAGGCAAGAGCAGCGGAAACAAGGACGGGAGCGACAGCTCGAAGTGGAAGAGGCAAGAGGGGCAACGACGGGAAGTTGTAAAGCTCCATCCTGGTCATAACACATGGGTATCCACCTCAACCCCGCTGTTAACACAATACGTCCGAAAAGGTAAGAAGATAGGGCTGGACCTCGGCAAGTCACTAACTGAGTGACCGGAACATGGTCAGACCACATCACACAATGCACCCGACTACGCAGTACATCGCCGAAGAACGTATTTGGTGGAACATTTTGTCTGCCTTATTCGAAGAATTTTGCGCCCGGCATCCAGCCATCATATCGTATTAGATTATTTCGGACAACTAACATCAACATCCCGTCCAATCCGATCGTGTGTGTTTGCTCGTTTCTAGGTATAGGTACACCGGGTTCATGAATCTCCCGACTCCTCCTTGGACCCCTTCTCCTTCTTGCGTTTTCTCTTTTCATCCTCGGTGAATTTCTCGTCCTTCTCCTTCTCAATCGACCGGTGCTCGTCGTCTCTCCTTGACCTCTCTTCGTCGAGGACATCCTTTACGTCTTCACCCACGTCGCGCGTCTCATCCCAGTCAACGTCGTATTCAACCGCAATCACTCGGATCTCCCTCCTCAGTGCGTTTGCGTCCTGCACCAACTGCTCCCACCGCTCAATGTCGAAGCCCTTCATCTCGTACAAGGCATGCTGCCTTCTCGAAACCGTCACATTCATGGCGGCCTTGTAGCTAAGGTCCTTGTTGATATAGAGGAACCACAGATAACCGCCCATGATGGTCGTCAGTCCCGCCAGGTACGTCACCGGCTCGACCAGATCCCAGCCAAACTCGGTATGGAACGTCACATAGTACACCACTCCCCACCACCCAGCAAGCAGGCCAAACCCGCCCTTGGCGAGGCGATGTGCGCTCCGGTGTGCCAACAGATCGCACTCGTGCTTGATCTTGGCCAAACCGTCGATCTCGGAGCTCATTTTACGCAGACGCTGGCGCATGTAATAGGTCCGGTCCCCGAACGAGGGAACACTCACGCGCATCTCAATGTTATAGCCTTCGATTTCAATGGCAAACTCTCGGCCGCGCGCTGCGTCCCGAATAAAGTCGCCCATCTCGGTACTACTGCTCCACCGCACCCATCTCTTATCTTGGGAACTCCGCTTGGGGCCTCGGTGGCCAAGTCCGGAATACGAGGCCACGTGTGACAGGTTGGTATTGTACTCGCTAGGCTCCCCGTCATTGTCCTTGGATCTCGCTTCGGAGCGGCTCGTGGGTTTCTGGTCGCCTTGTTCGGAATCTTCGGCTCGGAAGTAAACGTTTGGGATTTTTTCCTGGCCATTTTCGACCACAGGCGGAAGCTCGGCTTGGACCAGGCGTTCGACGTAGGAAAGTGGCTGTTGTGGGTGTATAAGTAGAGCGAGTGGCTGGATGTCGCTGTTGAGTGATATCGAACGGCCGTACTCATTGTTACGGCCATTGTTCTTTTGGTCTTTTTCGACACGAAGGGGTAGCGGAAGTATCAGTTTGAGGAGACGAGTCGGCGTTGTCAGGAGCTTGCCTAGCGAGGAAGATGGTCAGTGATGGGTTCTGAGTCACGCATGCTCCATGTCTGCGGCTGCTTATTACCTTTTGCTATGGGTTCGGTATTGCCTTGGACCGGAGGCTTGTCGGCACCTTCGCGATGCCATGGGCGTCTTACTTGTTGCTCGCGCGCCCTGACCTCCTCTTCGTGTTCATCAAGCCGTTTCTGGTCCAATTTCTTGGCTTTTGCCTCGGCTTCTGTTTCCCTGGTCTTGGGCGACACCGAGGTAGAGGCTTGTCTCAGTGCGCCAATGGATATCCTAGGACGGTGAAGGGTGAGATTCTTCTGGGGTGATTCAGGGCACCAGCGGGCCAGAGTATTGGAAGACGGCATCAAGCGGCATTGCAGCCGCATGCGTACGCAGTTCATAGTTGCAGCTGGTCTGTAGAGATATGTATGTGCAAGCAAGGGTCGTTATATGTTGGATTGCATAGGGGAGTACAGGCGACTATTTGAGGGTACCGTCAGCAACGGCAATCAACAAAACGAGCCGTGGTAATGATGGTAATGAGGTAAGTAATGTAGTAAGAAAGTCCCAAGCGAGAGGGAAAGTGGGAGAGGTGGGGAGATGGGACGAACACCGACAGACGGGAACATTGTTAAAACCAGGTAAAAAGACAGCTCCAGATCCAAACAAACCTGTTCAAGCAAGGACCTTGGACGGGATTTGACATTAGACGGAGGTAACCAACACAACGGTCGTCCTCGCAGCCCGGGCTTGAAAAGCTGGCTGTGACCCAGGAATACACAGGAGAATAGATGCAGTGACGTCATTGGATGTTTGTAGTACCTACCCTACCTCGAGGTACCCCTGCTAAGCCCGCTGTAGTGCAGTGTAGGTACTTGTGCACTACATAGTACATACAAGTAAGTCATGTTCCAGACTCTGCCCCCATCACAGCGTATCTCCAATCACGCTAAACGACGACGTGCTGCTTCATCTCGTCACGGGATTTTCCTTCTTTCTTTCTTCTTTCCACTCGCCAAGGGAACTCACCACTTTCTTCTCAACATCTACACTACTGTACACCCCAGACTCCGTCTCTTGGTGGACGCGATTGTTGCCTGGTAATCACAATGTCGCAAGTGTCAACTCCCATTCCTTCAAACTGGTGTGATGCCAAACAATCCGGAATGGTCTGCTTGTGTCCCCGAAACCTGACTCCGGCAAGTGAAGGTGGTCAACGACCTGCTTCGAGTCGAGAAGGACGACATAAATGGCCAAACACTTGACACTTTGGTATACTAATCTCAACCCAACAGCAAACAGTCTGATGTCCTCCTCGTATCATCATGAGCACATTGTCAGACTCCCACGGAGTATTATTTGCCTGAAAGACAACCCCTTGGCCAATTTGGATATCAGTAGCCATGCTTGCCAAGCAGTGCTCATACTAGGTATCAAGGGACTATGCTTCAAACGAAAAGCAAGCAAACTTCCACCATCAGTCCAGATGGAGGCTAAGTAGTCCTTCGCACATTCGTGATGCCATAGCTCAGCATCTCTCCTCCTGGCCACTAGCATTGTGTGCGAGATTGCTCGTGAGACACAGATTATCCTCAATACCTAGGGCCCCGTGCCAATGAGCTATGCCTGGTTTATCACTCGACATTCAACACTTGGTCAAGTCACTGGGCAAGGCATCAGTACCGACTCGGCACACTTCCCAAAGCGCTCTCTTAGGCCTTCGTTTAAATGTCCCATTTTGGCACTCCCAACTACCTCTCACCACACGATGCCTATCTTTGAGAGGCAGAATTTCCGATTCGGCCGGTCAGAGAGCAATGCCGGCTCTGCCACGGTATCTGTAGGGCCCGAAATCATCATTGCCGACTGGTTGCTGGTCTGCGTGTCGGCCTTGTTCTTCGGCCTCCGCATTTACAGCAAGGTTCTGCGGAAAACATCTCTGTGGTGGGACGATCATGTTCTCGTTACCGCTTGGGTAAGCCAGCTACGCGCCCCTACGCTTGTACCCCCAATGCCTGGAACACTTCTTGTAGATCTTTTTGTTGTCAACCACTTACCTCTCTAACCTCCTTTCCATGATGCGTAGCTTTGCCTCATACTCGATGCCATCGTCAACACCATCAACATTCGTCTTGGTTTTGGAAAACACAGGGATACCATAAAGGCCGACCACCTCAAGCATATCAACACTCTTACGCACCTCTCCACCACGGTAATGATGCTAGGTGCCGTCTGGAGCAAGACTTCCTTTGGCCTGACCGTTTTACGCCTTATACGGGACCGACCAAAAATTAAAGCACTGGTCCTGGTCATCATTGCAACAATGAACTCGTTCATAATCTTCAACGTGATAGCGGTATGGATACAATGCCGAGTTGACGAGCATGGAAATGAAGACGACGAACCGAACTGCCTGAGCATTAAATTCACGGCTTCTTCCATGATATTCGCTGGAAGTGAGTATCAAGCCCCCTGACAAGGGGTGGCTGAGTGTGTTCAATTCCGTCATGCTAATCCATTTCTGCAGTATACTCGGGTCTGATGGACATCGTGCTTGCCATCTTGCCCTGGTGTCTGATATGGGACCTTCACATGCAACGAAAAGAAAAGATTGGGATCGGTGTTGCCATGAGCATGGGTCTCTTGTAAGAGAGCTCACAACCCCCTCCCCCGATGCCAGTTCCAAACCTAACCGCAGGTGTCTCTCCCGGCAGTGCAGCATGCACAGCGTTCGTCAAATGCTCCATGGTTCCGGAAATTATACACGGTGACTTCTCTTGTTAGTGGCTCTTTGCTTAAAATCCCACAGTACCCGTCAAATGCCTTTCTCTGTTGCTCCTACCACAGCCTTGCATTTGATACTCACATACTTCTCTCAAACATTCTAGACCACGGGTACAGACTCATCATATGGGGCGCTGCCGAAGTAGCCACAACCATCTGCGCGGCCTCCATTCCACAACTCCGCGTGTTAGCCCGCGAGGTCGTCATCATCACGCATCGGAGGCACGAAGAAAGCACCCACGGGCATCAGCTGCAAGAGCAGCATCATCACATGGTCGAAGCAAAACACACTGAAACAAGCCAAGATTCTGGTTCTGGTTCTGGTTCTGGTACTGGTTCTGGCTCTGGCACTGGTGCAATTGATACACCAGCGGCAGTACCACTTCAGCCACACCCATCAATGACAACCGGTCAAGTGGCCTCCTCCAGGTTCGCACCCACATTCGCGGCGGCCACGATTAATCCTCCATCGAACTCGAGCGTTAGCAGCTATACCGGGCTGCTTAGGGGTACCTCTGATGCTGGGGTTGGGGTTGAACGGATCCAAAACAAGAGCAGAAAGCAGGAGCGGGAGCGGGGTAAGGACGGACATGTACATGGACGTCCACAAACAAATAATGTTCCTCGGGGGATGATGGGGGGTTTTTCGGATGCAGGAGGTTAAGGTTCAGGTACATGATATGGTGGGAGACCCACACGACCTCGATCTGGGGCAGACATTGTAATGAAAAGTAAAACAAGGCAAGCTAGGAAAATCAAAACTTGAGGGGTGGGAAGGAAAGAATGGGTCGTCGAGTTGGAGGGGAAGGAAATAACATGGTATATATATCACCGGGAAACGTCTTAGGATCTAGGTAGGTCAGAAACTGACTGTCTTGCTTTCATTCACATTCCGGTCATTGACTTCCTTAGCCTTTTGAGCATTTCCGAGTGTAAAACTGTCACGAACCAACTCTACTCGACATTCTGAGGTATCTTGGGATGTAGTTTACTTCCTCATCCTCGGATATACTTCGCGGCGCCATATCAGTCAGCTAGAGGCCGTTCACTAGGTACCTAGCCCGAGGTTCACAGTCTCACCCACAGACCAACCAGCTACCTAATCTTCCAAAGTAAACTTCTCCCCAACAATATCCTCACTAAGCTTCCAAAGTCTTTCCGCGGCCACTACATCTTTGGCATGCGGGTGTGGATCCGAGATCTGACAGTCCACCAGATATAATCCTTTGGTTTCTGTGTCAACCATGTGGTTAATAAAGGAACATTGACACTTGACTGGATACTCCCAGGAAATCCACACAGCTGGGCAACAAAAAGAAAAAGAAAAGAAAAAAAAAAAGACGTACCATCCAAAGCCGGATCCAACGCCGCAACCATCGTCGTCGCACACCCCTCATCCTGCGACTTCCAATACATCTCCAACTTGTGAAACTCTTCCTTGACTTCGGGGTCCTGATCCCTTCCCAGTTCCGTCTCGATAGCTGTTCACACACACACACACACAAAATGTCAGTCCATGCACATCTCACTCAATTATCAGTTATTAACAAATAATCTTTCGTATCCGGCGGGAGGAGCCCCCACAATGGACACAAGAAAAAAAAAAAAAAAGAAAAAAAAAAAAAAAAAAAAAAAGGACATACTCCCAGGATGCAATGTAAAAGCCCCAATTCCCTTCCCCTTCAAACGTCTCTGCAAATACAACGTAAACAGAATATTCGCCGTCTTGGATTGTCCATACGTCACCATCCCGTTATATCCATCCGCCGTACACTTTGCAAAGGCACCAGGTAGGGGGTGCATGTGATCTTCCCCCGCTGGGACTTCTCTATTAGGGTCAGAAAAGTTGTAGTCGCTGAAGCGCATAGGGGAGAGACGATGGCCGGCGCTGGAGACGGTGATGATGCGTGCCGGTGGTGGTGATAGTAAGTTGTTGCGTAGGAGCAAGTTCGTAAACAAAAAAGTGCCAATGTGGTTGGTGCCGAATGTCAACTCGAGGCCGTCGGGTGTGGTCTGCCGGGTGGTGGTGTTGATGGCGGCGTTGTTGATTAGTATGTCGAGTTTCCTGTTGTTGTTGTTGTTGTTGTTGTTGTTGTTGTTGTTGTTGTTGGTTACAAGGCTGGTGATTTCTGTGACTGCTTGACGGATGGATTGCTGGGAGCTGAGGTCGAGGGAAACTAGCTCTATTTTCGGGTTGGTAGTATGATGGGGAAACTTGGTGGTGCGGATTTGGTCTGCGACTGCTTCGAGTTTGGATTTGGTGCGTGAGGCGAGGATTAGCAGCTCGGGCGCTTGCGAGGCAAAGGCAAGGGCGGTGGCTGCCCCGATTCCTTTGGGACTGACGCCTGTGATGAGGACTGGCGGCGAGTGGTGGTCAGTTTTCAACGACATCTACCTACAACCACGAGAGAGTCAGGAGTCGGGATTTTTCTTTACTTGTTTTTCCGCGAATTTGGTCGGCAAACGCGCTGGCGACCTCGGTGCCTGTTGTCCGCTCGTTGAATTCCGGGTGGGAAGTCATTTTGAGCTGATGATGATGACTGATGTCTTTGATGGTAGTGTAGTTGTAGAGTTGCTGCTTAGAGGCTGTCAAGTCATGGAGAAGTTTCACTTCAACTGGGGCGGAGGGGTTGACACAATGTAACATTCAATGGAAGCAGGCACCGGATGAAGTCGTCAACCCCTCACTACTACCGGCTAATTTTCGAGCCGGGCGTGAGAGCTTCCTGCTTTCTTTGCCCATTTTGTTTTGGCGGTCAATTGAGATGTTTCAATCGAATATAATTCCTCATCGCGATGGACAGTGCTGGAGTGGAGTTTGATGTTTGTATGCGCGTTGTGGAAGTTTTTGATGTCGAGAAAGCTTGTGGGTTAACGTCAACTTTAAGTGCCTCTCGTCTGTCAGCGAGCTGTGCCGCTCTTGCGTGTCAAGAACAGCTCTTTCCGCCGAGGCTCATTTTCATGGAGAAGTCGTCCCTCGCCGATAGTTGTCGTCATTCGGGGATTCAGTGGAGAAGGACTGCCAGACCTCTTCCAGTTCAGTTCCTTAGCTTGTTGAGAACAACCGTTCCATCAAATTCACCACATCAACTCGTCGTGGACCAGACTCGACGTCTTCAGATTTCAACTCGATAGGTCAGTTGAATTTCCGACACGGATCCACGTCACCATGGCTTCAATGGAGATCTTTGTCGGTCGCAACCTCGAAGGATAGGTACAGTACAGGTGAAAACTCTCACGAAGAGCGCCTACCGATGTGAATCTGTTGGATCTGGACTGACATCCGACGACGAACTCAGAAATTCACGGCCGCTTCTGTCTCTAAATCATTCCTCTGTTTCGATGCCATGCCAAGGACCGTTCTGATGGTGCAGTCAATCCCATCTATAGGTAGGTACAGCCATAACAGTTACATCCTCCCGAGACTCACTCTGAGCTCGTACCATTCACTTGCAAGAAAGGATGCCTCAAGATGTCCTCAAGGGACATCCTCTGGTCAGGAAACCACCGAAAAACCCCCCGCAAGAGATCCAGAAACATATCCGCCTTCTCTTTTGGCAGTTCGCTCTGCATCACCACCAGATGAAGCGGGCTCTTTGCTCTCTTATGCCTCTTCCTCCACTTCTTGAGCGCACTATACCTAAGAAATCCAACATGCGCCGGATTGGACGGAAACACGGTCTTCTTCCCCTCATCCCGCTCCTTCCATGCATTTCGATACGTTGTGGGGATGGGACCGAGAAAGTATTCCATCTCGGCCAGCACGTCGGTTTCGAGGCACCCGTCAACCGATTCCCGGCTGTCTGGGAAGGCAATATGCCCCGCGCAGATCTTGACCATGGAGCAACCTAGCGCCCATATGTCACTTTCTACGCTCATGTGCCCGTGACGACGTACAATGCACTCTGGCGCTTCATAATGGACGGGAATCAGCGAGTGACGCGGCTCCCATGAGTGATGCCAGGCTGAGCCCATGTCGATCACGGCCGCGCGAGGGACCTGTCCTATAAAGCCTAGGTCCAAGTTTTTGCGAGCCAGGATTTCTTTGAGGGCGTAGACGTCGCATTTGGCAGGGAAAACAAGGTGATCTGGTTCTTTAAAGGGCTCGGGATTTTCAAGTTCGACTGCCTCCGGCTGGCCATACACCTGCATGATCTCGTCTTGACTCAGCTTATCCAGGTGAGGTAGGTAATACAGGATATTGGCCGGCCTGAAATCCCCGTGGGCGATGCCCATGTTATGCAGCTTCTGAAGAGCCAGCGCAATCTGTCGACAGGCAAACAGGCTGCTGGCCTGACCGTTCCCGTCGTCCCGAGTGGAGCACGAACCCTCCTCGTCGTTCGAAAGACGAAGAACTTGTCTATTATCCACCCTTGGCCCAAGCAGAGGGAGCACCGAGCAAGTATAGGTCGTCTTGCCACCGGGCCCCCCTCTGATGGGGAACTGTTCGTACGGAATGGCGACCTGATACTCGGTGAGCGCTTTTTCGGGGCTGATACCGGCACGCTTGAACTCCTTGGACACTTGCAGGTCGGTGTCGGCAGTGCCTTGACGGTGCATCTTGATGGCTTTCCATCGTGACGGAGCATTGGCGGGGGGCTGGGTGTCTTCAACGAGCCAGACGGTGCCGTAGGTTCCGTGCCCGAGCTTGTTGATGACATGAAAGATGCGGTCGGCTTTCTTGGCTCCGATTTCCGTGTTGATTTCTACGGGAAACAGTTGTCCGGATGAGTATAAGTCACGGTCCTCTGTGCGGCGTCCACGAGCTTCGTCTTTGGTAAGCAAAACCACCGGGATATTATGAAAGGGGCTTCCTTCGCCTTCGCGAGCAGTGGACATTGCAACATGTGCAACGAGGTCTGGTGCTGGCAGAGTAGTAGTTTTACTGTAATCCAGCCGACGATACGCAGAACAGGATGCTAATAGGAGTACATGACAGGCCTTCTTAATTATGGTAGGCTCAGAGTGCCTTTTAAGTCAAACCCATGGCTTTCTCCCCCCTAAGGTGTTCGCGATACTGCACGGCCTGGTGGCCTCTCATAGCAGCGATGTCAGTCCAGCACATAGTGAATCCTTCTACGTCTCGCCTGAGGCCTCGTCTGTCGCCTTCTCTCAGGATTTTCTTTCGATGAAATGCAGTACAGGTAGCACAAAAGTGCTGTTGCCTTGGTTGGACCTGTGATCATTCATTCACTCACGCAAGCATCACAGGTTTTGGTGATAATTCCCCTTTTGTCTCGTGACTCCCTTTGTCACAGCAACAATAGACACGAAAAAATGAAGGAAAACAAATAAAAAAAATGGAACATGCACAGTCGCAATAGATTGGTAAGAGGAGTGAAAGAGGAAAAAAAGTTTTGGGTGATCATCGTGCGACGTGGGCCTGATTCGAACAGACGCTCCCGAAGGAACAAGATTTCTAGTCTTGCGCATTAGACCACTCTGCCACCACGCCATGGGTTGTTGTTAACAATTTTTAGCGACAGTACATTTATAGAACCGAGATAGTTGGCGCTATTCTTAATCTGGTCTTGCGAAAAGAAGACGGTCATGACGGAACGGCTCGAAAGTCAATTAATATGGCTGGAAACTCAACAACATCGTGAAGATGTCAAATCTTATTTCCATAATGGTGATCAAGAAGTCCGTCCGTCGGTCGAGGAACATGCGCTTGTGGGTGGGTTGCGCAAGGAAGAATCAATCCACCAGGCAAAACCTATGCTCTCTTTTCCCTCCAACTCTTTTCCTCCCTTTCTATCTTCCCATTCAATCTTTCTAATCTTCAATCCAGCTTCCATTTTCCTTCGAATACGCGGATAACAGTGAATGCGAGTACGAACCGAACTTTCTCCGCCGTTTTCATCTCGTTTATAGTTTCAGTTACTTTCTGCCCAAAGTTCCAGAGGTTCCAGAACCACGTAACCCCGAACCTTGGAAAAACGCGTGGCATTGTATGTAACCGTGAGCAGCGGTGAGATAGATCTTGGTTAGCCATGTACCCTCTTTTGTCGCCCTAGTATAGTTCCCGGGCTCCTTCAACATACCGAACGTATCGTAACCTTTGGACATACTTCCGACCTTTCCCCATCATTCTACACTACAAAACCCATGAATCCATGTTCGATATTGTCTGAGCTCCAAGACAAAGGGGTTGGTTGCTCCAGAGTTTCACCACAAAATCCCACCAACCCGGTGCGGAGGGCTCTATTGGTGGGTCTCTAGCATTCACAGAACACAACATTCACTAGGCCCAAACCCCACTCTATGCCCTACCCAGACCGCACTATATCTAGCCTTCCAAACTTTACTAATCTCCCTCTTTCTCCTCCATAGCACACACTCAATCAATCGCATTCAACCGCTTAATCTTATTAATAATCTTATAAATTATAAGCCCTCTCTCTAACCTTTCCTATAATCGTATTTAACAAACGCATCATTAAGTATATTGCTAACCTTAATTTCAATAAAACGCCGCAATACCGGATCAAAAGAAGCAACCGCAACCTTCGTCTTTAACAACTCGCCCGCTCACCCACAAGCCAGCCTCGCCACATAAAGATTCTCGCCAATATTTATTATTCAACGACCCCTCCATCGAATTAATTATTAATTTATTTATTAAACTAATTATCGGTTTATTTATTATCGAATTAAACAATTTATTCAAATTAATTAACAATTAATCTAGTGACTACTAACTTCCTTCTTTTCAATATATCGAACCCTCCTATACCAACTACAATTACTAACTTATTGCTAATTCCCCTATTTAATAATTAGAATATTGCTAATTAATATTAGGGATTTATAACCGAACTTAATTACTTTTAATTTACTAAATATATCTTCAAAATAATCTTAGAACCTAATAAAGCAATAAATCCCGAAAAGTATAATACTTAGTAGATTAAACGTACTAATATTAATAAAATTCTCTTTTCTATTCTTAAAACCCCCGCTATTATTATAATTTTAATTATTAATAGATAGAATAAAATTAATAGAGACCCTAAGGTTATATATAATCTCATTCAATCTTATATTGCCCGTATTACTAACGAAGTTCGTAACGAAATCTTCGCCAAATATTTAACTATTAAACGTATTAACTTTAATATTATAACTTCTTTCCTTACCCGTTACACCTTACTCCGCAAACGTATTAAAAATACTAAATTCAAAATTAATAAGGACTTTAAAGTTACCTTTCTTTATAATACTATGAAAATTATTTACCCTATCGATACTAAATATTAGGTAGCCGCTTTAAAAGCCAATAAACTAGACATTAGTACCTTCTTAGCTAAACTCGGTAATATTAACAATATCGAATCCCGTACTAATATTAATATTAATATTTAAAAGTTAATTAATAATAATATTAATAAGAATAATAATAATAGTAGCTTAGTTAATAAGAAGAAGAATAATAGTAAGTAAATCGATTATACTAATTATAATAAAAAGATTTACCCTACTTAGAAGTATATCTCTTATAGTTATTATATTAATAAGAAGGTTAATATCTATTAGGTTTACTTCCTTAAGAAGGCGCTTAATATTTAAAAGTTTAAAAAGGATATAATAGCTAAAAAGGCAACTAACGCTAGCATTAGTACCCTCGCTAATAATACTTCTATTAATCTTACCACTCCCGCCACCACTACTAATTCTACCTTATTATATAGAGGTAGAATATTTATAGGCTTAATTAGCTTAGGTGGTAATAATATAGATTTTTATTAGAGCCCCTAGCTAACGCTATTAAACGTATTGACTGTACTTAGAATAATTAATTAATCGATTCTTTTTAATATTAACTTCAATTCTAATATACCTATAGTAATTTAGTTAAAGTCCAATAGGCTTTAAGGTAATATTAATTTCAATAATTAGACAATATTCGAAATCTAATTATTTACAACTCTAATTATACAAACAATATTTTTAATTACCTTAAATAATTTATAAATATATAATTATTACTATATCCAACTATTTATACAGTCGGCAATAGAACCTTGATTTACGTTTACTATATTAGTACTATTAAATTAACTATAGCTACCCTAAATAATATTATTATTAAAATTAGAATTAAAAATTACATTTATAGTCCCTCTACCCCAATAAATCTATTAACCACTAAAGGTCTTTTTGATAATAATATAGTCTAGAATATAAAATCTAATTAAATATCAACGTACGGCAAAATTACAATACAATACAAATAGATTAATAACCTTCCAATCCTCCTAATATTTACCTAGCCAAACTTCCCCTAAAACATTTATTATACTATAATAGCCTTAATTAACTACTCAATAATACACCACCGCCTTATATACGCAAGTAAAGACCAAGTTCTAAAAATTTATAAAACGGCCGGTATTAAACTAAGCAATACCTAAAATCACTTTTGCAAAGCTTATATTAAGGTAAAGGCATACAATGTAATCCCTAAAATCGCTAATAAAATAACAATTTAATTATTAATTTATATTTACATCAACATTATTTCCTATACTTTACTTAATTACAAAGAATATAAATACATAATCTACTTTATTAATCAAATTACCAGATTCTATTAAGCAAAGTTTATAATTAATAAAAGCAATACCTTCGTACAAATCAAAAAATTCAAAAAATAGGCTAAATTTCAAAGTAATAGGCTCAAAATCAGGGCATTTAATTTTAATAGCAATCTAAAGTTTAGCTTTAATACTAAGGAATTTCAACATAGTAAAATCGTCGAATAAGCATATATAAAAAACGTAGAATTATTAAAATTAATACCCTATACTCTATAGATATAAGGTAAGATCGAGAGAGCTAGTACTATTATTATACAATATACTAGAATTTTAATAATAGACCTCAATATTCTAGAATATTTATAACTATTTATAATAAACTATATTATTAAAATACTCAACCTTCTACCTTCTAAAGTAAATATTAAAAGCAAGAGCCTATAGGAATTACTTACTAAAGTAACCAACTTCCTAAATAAAATTAAGAAGCTATATTTTAAATATTTAAAGTTTTACTTCTATATAACTTACTATTTTATTAAACTAGAAAAGCAACTATAAAGCGATAAATTTCGCGCTAGAGCTCAGAAGGGTTATTTTATCGGCTTTAACAATATCTATAATCGTATTATATTTATTTAGAATCCCTATACTAGCAAAATTATTAGAACTAGCGTAGTAACCTTCTTTAAAAAAGACCCGGTCAACTATAAAAATCTAGTACGTAGCAGTAACAGTAATATTATTGAATATTATATTATCTTTTTAAACTAAATAATTAATAAAATTAATAAAATAATAGATAGCGGTTACTAAATTTAGGTCAAAGTAGATAATACAATTCTATAGTTATATTTATAGAAAGTAATTGAATTACTCTAATAAAAAAAAGTTAAAAAAATATAAGAAATAATAATTATACTACCTTTATTATTAGAAGTTATACTAATACCCTTAATCGTAACGGCTACTATAATTATTCTAATTAACCTAATTACCCTAATTAATTCGACTACTCTAATCGCTTCGACGACTCTAATAACCACAGCACCTCCGCCGAATATGCTAATTAATATAGCGCCGCTAATATTACTATTACCAACCCCGACTCCAACACTAAACTCTCCAACGCCGTTATTACTAGATTTATTATAATACTAACCGTCGGATTCTACGATTAGAGATACTATAGAGTATAACAATAATCTTCTTAATTTTAAAAATCTTAATAAAAAAGACCCTATACCCCGCAATTAATGCGACCGATGTAATTCTAATAAGTTAACTATATATACTACTCCAAGCACCCTACTACCTAATAATTTTCAATAATCAACTTCAAAAGCGAGATTGCCACTAATAAACATACCAAACCCTACTAAAACGCGATAATATACCCTATTATTAACATCACGAATTAATAAGATACGGCTTCAATTAAAGAACTAAGAGTAATAAGCCTCGAATTCGTAATAAGCTATTCCGAATTCGGACCTTCCAAACCCGAATTCGGACCCTCCAATCTCAAATTCAAACCCTATAACAATTCCGCCAAACCCTACAAATTAATAATCTATATAAATATAATTAGGATAGGGAAGCTAGCCTTCTAAATTTAATTTATAACTAAATATAGAGGTAAATAAAGGTAAACCTCGTTGCATTACAATTAAACTAATAGATTTCAAATATAATATTCAAAGGGTAAAAGATAATAATAGTAATATTATTCGAAATTCGATAGACTTACTTAATAACTTTTACAATACAATAGAGGGACGTCTTATTAAACGTACACCTATTTATTATCTTACTACCGTCAAAATTAACTACAATATAATAATTATCGTTACCGGTAAAGTTTAACGGTTTATATTAAAGAATTATCAAATCGCGCGTAAATAAGATAATTTTGAATTATACTAATTACCGGCTATAAAAAAGTAAATTAAAATATTCGAAAATAAGGGAATCTATACTTTAATCCCTAGATCTCTAGACATAAAAGTTCTACCTAATAAATAAATATATAATAAAAAGTACAATATTAATACTAAAAACTAGAAAGCTAGAACTAAATAGGTAATCTACAATAATTTCAAATAAAATAATTAGGCAATACAAGACATCTATATAATAATAGCCCACTCAGTCAATATTAAACTACTCTTAACAATTATAATTATAAATAACTATAAGTACTACTAATTCAATTTCAATACTACTTTCTTAAATACCTCTATTCCCAACAATACCTAATACTACGTTAAATAGCCGACAGCGCTTAAAAAGGCTATACCCGGTTATTATAAAGAAAATATAATATACTAATTTACTAAAGTACTCTATAATTTTAAACATTCCCCACTTTACTAATTTAATACTTTAGTACTAATATTTAAAGAAACTAAATTTCTACCAATCTCTATAAATTCTTACTTATTTACTAATAGAATATTAAAAGTACTATTAATACTATATATTAATAACCTCCTCGTCACCGCACCAACCGTAGCCATCGTTAATTAAATTAAAAACTAATTAGCCAACTATTTCAAACTCAAAGAATTAGGGCAAATATATATATTTCTAGGCTATAATATTATAAGGGACCGCCAAACTCACACAATCTTTATCTCCCAACAGCAATATACTAAATCGATCATCGCTAAATTCAACAATAGCAAGACCAAACTCTACAATATTAAAATACTATAGCTACCGGATTATAAGGTCTATAAGAGTATCGATATATCTATAAACAAAGCCAAATCTTACCCCAAAAAGACTAATTCATTAAATTAGATCTCAATAAACACCCGGCCAAACATCGCATTTACCGTCAATAAACTATTAAAGAGTATTAAGAAGCCTATTAACTGCTACCTTATTATTATAAAATATTTATAGAAATATCTATCCGAATACCCCAATTTAAACATTAAACTAGGCGGTATACTCTCGCTATCAATAGCCCCATCCTTTCACACATATACAGACGCCTCCTTTACCAATAACATTCCTTCAAAGAAGAATATAACAGGCTACATTATATTCTTTATTTATAGTCCCGTCCTTTAAAAGTCAAAACGGCAGGATCTTATTATAATTAATATAATAGAAGTAAAATTTACTAATTTAATACTTACGGCCAAAGCTCTTAATTAGGTTAATAGTATACTAAATAATTTGAATATAAATCTAAGACTTTATAAAATTAATAGGATTTTATATATAAATAGTAGTAACGCTAAAGACCGGATTTTCAACCCTAATTTACCCGCTAGAAATAAATATATCGATATATAATATAAATAATTAATTCAAAAGGTAGATAGGAAGGTATTCACAATTAAATACTTACCAAGTAACGAAATGCCGGCTAACGGTCTAATAAAATTATTAAAACTAAATAAACATGCCAAATTTATTAAATTAATAGGTATAGTCTAGAAGAAGGTTCCCTAAGTTTAAAATATCGTTAATACTATAAAAGATATTATAATATAAATAGTATATAAAGGTTTAGACACTCTTTAGCAGTCTTCTAGTCTATAAGGGTATATTAGTAGGTCTCTGGCATTCACGGAGCACAGCATTCACTAGGCCCAGACCCCACTCTGTACCCTGCCCAGACCGCACCATATCTAGCCTTCCAGACTTTGCCAGTCTCCCTCTTTCTCCTCCATAGCACACACTCAATCAATCGCATTCAACCGCTTAATCTCGTTGGTGATCTCACAGGCTCGCTGCCAAGACGTTGCAATTGCTGCGTTCTCCTTTTTCGACGTCAATGCGGCTTGACCCCAGAACCACCCCAAGCGAACTGCAAACCGCGAAAGGAAAGGTGCAGTCGGCGCAGGACAACTGCCGATACCCCATGACAGCATCAGATCATATCAAGATCCTAATCATCAGATAAGACATATACATTTAGGGTCTACAGAGGGGGACATATCCGAACTCCACTTTTCCTGGGATCAGGTTCTATGGGGTTGATTGTGGAGGATTGTCGGGCCAGCTATGTACATAGCTACCACCGCCTCGTGAATATTTTGATCCCTTCAAGCGGTTCCCTAATCGTCGAGCGACGCACACGGTGTTTTTGGTGATTTGCGCGCGGTGTTGAGTTGAGCCTCTCGGCTGTTGACCAAACGATGGAGAAGGGTGAAAAGTCCAAGGGGAACGAAAGCCAAGCCATCCGGAAACACCGTAAAATAAAGCCAAGACAAGACTACGTACACCACAACTTGGTGTAAACTTGCAGAAAAGGCAAATGAAGGGAATCTGGGGTGCATGCATGCATACGCAAGCTCCTAACCGTGTTTAGACTTTTGGCCCTTTGCTCTTTTGGGATGGTTCGCACCTTGTCATTCCGTGGTGTCCTTATACAGAAAGCAAAATGTGGATCAGTGAATTGCATGTTTCGTTCCTCCCTCATGGCTGACATGCTATGTATCTTTTGTTTCTACATCTAGACTTACTCGTTGGTTAGGTGGATTCACTTCCCCAGCCAGCTAACTGACTCTCCTCGTCCTTTTAGGGAAGCGAGTTCATCTAACCGACGTGTAGAGCGATCAATTTAGACCTTTGTGTTTTGAATGGAGTAAAAACTGAAGTACTGGACTTGGCGTGATCATTTTCCCTTTCTACATATGTAGTACCTTCTGTTGCCAGGGACCAGGTACCATCAGGTGGTTGCAGATACCCAGCTTACGACTCCAAACCCCAGACAGAGTCAAGTTTCGAAACAACCCAGATCAGGACCTTTTCTGGGATTGGTGGAAGGGCGTGAAACCGCCGAGTAGTGTAATCGAACGGACGAACGTGTGGATCAACGGGGGGGCCTACATACTTCGGGAACGCATCGGAAGACGGACAGACAACATGGAGTATGCATACCCCAGCGATTACATACGACGTCAAACATACCGACACTTGGACAAAATCGAAAAGGGATCCTCGACATGGGGTGGGTAAGGGATGCGAATACGCAGTTGAATGTTGATATTTGGACCAGACCAGACAAGTATATAAAGGATAGGACATATCATCTTCCATCGACGATATCAAACCAGTCAAGCTCAACCTCATCTCACCATCTTGACAACCAACCGGCCACCAACACCATCCCATCCAACATTTTTCACACCACACAATGTCTCTCAACATGAAGTCCCTCTCCCTCCTCGCCGTGGCCTCCCTCGTCTCCGCAGGCGTCACCAACACCAACCTGCAAACCACCTTCCCCACCCCCTCCGGCACCACCGCCCTCCCCGCCGTCAAGACCATCGCGGCCGGCGGCAGCTTCGACGGCGGTATGTACCAATGGGACCGCTCGCCGTCGACCTGCAACCAACAGTCCGAGGGTGGCGACAAGGACGCCGTGTTCATTCTGGAGGACGGCGCCACGCTGAGCAACGTGGTGATTGGTCCCAACAACGGCGAGGGCGTGCATTGTAAGGGGAGGTGTACTTTGAACAACATGTAAGTTTTTGATCCTCTTCCATTCCTTCTTTCCACCCATCATACCACATACCACATCATACTAACACTTGTACCCAAAAAAACCAGCTGGTGGACAGACGTCTGCGAAGACGCCGCCACATTCAAGCAATCCTCTGGCACCTCCTACGTCAACGGCGGCGGCGCGCGTCACGCGAGCGACAAGGTCCTGCAGCACAACGGCGGCGGCACCGTGGCCGTCAAGAATTTCTATGCTACCGACATTGGCAAGCTGTACCGCTCGTGCGGCAACTGCAAGACGCAGCACCAGCGGTCGTCGACTTTTACCAATGTCCATGTCGAGGGCGCCAAGGTGGTCGCCGGCGTGAATGCCAACTATGGCGATAAGACCACCATCAAGAACTCGTGCATCAAGGACTCGAGCGTCTGCTGGCTGTATGAGGGTACCAGCAACAACAGCAAGGAGCCCAAGAAGATTGGTAGCGGACCGAGCGGAACTGCTTGTGCTGTTGCGGCGCTCAAGACTTCTGGGTGCTAAGAGGGGGGTGTCGAGGGCTGAATGGAGCTGGATGTTTGGTATGAGGTAATGCCGTTAACAAGGAACGGAAGTTGTATATGTGGGACGGATGTTGGTGGCAGGATGATTCTCTTCTTTTTGGAGAGACCAGTAGGTCTCGGTCTTCAAAACGCTGTACACATGTCAAATCGTTTTGCGATGGAGACGGACAGCACCTTGTAAATAATTCATTCGTACTGAGTACATACCATTTTGAAAAGCAAGAATGCATGCATAAATACTTGCTGGGCCACCATACTTTGACTTGACTGGTCGAACTCCCTCTGCTGCTTGAGCATCCGAACTCAAGCAAACTGTCTATTTTCCTGTTGCAGTATGACCCCAACCCATCCGTGGGACCTTTTCCCCTAACGCCGGATTCTTTCTTACCATGCTGTGACACAAAATTCTCCATAATAGCAAGCCGATAGATAACCCCAGAAGTGGTTGTGGCCATCAAACAATCTCATCGTGTGGCAAATCAGGAGGTGGCCAGTGGGACCATCTACCCACAGCACAGAGCAAGCCCATGTGATTTGTGACCCAGAGAATGGCGAAATGTAACAACAACAGGGAAACACTTGTTTTCCAACCTACCACCGTTCCCGCTCTCCTGTACTGTTCGTTGTCGTAGGTAGGAGTAATGTCAGGACTGGCCCTAACCATGTGCCCGTTATGGTCATGCAACTGGCTATTCTGGTTGTTCGCTTGCTCGTAGCTGCTTCCTCGCCTACTCCCGGGAGGAGGTACCCCAAGCATGACATTGCTTCCTCTTCGTGGCTCCGGCCTCCCGACTGGGTGCAGCAGGTCCAGAATCGCCAGAGCAAAAACCGATGTCAGGATGCTGATATTGGAAGCATACGGCCAGCAGATCCATGACAGCGAGAAGATTTTGATGGCCAAAAACGCAAGCCTAAGCAGCACTCCAAGGGAAAGACCATTTGCGTCCAGCCACATCCCAGCGTGATATCGTGTTAGCACTGCGCAGTGCTTCATCTGTTCAAGCCGGGTGCTAGGCGGTGGCATAAGCAACGGGGTTGTGATGGCTGGTGGAGATGGGTGCGGGGCGACGACGCTGCCGTTCCTAGAAACCGGGCCAAGTTCAAGCATATCGGATGCGCCCTTTTGGCGGGTATCGGATACTGGCGGGTAACCATCAACTGACGAGGGAAGATCCTCGTCTGGAGATGAAGACACTTTGGCATGTCTGTGGTCTGTTTGCTCAGAAACGGTCAGCGAAGGCGCATCCGAGGAGGACGCGGCGGGTGACTGACCTGGCATAGGCGTGCTGGGAGGCATGGGAGAATCTAGGTCCTGTATCCTCCGCCCGGCTAGGCCAATCGATGGGACAGAACCCGTAGAATTCCCTCCCAACCCGTCTAAGCTTGACTCGTTCTTCATGGCACTCAAAACCTCATTTGCACTCGGACGCTCGGCTGGGTTGATAGCAAGAAGCCGCTTAAGCAGCTGGTATAACTTTGCGGGAAGGTCGGGGCGCTCGCGTCGTTCATCTTCAAAACCCTTCCAGTCCGTGATCTCACTACGCAGTAAATCAATGTCCTCCAGCTCCTCGTGGAGCGAATTAGCATTGGCATATGGCAACCTCCCGAAACACATAAAGTAGAGAATCATTCCAAGCGAGAAGATATCCGACTTTGTCGTGAAGTTACCGTACTTGCCGCTTGCGTCCTTGATCAGCACCTCGGGAGCACAGTAAGAAATGGTGCCAGTCGACCCGGTTGACACGCGGACGGCATTTTCGGGCTGAACCTCGCCGAAATCACTGATGAGACAGCTAGTACGACCACCCTCGCGATGCAAAAGACAGTTGCTGGGTTTGAGATCCCGGTGGATGTAGTTGGCGGTGTGGAGGTAAGCAAGACCCGAAGTGATGTCCTTGAACAGCGAGAAGATCTCCTTGAAGGGCAACTGGCGCTGTGTGACGCTAGGCCGTTCGATGAAACCCTTGGATCGGCGGCGTCTTTGGGCCTTGATCTGCTCTATGGTCGGCTCCTTGAGCAGGTCGCCAATGACATATTGCTGCAGATCGCCGCCGTTACAGTACTGCTGGAGAATGAAGGCACATGCGACTTTGGGGCCGAACTTGTTGATCTTGACATCCTCGACCCACGAGAAGCGGTACGAAACCAGGTTTGGATGCGACAGTTTGGCGAGCAACTCGACTTCAACGAGCACCTTGCCCAGCCAGGCGTGGTCATCGCCCACGGGCACGCGCTTGCATGCAAAGTGACCCAGGTTGCAGCCGTCGATCTCGTGGCGCACAAGCATAACGACGCCCTTGCCACCGCGGCCGAGGGTACGCTCCTCGTGGAAAAAGGTTTCGAAATAGTTTGGGGCAAAAGCCTCCTTCTTGATACGGGTGGTCTCGGAGGGCACAGGCTCGCTGCTGACGAATTCGGCATTCTGTACGCCCACTTCGTTTCCACGATCGTCTATGGCAGGGACCGGACGGACCAAGCGGCGGATGGGGCTCGAGGGAGGGCGTGGGTTGGACGGAGCCTGGCCGTTGTGGCCGTCGCGCAACATACGGAAGTAGTCGGGGTCGACGTAGGACTCGCGACGGTCCGAATCATCGTCGACATGACTCTCGGGGGACGTTCGCAGGGGCTGGTGACAGGTGGGGCATTCGTGAAGCTGGAGGCCGCGGATCTCGAGGCGCTGCGTGAGGGGATCGCGGACAACAATGGCATTGCGATGGCGGCTGTTGAGGGACAGAGGCCCAAACATGTCAGCGTCATTGTTGAAATCGAGTAGGTGAGGAGTGGGATGGCACGGCGTACAGCACAATCTCTCGCCCTTCGCGGGGGTGGTATGGGATGAGTGACATGACGACTGCTGCTGACTTTGGGTGGTGGTGGTGATGCTGTCCTCAGGACTTGGAGCTGGAGATGGAGTGGACGCCCATTCTGTTTGATGGGCTTAAATCGCCGTGTTCAGACGGTCAAGTTGAGCGTCTGTTCTGCTTCGTCTTCTTCTTTTGTGTTCTTTGTCGCTGTTGCCGTATCGGGGCTGTCGAAGGCTCCCGTGTTTGCTCGAAGCTGTGAATGGCGGGGATGGAAATTGGGAACCTTGATAGTGGGAGATGCAGGTCGGTGGAGGTGTCAGAGAAGTGGAAAGTTCCGAGAGCGGCGGGGGGACGGTTCAGTTATTCAATCACTACCAGGTTGGTCTGCTGGGGAAGCTTGACCGTTTGCAACTAGGTGGGTTTGTAGCGAATATAGAAGCTAATATAACCTACCTACCTACCTAACTTTAGCAGCTGCATTGCAGGTCATCATCCTTCCTTGGTTAAGGTAGGTAGACTAGCCAAGTGGCCAAGGTAGTGCGTCCAGCTAAGAAAAAGGCGGGAGCACGGCAGCCGGGGCCACCTTCAGCTCTGTGACAAAGCCTTTGAGAACTGACTGTGTCTTAACAATTTCTGTTTTCTTCGATGACTTCACCCCGTGACATTCATTGTCTCCCCAAAACAGAAAGTCAACACCGACACGACACAGACCCAAATCTCAACCTCCTTCTTCCCACCATGTCAGCTATAACCAATTAATCGCCTCTCCACTCTCCTCTACATATTTAACCACTATAATATATGTGTACGCCACGTACTGCACTGCCGGCAAATGGCCCCGACCATCTCTTGGCTCTGCAGGTGCAATATCTACCTCCGGTCCCTTCACCTCCATCTGGTTCCGATGCGGATAAAGTCATGATCTGGCTCGGCTAGGTGTCCTGAGGACCGTCTTGTCCAGTGGCACCACGACCTCCGACAACGAACCAGATCCTCAAATGCGACGTCGCACAACAGAAGGGCCACGATATCCCCTTGCCCTCAGTTGCGCCCTCGCCTGTTTGGGTGCGGCCGCATAGCCGGTGCCATTGGTCTGGCTTCCCGGTCCAAAGTTGGGCTGTCCTCCCAAGCTGCCAAAGATATCGCCGATATAGTTGGTGGGCTTGATGCCCTTCCGGAACGTATGCTCCCAACCTTGCAGAATGCCGCGAACAATCTCAACGCCCGCCCTGCCCAGGTTGGTCGTGGCAATCTCGAAGCCGTTCTGGTCTGTCATCAGGTGCTGGTAGGATGTGACGTTCGGCGGAGGCCTGTCAAAGTCGGATCCCGTTCGCATGACAATGACACGGCCAAAGTCGACAAGGCCCTGGATGGCTCCGCGGACGAGCACCTCGAGCACGGCGTTGTCTTCCTGCGCCGACATGCAGTAATCGCCGGTGCCGTTCGTCCACACCCGCGTCACCGTCTCAAAGGCTTCGCTGAGCAGAGTGCCCGAGTAGTACACATCGCTGGTGGCCGTGTCGCACTTGACAACACTCGGCCCTTCGGTGGCGGCAACGTACGCAGCCCCGGCCTCCTTGTACTTGGCCCGGTACTCGGCCCCGGCTGCCGAATCAGCCAACTTTGCCTTTTGCGCAAACTTATACGCTACGTCGCGTAGCGCTTCGTTGACTTCAAACACCTCAGTGCCATAGATGGTGCTAGGGTACTGGTTCGGTCCCTTGGTGCCGTACGCAAAGTATCCCGTGCTGAAGTTATCCGGCTTCTCACGCGCATCCAGCTCGTACTGCAGAGCGACCTGGATGACATAGCGAGAGAGCGCAACACCGCCAAGGGTCGAGTACTTAGGGTTGACACCTGCGATGCCGCCAACCACAAAGTATGTCTGGCGGAGATCAAACTTGTGAGAGAGCACCAGCGCCATGATACTCGCTGCCGCGTTGATCTCGCTCTCTCCGGCCGTCAACTGGCATACAGACTTGTCCGCCGTGCATGCCACCTGAGGATACAGCATGGACAGCCCGGGCACGTCGATCTTGATGTCGGTCAAGTTCCCGGTGCCCGATTCCACCATGCTTGTCATCCAGCCGTCAGTTTCGGGCTCAAACTAGAGTGGGCCCAAATTAGCACGTCATCCAACGTATTCCACCATTGCTCTACTTCCTGTCACTCACCATGCTGATGATGAAAGCCTTGGGGGCTATTCTTCCCGTGTGATTCCCATGGTGATGGACGGCCGCAGCGGTAGCCGGGCCTAGATGGTGAACCAACTGCAGGGCAGCAGCTACCCAACACGAGAAGGACCGCATGATGATGGATAATGGCCAAAAGATGAACAAAGGAATGCCTTCAGAGAAGACAGCTACGTCTTCTTATGTCCAACGGGAAGGACCGAATGTGAAGGAATGCATGGCTGCGTTCCCCAGTCCGCCTTATCTTGCCATGCTACCGGACTGCCACGTTCGGCCAAGCCTTATGGATCTCGACGATCATAATAATACGGTGACGGCTGGGCTTATCAATGCATGGTCCACGAAAAACAAGAATGCAATGCGTTTTTACAAAGCCGTCCAAAACTTGGGGATTGCTGATTATTTGCTGGAGACGTGCCCAGAGTTACGCTGAGTCTGTTTCTGCATGATGGTCGTATCTTTCCCAGCAGCCACGTACATAGTCATCTGTACATTGGCTCCATTATAGCTCGTCGTTGTTTTCCCTGTTTCTGGCCTCAACCACGATCCCAAAACTGCCACCTAGATGTGGTCTGACCCAGCTAAACCGTACAACCAAGCGGTGAGGACGACACAGGGCATGTGGTGCAATCGCGGGAACTACCCTAGCTTGCTACTAGCCATGCAGAAAATTCGGCCAAAATTTTTTCGGGAAAAAGACCCGCTCACCCCGGTAGCGCGGGAATCGCTAATCGATCGGCGAGAAAACTGGGATGATGCCTACCTTTTATCAAGGGAGCCTCCGAAGTTGCCGATGAACACACGACACCAAGTGAACTCGACGACAAGCCATTTTGATTTTGGATATTGTCGGTCCGCATTGAAGACTTTATCTTGTTCGAATATCTCACGGTTCTCTTACAGTTTTCCATATCGCGTTCACGATGGTTGGATAAGCGCCCTCATCCATCACCCTCATCGACCAGACCGTTCAACAACACCAATCTTCACGATCCTCAAGTGCCTATCCAATCACGATATCTGTGATTTTTGACCTTCGGTTCTTCGCCTTATTCGGTTACCGGTCGATCCAGCTCCGCATTCACTGCAGGTACACCAAAAGTGCTTCGGTTGCCTTGACCGAAAAGGTAGCCTGGCCACCAGAAACGGGTGTGGTCTCGAACGTCTCGGTCCCGCTCATGGCACAAGATCCATTGTCAAACTGCTGGCCCCCGAACGACGGAGGACTTCCTTGATCCACTCTGGACGTCGCGCTTGCTGCCGTCAGCCTCTTCGCTCTGACCGTTGACGAGGTCAAGCCGGTCAGGGTAAAGGACTGAGTAGTCCTTGTCCCGCTACCGGCGAAATAATCCGAGTTGTACAAGATCACTCGCAGGGGAAGCCCCCTCGAATCGAACGTGGCATAGGCCGCATAGTTGGTCGAACCGCTATCCAAAGCTGTCAGGTGGCTCGCGCCGGCCATCAAGGCTACCGCTGCGTATGCCCCGTAGTACGGAGCCCCCATGCTGTATCGGCCCCAGAAGCAGTATTGGCAGTTGCCAACGGTCCCATGATGGAAGTATGTCCTCGAAATGTTGCTGTAAGTGGCGCGGAGAGCGTAGTCCATGGTCCATAGACCTGCCCCAAACGTCGGGGAGACTCCAGCTGCTCCGCCGCCGGATACTGGAATAGGAAATCAGTTCAAGAAAGCTTCTTCTAGGGAAAAGGGGTACGCGGTACATACCCGAGTTTGTCTCGCCAAAGACGTACTGCTTCCCGATCGCTCGAGCTGCAGCTATGTCGGCGTCAAAAGTGTGGATGTTCTTCGAGATGGCCGAATGGCTCATGAGACTCTGAATGCTTCCACCGGGGTAGTTGTGGTGGGCGTAGTGTCGAACATAGGATTTCACCGTCTTGTTCTCGGCCGTTATCAGCTGCGCAGCTCCCCATTTGGGCGGCGCCTCATTCCAATTCCCAGCCTGAATGATGTTGGTTATGCCAACCGCGCTACCCACTCGTACGTTCCAGTCATTTTGCGATGCGGCATCTGTGGCCGGAGTCCAATTGACATCGGATGTGATCGGTTGCCCATCCTTGACCCAGTCTTTTGTTGTTTGTACAGAATATCCATCGTCAGCACAGCCCATCAGCTTCAAGGTTGCTTGCTTGCATCTCACATTCAGGTTCATTCCCCAGTTCAATCGCCAGCAGATTTTTGACTTTGGAAACGGCCACCTTGGCCGCAGCAATCGTATTCTCAATCTCATTCTTGCCCCTGTTCAGCCCAACCACCACACCCCCCTCATACGTCCCCGCCAGCGTCATGAATTTGGACCCAAACGTCAAAGCAGACGGGGCGTCCTTTGCGTCGGCCACCGAGTACACGACATACGCTGACGTGTTGGAGTCATACTGCGCCCTGTCCTGCGTCGTTCCGCCGATGCGAATGGGCGGCCAGACACCGGTTAGTGCCTTCCAGTTTGCTAGGCATTGCTGCGTGGCGGTGACGTTGGTGAAGTAAGACGGGAAGGCGAAGAACTCGAATGAGATAGCGATGGGCGCGGGGTCGAGAGGGGCGTAGAAGTAGCCTCCTGTTCCGACTTTGTTGGGGACGGTGAAGGTGAGTGCGCTGGAGAAGGGATGGGCTGCTAGTAGGCAGAGGGCTGTGGTTATTGCTGTTTTGAAGTGTTTGGCCATGGTCGGAAAACAGGTAAGGATTAGGATATCGTCCTACAATGACTTTGAGGCGGGTCATCTCTAAATACTGGAGAGGACATTTCGATGTTTAATGATCGGACTCGGACACCTCCCGACAGGCCGAGGAATGATGTTGGGGCTTTAACCGGCCGATGCGACGCCATGCGACCATGCATTTCTGGGAAGTAATTTTTCCGTCTGTCACGATCAGATACCAGGATGATCATACCCTGTGATGGTACCCGTTGGGAGGGGGTTCGTTGCCCTACCTCTGCTCCAGACTTCCTTCCCCAACCGGTACAACAAGCGGGATGACACCTTCTCGCTCGCTTGGCGCTGACTGGACGCGCACCATGTTCCTTCTTACCTACCTACTAGGTACCTCTACCTACTGGTGGGTGGTAGACTTAGTGTACCATAACTCTGGTCGTTAGACACTCCGAACGCAGCTTCTTGTGTAAGGTAGTTCCCGGTCCGTTACTCTGCCCATTTTCTTCGACGACAATGCTTACTTTGCCCGTCAAGTACCTACATGTAGTCACATCACAGTCCATTGTTTGCACATTGTTACTCAGTTCATCTATTTTGCTTCGCCAGCTTATGTCAACTACCTATCCCCTCCCTACTTCTATCAATATAGATACTCACCTCCTCCCCACTTCTATCAATATACTCACCTCCCTCTACACTACTAAACCCCCAGCATGCTCTCCACACCCTCCAACACCCTCACCACCTCCCCCACCACCTCCCTCCCTCTTCTGACCGGTTCCTCACACACCTCCCGTATATTCGCAACCGACAACTCCCTTAGATCCCGTCTCGCTTTGCTGATAGTATACGCACTATCAGTACCCTCCTTGTTCTCGACAGCCACAAGCAAATCAGACATACTCTTACGTCTCTGCAGAAAGACCTTGAACAACTCACGGATTTTTACCTCGGCTTGGTTGATTGCCTGACATAGCTCGCTTGCGCGCTGGAGTGGTACCTCCGACTCCAACTGCATAAACAGAGCGCGGGTTTGCGCCCGTTGGAGTAGGGGCGTCGTCGGTTGAGTAGTGTGAGTAGTATGAACAGCAGCAAGCTTTTGGAACAAAGGTGTCAAAAGTGAACATGTTTCGAGGATGTGGGTGTTTAGTACCACTGTTTGTTGGTGGATTTCGTCTGCGGTGGATAAGAGGGTGGTTTTTGCTTGTGAGAGGGTGGTGGTGGTGGTGGTGGTGGTGGTGTCACTGGTTTGGAAGCGGTGGATGGGTCCTGGGATGATTGAGTTGGACTCGGTGTTGTTGTTGTCAGCAAGAAGTAAACTCAGGGGGTGATATTCGTTTGTTAGTTGCAGGTTTGGACAGGTTGATAGTACGTTTATGCCACCTTCGCCTTCCTCGGAATCAGCGTTAGCATTGGCATTGACTTCCGCGGCAGCAGCAGAAGAAGAAGAATGGAACCTTTGCAAGAGACACGGCATCGTCTGCTTGTATACTACGCAGTGATTGTTGGTGTGGGTCGGGCAGGGGACGAAGTGGTGTTGAGGCAGGCGTTGGAGGGACATGAGTTCCTCCTGTTCGGTTAGTCTAGTAGGGTTGGAAAGGTGGTAGTTGTTGCATGTGGTGGAGATGGAGAAGGAAGAGGAGGAGGAGGAGGAGTTAGTGTTGGGTGTTTGGACGGGAGGGGAGAAGTCGTGGTGGTGGGAGAAGTGGATGATGTTGATAAGGCACATTTTGGGCGTGTGTGTTTTGGACCGGCACAGATTATGGAGATTGAGATGGTTACCTCTAGTGTTTGCTTTCGAGTACCTATGTAGTCAACTTGACGTTTTAATACTGATCATGTGAAACCTGTTGATTCGGTTTGGTAATGGTTTGGTGATGGTCATTTCAAGTCAGACAACGTCGGGGGTCCGACGGACATTTAAATAAATTCATAATTCCGTGTCCTGACATCTGTTCAGTATTATCTTCACTTATTGTGATTTTCTCGATCAAAATTGCAGTTCACCATATAGCACGTTTTGTTGTTGTTGTTGTTCCTGTTGTTCATGTTGTTGTTTCACTCCTGTCATTTTCATATCTGTTTCTCTCTCCCGGGAGTCTTCCGATCCAATCAAGGTACTCCTCCCCTGGATTTCTTTGTTCACCTTTCTGCTTCTCCCGAAGACCGGGAAAGACACCCGAATCCAATCCAATTCAATCCACTTGAGCACAATTCCATTCTTTCGGAGCTCCCTTTTGAAGACTTCCACTTCTTTGTCAAGGTTCCTGACTTCCGAGCTCCCCGTCCATTGTTCCCGTCATCAGCACGGCCGCCCCGTCCTGGATGGATGGATGGATCACTTACTAGGTAGGCAGGTTTGGGCAGGTTAGGTAGGTAGCGCCGGTCATGATGGATGGATCGATTGCTTAGGCATTTAGGTTTAAACAAGTACCTCTAGGTACCTCTAGGTAGGTAGCTGAGCTGGATGGCTTTTAAGATAGCCTAGCCTCCTCCAGTCCTCCTCCGGGGAAGACATCCGAATTCAAGCCACTTGTGCACAACAATCCCATTCTTTTGGTTGGGAGCTCTCTTTTGAAGCCTTCACTTCTTTGTCTCAAGGCCTGACTTCCGAGTTCCCGGTCCATTATTATTCGTCACTTGCACGGCCGCCCGTCTTGGATGGTGTCAAGGTTTCTTCTGACTTCCGAGTTCCGGTCCATTGTTCGTCCCGTCCTGGACGGATAAATGGATTGATTGTTTAAGTACGTACGTAGGTAGGCTTAATTGGAGAGATCGACAGAGCGAAGCTGTACTAGCTTCTAAAAAAACTTAGCCTCCTTCCGGGAAGATAGATGTCCGACTGTCCAACTCCCTACCTAGCCAATGAATGGAGGACTTAACAATCCCCATTGTTCGGAACCTCTTTCTTTCGAGACAGGTCGCTGTTCAATTCGGGACTCGCTCGGTTGACGAGTTCCGGCTTCCGGCTTCCGAGTTCCGACCACCTATTGTTCATTGTCCACCCAGCTTGGATTTGATAGCTAGGTCAGTTTCTGGCACGGCAGAGAGACTGACTGGGCTGCGGCTTGACGACCTCTCTTCTCTGTTTCTATCTCTTTTTTCGGAACAGTTTCAGCAGTTTCCTTCCGGTCAAGAGAAGATAATATATCTTGTTTTCTTACCAGCCTTAGAGTTCCCGCTATTGATTCGGAATACCTAGGCGGTCGGCTGGCTGGTTGACACTAACAGAAATCGACATAAGTTTGCGTGGACTGTGTTAGTCACGTCATACACAATTCGGCACTGGAGTTGTGCGCTTTACGCCCTCACGTATGGAACTCATGCCCCGGTTTGGATGGACGTAGAAAGTAAGATTGCTACACATATACTGGCATTCAGATGCTACCGCGTCGAGAAGAACCTCCGTGTGGTCTAAGCTACCTCTACTTTTCTTCCAACTCGTGATCCATTTGCTAACAAGGTAATCTAGGTCCTCAATAAGGTAGCAACGTTGAAAAAGAGATTTATTTTTCCAAAGCGAGACATACCACTAAAATGAATTGAAATCCACCTCTCTTGACCATTAACAAGAATGAGAAGTCCTCGACATCCCTTCCCACCATAAGAAGTAAACTAACGTTAAGCACCGCTCTCGTGTGTCCCGGTCGATGCAGCATTCTACACAATTCTCTTATCTGGGCCAATTCTCTTTTGAAACCCACGTATTACAGCTACATCTCATAACCAGCGATGAATCCTTATAATCGAAGCCATTGCCCAGTTCTTGAACCAATGGCTATGCTTTCTCCTCATCCCATGCCTCACCACCTGCGAGTCCTCGAAACCACTTCCCCGGACACGGAAGATCAAACAGATTAGTCGCTTCAAATCTGCCTTCCGACGTCCGATATCAAGGCACTCCCACTAAGCCGTCGCGGTGCTTTTCCACACCGGCACTAGATCGTGCTGGGGCTTTGCCACCTCACTGATGAAATGTATAGCAAGAGCGTGGGAAGTCATTCTGTCGCCGCGGACATTCAACGCCCGAAGCTTCTTCGCGCTGGGTGGGATGGACTAGTTCCTCCTTCGTTGGGAGTCGTGCCCAGGGATGGGGCAGACTTGTTGGAAGCAAGAGAGGAAGACGGAAGATTCGACAGCGCAGTTTGTGCGGACAAGGGAGAATGGGAATTCCAGGCCGGGTTTTGCGTAGCAGGGTGGGTGAAAGCTGCTGCAGGACGAAGGACAGCGTCTTGTAGCGCCTTCAGGACATTGTCACTTTCAGGAGGAGGAGGCCCAATCATGGGAGCTGTAGTAGGATTAGGAAGGGCAGGAACAGCCTCGCGCTCAGCTCTCTCCGCGGTCTCAGCTACTGGAGCAGCCTCGGCCTGAGCAGGACTTCCACCAGTAGCCTTGTGGTATGTGATCTCCGTGAGAGGGGTTTCTCGGAAATGGACGCTCGGCCGCCACTTGCTGCTGTCCTTAGCCTTGAGACCTGGCGTCTGGTACATTTCGTCGATCTCCTCTAGAGATAGACCCTTTGTCTCATAGATGTAAAAGTAGACAAAGCCGACGCAGAGCATGCAGGCTGTACCCCAGACGAAGAAGATTTTTGACTGGAGGTTTGCGTACCCGGGACCATAGTTGACGAGGTAAGGAGTCGAGTAGGCGATGGCCCAGTTTACTAACCACTGTTGTTGGGTCAGAAGGTCAGCGATTTGAATCCGAAAACACACATATCCTTAATATACAAATATTCATCCGGAGCAGTGCATTGTTTCAGGTCATCAGCTTGTTTGGAGTGACACTAAAATCACAACACATAACGGTACGCTGACAAGCCAACGGCAGACGCCATAGCCTCAGATAATCAGGGCTTTGCAAAGGGTGTGGAAATGTCCCAAAGCACGGATTGCTCTACTCATCGACAGAGAGGAACAAAGGTAGAGGGTAAAGGCTTGAAAAGTTCTCTTCTATCCTCCACCTTACCTCCAGAATGTCATGGCAGTAGACAGAATCCGGAGTTGAAAATGAAGGAACATTAAACTGATGTGTGGTTAAGAGAAAAGGAGAAAAGAAGAAAAGTTACTTGGGGTTCTGAGGAGGGCTTCTAAATCACACGCGAGCCACTCTGATATCGAAATGACGACATTGGGAGGAACAACTCACGTTTGTAGCTGTGCTAATGCTCAACATTTGCGACCGGTGCTTCAGTGGGTACAACTCAGCAGTTACCACCCACGCCAAGGGACCCCATGTTGCTGCGAAGAAGGCAATGAACAAGCACACAAAAGTAATTGATGCTTTTTGAGCAGCAACGTTGAGCACGATAATTACCCCGGAGGCAGTCTGACTCGTTGTCGATGTACCGAGTGTAGCGACGATAAAGTGGCATATGTGCATTGCTACACCACCCCACAAGAGTAAAGGGCGGCGACCAAACTTGTCGAACATGAAGACAGCGGGGACCGTCGAGAGAACGTTGACTGTGGCTAGGATCATACTAATCAAGAAGGAATTCGAGATGCCGGAGTTCTCGAAGAATTGAGTACCGTAGTAGAAAATGAAGTTGACGCCTGTATAGTTCTTGAAGTTAGAAAACGGTCATGGTGGAACAGCAAGGAAAACAGGGGAGATGAAAAGACGAACCGGTAAGTTGCTGCAGGATTTGAAGTACCATGCCTGTGAGCATCCTCTTCAACATGCCCATGCGGAAGCAGTCCAGGTAGCTGCTGTTACCGAGTGACAATTCGTATTGGTAGTTTGCACGGATCTCTTCCATCTCCGCAAGGATGGCGGGATCATTGGGCGACAGGCAGCGGATTCTGGCCAGGGCCCGCGTGGCACGGGTCATGTCGCCTCGCTTGATGCAGTACCTGGGAGTCTCAGGCAGGAAGTGCATGCCAATGATGAGAGTGAGCGAGAAGAGCCACTGGAGAGCAATGGGAATTCTGTATGAGCCGGTGTCCTCCCGTTTATGAGTGCCATTATTGACAATGGCAGCAAAAAGGATGCCGATGGTAATTGCAAGTTGATATACGCCCACGACCATTCCACGAATCCATTTGGGAGCGGTCTCGGATTGATAGAGCGGGACTATGAAGGAATCGGAGTTAGCACACCACGGCCATGACTTTTTGGAAAGGAAAAAAGATGCATCACTCACCAAGAGCCGAAAGCAAGCCAACTCCAAGGCCGGCAAAGAATCTCCCGGCCACAAACAGAGGAATGGCGACAGAAATTACTTGCATGGACACGCCAAAGTTGAAGACCCAAGAGGATATGATGATACCCCATCGCCGACCAATCTTATCCGCCAGCAAGGGAGAAGCCAAAGCACCGAAAAAGGTACCAGCCGAAAGAATAGAGACAATAAGGGAAGATTGCGACGGGCTAATGGCCGGCTTCCCATCAGCATCGATGTAGCCAGTGGAGAAACGCTCGTTCCAGTATTTCATGGCAATGACGCCGCTGATGGTGCCGGTGTCATAGCCAAAAAGAAGACCGCCGAAGGCCACGAAGACGCCGATCAGAACCGAGAACCAAACGGATCCCTTCTCATCGGGAGGGCGCTTGAAGAGAACCATGGTGTCCAAAAGGGGGCATGTGTATCTGTTGGACAAGAGAGAGAGTAAGTTGTGTTCAGGGGAGGAAGAGATAAGGACTGAAGGTCCTGAAAACCACCTTTTATGTATGGGACGCGTGTTTGTTGTCCATATCCAACTCTGGGGCTTTTAACGCATGGCATAGCATGATTACTGTTGTTTACCTTGGCCAAGGTGTGGACAGTACCTATATCCTGCATAATGAATGATGTCCACAAGGTGGCTTAGGTACCATCGTGCCATAGAGATACACCTGACTGACTGGAAGCATCACAGTCGTTCAATAACACTGCCCGTTGGTGAGCCCCTCAAGACGGGGAGTATGGCCCGAGAAACCCAAAAGCAATGGCCACGGGCACCAGATTGAGTGCGATCTCGAGGTGGTCAAGGCCGAGTTTACCATCGAAACGAAGGCGGGACAGTTCGAGCGGGAGTGGTGTATATCGTTGTATGGACCAGGTACTCGGGGCCGGCGCCATTCCGAGCCGTTGTGGGACCGACCGGGAGACTTGGACCATGGCGGATGCGGTGCTGCCGTGCTGCTGCGTGCCATCCGGCGTATCGGGTTGGCATTTCCCCATGGTAGGTACTAGGATACTGTGCTAACGGAACCGCGGGCATTTCTGTGGGGAATCAGTTAGCGCTCCATCTAAGTTGCTGTTACACCCAAGAATCCAAAACCAGGATGAAAGTCACAATGTGCGTTACTTTACCTGCATTTCACTTTCACGCATTCTGCACCAAAATCCGGGTCTTCGGTTTACGACGCGGAAGCCAAAATCATCTCCTGACTTGATGCCAGGTGCCAGCTAGCTGACGGCAGGCATTCGGAAACTGGTCCGAGAGCGAAGCCACCTATCAATACGAGGAAAACGAGACGCAACAAAGTGCTGGACATGTGACGGAAGAACAGGCAAAAACAAAAGCGAAGAAAAACTTGCTTGGACAACTTGAAGTGGACTGCAGTGGCAGAAGCGAGGAAGCATTTCAAAATGGTGGGAGACGATGTTGCCTTGGAAGAAGAGGAAGATGAAGGTGGTATTGGCCGGGTTGTCACACTGTTTTGACTGGACACTCGCTACCCATAGATCCAGGTCCAGACCATTCGGAGACCTTTTCATGTTACATGAGCTGGGATAAAGTTATCAACCGCAGCGTTCCAATCACAATGTTCTTCATGGTGATACAATTACTACACAATATAAGCATACGTTGATGAAGCTGACATCGTTTCCATTGCTACCATTCCCATCGAAAGTTGGTCCTGGTAGCGACGCCGGCAATCTGGAAACCGGCTCAAGACAGCCCAAGTGCTGGGTTGCAATCCAATTAGGTATCAGGCCAATGAGCCGGACATCTATCGCTGCAAAGTTCTTGCCGTTAACTATAACTACGTGCCGAAGGCCTATGTGTGGGTATATCCCATGTTTACATCACTTACAAGGTTGCAAGTCGCTTAATGAAGTTGTCATTATTTACTTTCCATTTGTTGTCAAAGGCCCTTTTTGATTTGTGTACACTGTACGTGATGTGCATCGTATTGTCTCGGCACCCTGGAGTATCGTCGTACCAGGTGGTTGGACCCAGAGGATTGGATTGACTGTTATATATATCAGCTGTTCTCCCAGGATCTTCTTTGCAGATGATCGATACACCAGTTTCTTTCTTTGTCCATACTTGTGAGCTTGCAAGATGAGGCTCTCAACCCTATCGCTCCTGGTTCTCCAGGCCGCTAGCACATGCATAGGACTCCCGAGTTCGAGTACGCGAGACCCAGTCATTGCGAAAGCAAAAGCAGAGCTAGAAGTTCTCGCCCTCTCCGCTCTCCAAAAGACCCGAAAAGCGGCCAAGGGAGGGCAGTGCACACCAGAAAAGATCAAGATCAGAAAAGAATGGTAAGCCCCACGAGCACCTACAGAGCTGTAACTCAGAATGTCCCATCGCTAACATCAGTCCAGGGGAGCACTCACCAAAGTAGAGAGGCTCGAGTACATCCAAGCCGTCCAGTGTCTGCAGGCCAAACCCTCTCGATATCCCGCGTCACTAGCCCCTGGCGCCAGGTCGCGCTTCGATGACTTTGTCGTCACCCACATCAACCAGACCCAAACCGCCCACTACACCGGCAACTTCCTCGGCCTGCACCGTTACTTCATCTCGCTGTACGAGCAAGCCCTGCGCGAAGAATGTGGGTATCGCGGCACCCAGCCCTACTGGGACTGGGCCAAGACCGCCGAAACTGGCCTCTCCGCCTCTCCCATCTTCGACGGCAGCGCGACCTCCATGTCCGGCAACGGTGTCTACATTCCAAGCCAGGGAGACATTGTCCTAGGCGGCATCGAGGGTAGCGAACTGCCGCCTGTCTACCTCCCCGCCGGCACCGGTGGCGGCTGTGTCACCTCGGGCCCCTTCGCCAACATGAGCGTGAACCTTGGCCCCATTGCCCTCGACGTCCCTGGCGGAGGACCGCAGCAATCGAATCCGGCTGGCCCATTCGCCTATAACCCACGGTGTCTGCGCCGCGACTTATCGGATGCTGTGAACCAGCGCTTCGCCAACGCTTCTTCCATCCGACATGTCCTTTCCCAAGAGACGGTCGCCAACTTCCAGATGATCATGCAAGGCATCCCAGGGTCAGGCGACATCGGCGTGCACGGCGGAGGACATTACTCGCTGGGAGGAGACCCGGGTCGTGATGTGAGCACGTCCCCGGGCGATCCGGCCTTTTATCTGCACCATGCCATGATTGATCGGGTGTGGTGGATGTGGCAGATGGTGGATGCGAAAAAGAGGGTGTATGGCGAGAAGACGGCGGTTGCGGGGACGAGGACGTTTTTGAATATTCCCGAGAGCGGCAAGACAACGTTGGATGATGTGGTGGATTTTGGGTATGCGGCGGGGCCAGGGAGGAAGTTGAATGAGTTGATGAGTGTGGTGGAAGGGCCGTTCTGTTATGTGTATGTGTGATGACGCCGTCCTGTAACGAACTGGTTCCCGGATTGTGTCGAATCAGGTCTCAGAGATTGCCGGATGCAGCTGGTGAAGACTGCTGACAGTTGGTATTGCGGCAGGCAGAGTTGTCCAGATAGGTAAGATAAGTAAGGTAACGTAATTGGCACCTCAACAACTAGCTCATGCGGCAGGAACATTTGAGACGAAGTGAGAGCAAATGGGGGGAAAGGGGTGATGCACCTTCCACCCAACGGGAGCACATATTGATTGATGCCTGACAGAAAACTTCATGCACCCCGCTTCATACATCCTGCAGTGATCTTCCTCTTGGAGCCTTTGCTCTTCACTCTTCACAGACTTTTCCCTGACCTCCATCTTTTGCTATCTGCCCTCCGCTTGCCACCAACATCATCTTTCGCGCTGTGATTACTACCTCTAGGTTGTCTCGTACATCATGCGCCTGCTTTCCACTCGAGAGTTTACGTTCCACGAATTCCCCCAAGATGCTTTTCCTCCATACGCCATTCTATCACATACCTGGGACGGCAACGAGGTCACCTTCCAGAATATGCAACAGCCACGTGCGAGGATGATTCTACAGAACAGAAGTCTTCCAGACACATCTCCTTGGAAGAAAATCCAAGGCGCCTGCGAGATGGCCAGTAGTAAAGGCTACTTCTACGTTTGGATTGACAGCTGCTGTATTGACAAGACCAACAGCGCAGAGCTGCAAGAAGCCATCAACTCCATGTTTCGATGGTACCGCAACTCGAGCCTGTGCTTAGCCCTCCTGTCTGATGTGGACAAGTCCGACTTCGTGTCCAATGCAGAGCTGCAGAGGCGCGTCCCATCATCCTGCCGATGGTTCACCCGAGGTTGGACCCTGCAGGAGCTCCTGGCCCCCGATAATTTGGTCTTCTTTGATGTCAACTGGAAGGAGCTTGGCCGGCGTTCTACGTGGGCGTACTACATTTTCAAAGCTACTGGTATTCATCCCAAGTTTCTTTCAGGCATCAAGCGGAATTCTTTCAAAAGTTGGGATCTTGAGGCCGTCCTTAGAGACACCAGCGTTGCAACCAAGATGTCGTGGGCCGCCGGCAGGCAGACAACAAGAGTCGAGGATCAAGCATACTGCTTGCTCGGCTTGTTCGATATCCATATGCCAATGCTGTACGGCGAGGGAAAAAAGGCGTTTGCTCGGCTACAACAAGAGATCATGAAGTCTACCGACGACTGCACTCTGCTAGCCTGGGGCTACAACGAGCCACTGCTTGGAGCCCCAGTCTCAGAGATCCCCTTTCTTTGTCGCTGTTGCCGCTGTGACCAGCACAAGTCGAATGAGAGGCAGAATATCATCTCATCCTCCTTTGAATCCCGCACACCGCTTCCCCCTTATCGTCACCTTCCAAGCTGTGCTTATGCTGGTGTAACCACTGATTCCCAAGATGGAGTGCTGGTTGAAGCCCAACCTCTCAAATATCTTAGCGGCCACAATGCTGGTGGCCGGCCAAGACCCCTCTTTGCAACCTCACCCCAGGACTTCAGGTTAGCCGGAGGCCTTGAGCCTTGCGGTATACCGGGACACAAGCGGCCAGCGTTTTCCATGAGCCAGCGTGGACTCGAGATCAGTCTGCCCATAGTCAAAGACGAGTCGCATCAGCACATCGTCTATGGTCTACTAGCCTGCAGCCCCAAGGTGAAAACGGAAGAATCCTACCTAGTCACAGTCCCATTGATCCGCTCATCTGTCATAGATGCGGCGTCAGCAGGCCACGATGACGAGTACGTGCAAAGCCCATTCTGTCTTCCCTGCAAAGTTCCCGTTTCCTTCTCCGCGAAAGCAGAGAGGATGAGTATTTGCATCCGCGACCAAGATCGCTATCGTCGCTTATGGGATTCCGTTGGCTACTTGGAGAGGCCCTTGATATTCGACTTCGGACATTCGCTGGCAACTAAGAAGGAGGGAAGCACTTTGCGCCTGGAGCTGATGTATCCCTCCCAACCACTGTGTAGCATGTATTTCACGCTTCTGCGTAACAGCTGTCCATATAATTCGAAATCTTGTGCACCATCCTACATGTGGCCCGGGGGAGCAAGCTTGAATAGCCCAGGTTGGTGGTCGTACCACCTCGCTCGGCCTCCCCCCGGGTCTTGCGTCTTGCCAGACGTTGGCCATCCCTGGGACAAGAATATCCAAAAGAAAGTCCAATACGCTCCAGACACCACCATTGCAGCTGCCGTCCTAAACTTTGATCCATTTTCTCTGAATCCTATTAGGCCGTATCAAACAAGAATCCTTCTGGTGGTGTCTTTCGAATTTTCTTGCCGATTGAAAAAGTTGGGGCCCGACGAGGTAGTCACCTTGCAAACTCTCATGACTGTTGCCACAAAGCCAGAGCTGGCGGGCCCAAAGCTGGAGTTCAAGCGCAGAGAAGTTGAGGATCACGGAGGGTGGAAAGAGGGACGTCATGTCTACGAAATGCCTGATGGCATAGAGCTGTGTCTGCGGACGTGGTTTTGAAGAAAGTAACATACGATACTGGAACCATTCACCGCGGGAGACTGAAGATGGTATGTGACGATGCGAGCTTATCACCCTATATTGAGCGAAGCGCGGAATGAAGCCAGATCTGTTAGAAGTCGGGTTGAAGCATTTTCTCTTGCTCGTGAAAATGCTTGGTAACTGTCTGCAATCCCTCTGTCTTGCCTTGCCGAAAGGCATTCATCTTCGTGTTAAGCTTCAATCTTTGCACAAAGACCAAATCGTTACATTCCGCATACTCTGTCCCCGCCTTGGTGATGCTGGTCAGCTCGAGAATCTGGTCTACGACCCAGGCAGTAGCGGGGCTGGCTGTAGATTGTACATCGAGGATGCTCAGCCTGGCCATCGTGTCTTTTCGGCGGACAACACGAAACAGGCCATGCACCACGCCTGGTCTTGGGAGTTGCAAGAATATACACTATCCAGTGCTGACGCGTTTTGATGCGTCACAGTCCAACCTGATTCTTGTAAAGACTCGGTGGAAGGGGACGACTGGGGTGTTTGAAGCCGACGACGGTGAGGCTTCGCGGGAGATCGGTGTCATCTCCACATTCCCCTTTAATTGTTGGCGGGATACCGATCGTTCTTGTCCTGTCATGGCTCATCCATTATGTTTGATGCATAATGTTTCAGGATTCCGGCAAGATCAAGGGACATTGAACAGCTTCCGTCTTGTGAAACGGGTCATCAAGCCGCAGGCGGTCGATATGACGGTGACGGGCGAGGCAGGCAAGATCGCTGAATGATTGTGAGGAAATACATGGGACATAAGCCACGGTTCATTCGGAAAGAAGGACGTTTGAGATTTCTTCATAAATTTGATTGTTTACGTTTCTTGCGCTGCCACCCGGTATTTACGGGAGTTTCCAGGTCTATCAACGCTGGCGATCTTGTGTCAGTTTGTGCAACTCGTGGAATTCCTTTTCTTATGCCTAGCGTGCCATGAGGCCTGTTTTCCGGTCTAGAACTCTTACAACTTACAATACCCCTTGATTATCTCATCTGAAGATGATGACAATTTATAGGTCAACCGGCCCAAAACCTAACCGTACAACGGGCGATAGTCTTTGTACAGTGAAACGGCCTGAAGCATCGTTTGTTTGCAGCTCGGCCGTTCCCTAATGTCTTTCGCAGAACGGAAACAAACGCCACTCAGTCTTCTTTGACACAGAACCCAACAACGAGGCAGACGGCGGTTGAATTAATTATTTACGCAACCAAAGTGATGATCATCCAAGGCCATTGGCGAAATGTTCTATAAGAATGGCACAATATCGAGTTGAATCGTCTCTCGTTCCCTCCAGCTCACCCATCTTCAGCACTAGAAACGCAACAAGACCTCACTTTCACACATCAACAGCACAGCCACAACTCGTCCACATCACCAGCTATTCATCATGCAGCTCATCTCTGTCTTCACTACCTTTGCCGCTTTCAAGGTCGCCGCCGCGCTTCCCTCGGCCGTCAAGGGCGCCAACGACCTCGTGACCCGCGACGGTTTATTGGGTTCCAAGCTTTGCACCGACGTCAACTTCACTGGGAACTGCGAGACCATTACCAACGTGGCCAATGGCCTGAAGCCCAACCAATGCAGTGCGTCCAATTTCTATCCTTCCATCATTAGGCAAGTCAATCACTAACATGAACAAACACCCTTTTGTACGTACCTAGTTCTTGTCGACTCTTATCTCGCACGCAAGGGGATCTCCTCGATTCAACCCCTGGAGAGGTCGTGGTGCACTTACTACCTGTATGTTTTTCTTTTGGTCTCTTCTCCATTCTTTCCTTCTTGTCATCAGGATTTAGAAGGTTAGGTGTGAGCGTTTGGTTGACAGACATTCTCGGAAATCACCTAGGACCGCCAACTGCCAGGATCTCAGCTTGGACAACTGCGGACACTACGACGCCACTTCCCCTATTGACGATTTGACGACGGTGAGCCCGACTAATTCGAATCACCAATGCGAGGGGAACATGGATAAGAAGATTGCCAGTTTTATGTGCCGTCCTTTCTAAGAAGCGCGCCCGAGATCCAGTGACTCGGTACCTATTTTCAGGGAAAGGGAAAGGGAAGATGGGGTTCCTCAAATGAGGTATTATGCACGCAAACAATTTCAGACTGTTTCACAGACTGGGCGGCTGATTGCTGGGATAAGCTCTCGCATCATACCGCATTTTCTGTGCCGGGAAGCAAGCAGGAGCGAGCACGTATGTACGATGCACCGCTAATGTCACTTATGCTTCCAGCAGTTTTTGCAAGACTTATACAGCCCTCAACATCTTTCTGCCAACGTCCAACTAACGCGCTCATCAATACACTCGTGGCAGTATTTTGCGTCAACATACTAGTAGTTCTCTCTATAATGTGATTCGTTGTGTCCAAGTTCCAATGACATTACTCCAACTAGATCTCTATATCGTTTCCTTGAATGAAGGGAAGTTATCCAAGGACACATCCAAGAAGACGGTTGACGGGTCCGATATCCAGAAGCCATGTGCAGAGGTCGGGTAGACATGGGGCGTAAATTGATGACGGTATTCTGGCGCCTTTGTTTACTTCGAACAGATTCACGTAAGAATCGAGCGAAAACAAAAATCGCGAAAGCGGTAAGCACGGTTGAGCGTAAAGGCAGGCAGAAGTATCCTTCTCATAAAACTGGCAAGTGTTCACCTAGTCTCGTGCTGGACGACTTCCAACCACCTTCAGACTTGAGAGTTCACCAAGTACCTACCTCACCCCTCCTTGTCGGGTACAAACCCCGTCCAGCTAGCTGCCTCTCGCACCATCAATCTTAGTTCCTCACATAGTGGACCATAGGTACCTCTACTTTCATGTAAAACCAACAGCATCCGCTTCAACAATTCCATCTCTATCTTCATCATGCACTCTACATCACTGACGCAATCCGCTCATCTCATCGCCCTCACCTCCTCCATATCAGCAGCCATCATCTCCCATGTTCCCGTCTTGTCCCGCGACACCACCTCCAACGATACTTCCATTGACGACTCAACCAACTCCTCCTCCTCCTCCTCCGATATGGCACTCACCCACCCCCTAAACTTCACCTCCCTCACCTCCACCTCTTTTACCTCCCTCGACGTCGCCCAACCCTCTTTCTGCCCCTACGACTCCCTCAACCAACCCCACCCTGTACTCTCTTACGACCTCTCCACCGCCCCCCTCGCCGCGGACTGCGCGCACATTCTCGATATCATCAACGACACCCAGCCCCGCGGATACTGGACGTTTGATATGTCTGATCTCGAAAAGGGGATTACGCTGATCCAGTACGGGAGTTGTGCGTTTGAGATGATCAAGGATGGGGAGGTTAGCGAGGGTGGTGATGGGAAGAATAACAGCAGAAAGACAGAACAGGTCAAGTGGGGGGTGGAGGAGCTCAAGTTTTATTTGGGGACGTGGTTGCAGAAGCAGAGGCATGGGAGGCTGGGGGCTGTGGGAGAGGTGGATTGTTGGGTGGAGGGGGAGCAGAAGAAGGAGGAAGGCGGGGTGAGGGTTAGGTGGATGGTTGTGCGGCGGCAGCAGGAGAAGTAGGTAGGCTGAGGACGGACGTGGAGGAGGGAAGGGGGCAGGGCGATGGGTTGTGGTGGGTTATTGAAGGTGGTGGTGATGTGTTTGATGTATAATTTGGAGGAGAAGCGTGGTTGTTTCAATTGTCTTGTTTTCAGGGATTAGACAGTAGTACCTTAACCTTGTAGGTACTAGTCTTGAGTATCACATATCTGCCTGGACTTTGGTGCCTTCCTCTTCCGGTAATTTAGTGCAGCCATGGCAGTGTGCCAAGAAGTGTCATTGCCTCGGTGTGTGAGTCAGCTCGCCGAGGTTGAGCTGGGGGTTGGAGACGACAACTTCGTGTAAATAAAACGCCGAGGTATGTGCAGCAAGCCTTCGGTGTGTGCGAACCGGAATCTTTCACGCCTTTCGGTCCTCGAACGCGTAGTCAGAACACTCTCTCAAACTCACCATGGCCTCGGTAAAGCAGTTGAACGACGTGCCTCTCGACACTTGGGAAGCCATTGCGAGCTACTGGGACAAGTCCATTGGAAAAGATGGCAACATCTACTGGAAGAAGCTGCAAGAGCCGTCACTCCGTCGATTGCTCGGGGATCATCTTGGACAAGAGTCCTGCCGTGCGCTTGACCTTGCGACAGGGAACGGAATTTGCGCTCGATGGTTGGCGAAGCACGGAGCGAGAGTGACCGCCACTGACGGAAGCGAGAACATGGTCCAGATAGCCAAGAACTGGATGAAGGGAGAAGAGCGGAGTGACAGTGCTGTCTTCACCAAGTTGGATGTCACACAGACAGAGGATTTTGACGCTTTCATCGCTGCCACTGTATGTTTCCAATCTCGGGAAGCTTCCACGGCTGATCGCTGATACCACTCCTGGGCGGCCAACAGGGCGAGAACATGTTCGATATCGTCCTCATGAACATGGCCATCATGGATGTTTCCACGCTTGAGCCACTCGTCCAGGCACTTCCGAAGCTCTTGAAGCGGAATGGAGTGTATGTCGACCTTATTTCGGGAGACTGAAACCGGTGGCATTGACTGATAATTTTTCCCATCCAGCTTCGTCGCAACCCTTCTCCATCCCGTGTTCATGACCTCCGGAGCATCTCGCAATGTCGATCTCCGGTATGACGGTGAGACCGGTGACCTCGAAGTCGTCAGGACCAAAGTCATCAAGAACTACCTCCACATTCCACCTTATAAGGGCATTGCCATTCCTGGACAATCGAAGCGACAGGTGAGTTCCGTTGTTGTTGACTTGCCCAAACCGTTTGATGGGACCGAGATGAGACCGGAGTATCGCCAGCGAGCTAACCAAACACAGCTCTACTTTCACCGTCCAATGGAGGAGCTCTTCACCACCTTCTTCCAGGCCGGTCTCGTCATGGATGCCATGGAGGAGCCGGCATTCTCGGAAGAGGACAGGGAAGAGGGCAGGGTCGAGTCAAGCCGAAATTACACGCAACTCCCGGCAATTCTCAGCTTCCGCATGCGGTTGCCGTACAAAAACGGCGCGTGAGTCGCGATGATCTCGATGAATTTGCGACGTATATCGATGGGTACGGTGCTATAGAGTTGTGGTTAGCCAGTGATGGGAGAGAGAGAGACGCAAGATGAATGTCACCCGCGGAGTTTGAAATGAGACAATTGCTATGAGGACGGGGGCTAGAGCTTATAAGTCCAAGAAACTATTGACAGATTGCTGGACAATCAGCTGATTTCAGGCACCATTCCGACGTCATGCAATATCCGGCAAACGGATTTAGAGGGAAAAGTGTGTATTGATCGTCGCTCTCAGCAGGGATTAAAAACGGAAACCGACATTCGGGACGGCACGCTCACCGGCTCCCCGGGGAACAGGGGGGGGGGGAAGAAAAGTTCATGATATCGGCCAGAGGTCCCCCACGGAGGTTTTTTCCCCCACGATCTACCAGCTCGTGATGGATATCTCATGTGGAGGCTTGAGTTATTTCAGAGAGAAATGTCAGGGCAGGATGAGAAAAAAGGAAATATGAAAAGAGCCTCACCTCCCGGCAGAATGAAGCACGCTAGTTCATGGACACATCAGCTTCATACCCAACCCAAAGATGGACCCTGACTCACACGCAACCAAACGACGTCGTGTCGCCGAAGACACCGGATCTTACTCCGCGGAGTATCAACACCAAAGCCAGCATCACTACATCAATGCCAAGACAGCCAAGACCGACCCTGTACCTCCTCCATTTACCAGTGGCATCTCCAGCGGAGACTTTCAGTTCACCGCTTTCCAGAACCCCTCGACCATAACAGGATTGTCGCCAATCAGGTTCGAAGACTTTCTGAACGAGCCAACTGGCGAAACACCGCGCCCGGAAGAGCCGGAGGAGCCTGGGCCTAACAAAAAGGAACATAAAGCTGAGGAAGACGTCAGTGTCAGAGAGCGTCACAACAGCATTGGAAAACGATATCGAAACAAACTCAACGAGCAGTTTGAGAATCTGGAGGCGCTCTTGTCACAGCAGAACCCCGAGGAAGACTACAATGAGAGCCACAGAAACACCGCCCGGGACTCCAGCTTTTCACCAACCCAAGTCAGGAAACGCCAAAGGGGACGGAGTGTCAACAAGGCCAGTTTGCTGGAGATGGCCAAAGTGCGCATCAAAGCCCTCACTGAGCAACGAGAGATGTTGATAGCCGAGGTAGAACAGCTGGAGAAGGAGTTAGCGGAGGAGGCAACAAAGCAAGCGAGTGGAAGCCGACACCATGGGTGAGACTTGGTGATGTAATTAATCCCAGACAGATAGAGCCTTTTAGTTCTTTTCCCCCAAAGCAACAATAACGAATAACCACTTCCAACAGGCACGCAGGCTATGAATCCCAGCAGCATCAAATGGTCCAACTGAATCTTTCCAGTCCCAAATCGGCCTCTCATTAAGAACCTCCCCGTTCCAGCCATGACATAAAACCAACACCAACCCTCTTCCCCGTCCCCTTTCAAAACTTTTGACTCTTCCTAACCTTTAACCTCGGCGGTTCCGGATGCGGCGGCTGAATCGCGACGGGTATCATTGATCTCCTCTCCACATCCTTGAAGCCTCCGTTGCTATCCCGCGGCGTCTGTATGGCGACCGGTATCATTGACCTTCTCTCCACCTGCCTCACACCCTTCATTTCCACATCTCTTTCCCTATCTCTTTCCCTTTCCCGTTCCCTTTCTCTTTCTCGTTCCCTATCCCTTTCCCTCAGTTCTCTATCCCTCAGTTCTCTGTCCCTCAGTTCTCTGTCCCTCAGGTCCCGTTCTCTGTCCCTCTCCCTCAAATCCCTCTCCCTCTCCTTCAGATCCCTTTCCCTATCCCTCAGTTCCCGATCTCTCAAATCCCTCTCCCTCAGCTCCCTCTCCCTCTCCCTTTCCCTCTCCCTCAGCTCCCTCTCTCTTAGGTCCCTCTCTCTCAGTTCCCTCTCTTTCAATTCCCTTTCCCTGTCCCTCTCCCTATCCCTCACATCTCTCAAATCCCTATCCCCCACCCTCTCCCTCTCCATACACCTCTCCCACATCTGACTCCGATGATGCACCCTCTTCGGCACCGTCACCACCCACCCCCTCCACCCCCCCGGCCCTTCATCTTTTTCCACCGGCGGTCCCACCGCCAACCCAATCACATCCGCCACCCGCTCCGCATCAAACACATACTCAAAATGCAGCTCGTAACTCGTGTCCGTCTCGCCCGTCATCTTGTTGACCATGCGCACCACCAGGATGTCCTCGATAGGGAACCCGCGCAGCTCGACGGTGCCGTCGTCCCAGGTTTCCAAGCCGAGGCCCTGATGATAGTCTCCCCTTGTTAGTGAGGAAGTAGAGGGGGAGGGGGAGGACATCATGTGTGCTGCTGGGAAAAGGCGGGATTGCATGGCTGAGATGTGTTGGCGGCGAAGAGAGGCGAGGTTGATGCGTTCGCGGTCGCCGGCGGAGGAGGGGACGAGGTAGTTGATGCCGAGGTGGCGGCGGCCTGGGGACTGGAGGTTGATTTTGAAGAGGTCTAGGATTAGGGTCGGCATTTTTTTTTTTTTTTTTGTTTTTTTTTTTCGTTTTTTATGGTGGTAGTGGTAGTGATGACAGGTGAGCTTCAGTCGTCAAGTGGCTGCGCACGGCGCGCGAGTGAACTGGGTTGGACCGCGTGGCTGATGATGGTGATGGCGTGGACGAGTAGTGTAGCGGGTGCAATGGCGGTCGAAGTGGCTGGATAAGGTAGGTATGACGCTAGGAAGCAGCCGAGAAGAGAGAGAGGCGCGATACCGGGCGAAAGAGTCTGAGACTTGAGTGAATCGAGTTAGCATATGATGTAGCGTGCGCGGGAACACACGTTTTGCTTTGGCTAGTCGGGATGTTTGATCAAGGCACACAGCCTAATCAAGATGGCAGACGCAGCCGGGCAGGTCAAGGTGCGTGGCGCCGGGCGGTGTGGAGAGCGGGACAGTGGCCGGTGACGGACATCAGATACTCACCGTGGACACTCGCTGAGAACTCTGGAAACAATGGGAATGAGGGCTTGAGTTTGATCAAGAAGGGAAGTCAAGACGTCGCCGCCACAGCTTTCTGCGTCAAGGTTTTTCCGGTCAAAGTTAAGGAGCAGAACATCGTTTGTAAAGTCAAAGGAACAATCATGCCATCATCATCGTGGACGTTAGGCGTTGTTTGGGTCTCAGTGCCCAATGAAGCGCTCCAATCCCCGCCAAGTAGCGCTGTCCACAACCAACGCTACCGTCCAACCCGCTAACCAATCGGCTTGCGACCGGAGCGGCGGCGATCTGCAGGGTCGTGGTACCCGCCCCAGTCCCGTCTCCATCAATGTCTCGACGGGCTGGAGACCTACGGGTGGTCTTTCACATTGGCTTGATGCTGAAGAAACAACGTTCTTACTTCATTGTTACTCTACCTACCTACCTAGTCCCTGAATCCGACGATTCTACGGTACATCATTCGTCGATGAAGCGGGTACCATCATACGACCTCCTCCAAAGCTTCACATCCCGTCCTTTTGGTTGTAGTAGGTACTACATGTATGCAATCACTCTATGCTGCGGCGGTGAGCAGCAACTCATACAAGTAGTAATAGACACTCCAATCAGTGAAAGACCACAAGTACATGGCAATATATGCTGACACCACTGATGAACTTGTCATCGCCACCAGCCCAGATTTTCCTTGTGTCCTTGGGAACGTCAAGAGACCTACAAGCCAGCCCACGCACAAGAACCAGGGCGTGGAAGCGAGTACACTGGATACGTATGAATTGGTCCTACGTTGATTGGGGGTCAAGTGCCTTGCTCATCGCTTTCGCTATGCCCTGCACAAGAACTTGTTCGTCCATCTGGAGAATGTCAACCTCACGATGGGGTGTATATGGAGGGATCTATCTGTGCCTCGCTCCCACCTTTTTTTTTTGGACTCGCCAGACCTGGCCGCAAATTACAGGTAATCTGCCATAAGGGAAAAATCTGTTTAGTAGAAAGGCTTTCAGACGAGGGCCGTTTCTGAATCGTCAAATTTAGGTATTTACTCTCTAAAACTAATGCTAATTAATAACAATTCAGAACCCGAGAACGGGCACGGGCGGTCATCAGGCGGCATGCTATAGTAATCATTCCATCAGGGCCGCATGACCAACAAAAATGGTGGTTTTTTGCTATCGCATCCTCAACAAGCCGTGTCTAACTACTGAAAATCTAGATATCATGCTTTACTGTATCCTCTTCCTTGTCCACCATAGCCTCCACCATGACTTCCACCGTCGCCACCATGATCTCGTGTATTCTGGGGTTGTCCCCTGGGATTGCATAGGATTAGGTATGAAGGACCTGGTCCCGCTCAACACTGGGTTTGCCTCCTTGGGCATTACCGGTGGAATACATTCCAGGACACAATCCAGTACAACCCCGCAGCCGATGAATTTCCGAAGCGTTTCCGCATCTTCTGGCTTGGTCGTTGTGACCCGAAATCCATCCACCAAGTTGTGAACACTTCGTATCGGAACACCGTTGAGCTTGACAGCGATCTGATCTCGTTTGCTGTCTCTGTGCTCGGCAATGTAGACTTTCTTGAGCTTATCCGACTGTCCAGACATTACTTCTATTTGCCCCTCCATATACCTCATATGTATCCTCCGCGTCCCTTGAATGGGATATCGGATGACCAGAATCCCCGTGTCCGGAGTACTCGGCCGGTCTTGTTGTTTGGGAGGCTTCCTCCCCAATACCCTGTTCCACATAGTCCACAGACGCTTTGTGCGCTTCGTGGTCATGTTCTGATTGGGATATGTACCGGCCGGCTGCTCTGGCTTCTCCATTGAGAAAACCAGTCGTACTGTGCCAACGGAATTGGTGTCAGGGGACGGAATGTCCTGAGGTATTGTGGACATGGTAGGTAGATTATAGGTAAACTAGAGGTAGGTACATTGTTTCATCAGCTTTGCTTGCATCTCGTTGTGATTTTCGTGAGGAGATATATGCCTGCTTGTATCACAAGACCTGATATTAGAGATGGAAGAGCAGATTTTGTGAGCAATATCGCTATGACGAATAAATAAAGATTTGGCGTCTGGAGGTGCTGGCAGATGAGGAAACAGGAACCGAACCAAAATTCATAAGTAATGGCGAGGAGCTTGCATTCTATAGCCGAAGGATACACATATTTTTGTTAGCTACCTACCTAGGTACCTGACTATTCCATGACCTGCTTCTTCAATACATACTTCTAGGAACCTCTAGAAGTAGGTAGAGGTAAGTAGCTAGTAGAATGAAAGGGGGCGGAGCGCGGCACTGCCTCACCCTAAAAGATAGCTGCATGCTAGGCATGTTACAAGTACACCTCCTCCGGCGTTTGAGACGTTCGCGTGGTGATTTGAGGCGGTGGTGATGAGTTTATGTTCCATACAAAAGATACCTTCTTTCTCACATCCAATGCACTGGATACACGTATTGTAAGGTGGCGGTACCACGCCAGCAAGCTATATGCTAGAAGAGGTGCAGCCAATTCCTTTAGGTTGCCAATCCATTGGCTACAAACATGTAAGCTCGACGTTCGCTCTGACCAATAAGCATGAACTACGTAGCAGTTATTGTAAGGTTGATTCTGCCTTGCCCCCTTCAGGTATCAGTGATGGATTAGAAGCAAGTAAAAAGCCAGACAATCTGTGACGGTAGAGAACCAAAAGGTACTTTTGGCCAATAGCTCAGGGAATCCATAGATGTTGAGGATCTCTAGGGGCAGGACTGGTAAGCGGTACTGGAAAGACATACTGGTAGATTAGGTACCCAATATTGATTGTGAGGCTGGGCAGAACAAAAGACTTCTGGATAGGTACTAAGGGAAGAGATGGAAGATAAGAGAGAGGAATTTTGGACTCTGTGAAAGAATTCGCAAGGGATTGAATTCCGTCTGTCCGGTCGCTCTTCGACAAAGCATCAATACACGAGTTCGGAATAGAGCAGAGTTCGATCGCTCGATAATACGTCAACCTGGTACCAATACCTCTACAATTGCAGGCGACCTACCTCTAGCCATGGATGACCAACATACGAACGGGCGATCAACGGACCAGATGCACAATGTTCCAGCACCAACGGCAACCGGAGGAAACGATGATGTTCTAATTTCGAGGATCTTGAGAGATACATACCACGAAGGGTTCATCAGAATCATTTCAAAACAAAAATCAGGAGTATTGGGTCTAATACACACTTTACTTTCTGGCTTCCGAGCCGATCATCACCGGCGACCTCTCTCAGAAACTTACTTTGGCTTCTTGATCCATTTTGGCGATGTCCAGCGATTGTATATAAGGTCTCTCCACGCCAAGCTGATTAGTATGGCTGTTAGGGTGCGGAAGAAAGGCCTTTCAAGCAACTCAGAGGGCGTAGTGGAAGGATTGGATCAATTTGGCGCTGTGCTCAGGAAATATGGTAAGCTCCCGTCCTCCATCAATGTGCCCTGCCTTCTGTCTGGACGATCCCATCCACTAACTAAACTCAAACGATAGTTCGTGCCGTGCAAGATCACGAGTACATGGCCAAATTTGCTCTAGAGCGTAATGATCCGTTCATCGCTACGAGCGGAAAGCACAATGACCGCATCTTTTTCGAGGCAGCACTATTCAACGAGGGGCTAGACCTGGAGGATTTTCTTCCCGCTGACCTATCTCGGGCGTCCAAACAAGGGAAGAACACCCAGCCCTCATCGGCGCCTCTGGACGGTGAACCAGAAGGCGAGCGGCGTCACAGAGAATGGATAGAGCGCCTGCTCAAAGCCTCCGTCCCCACTGGGCCGTGGGAAACATGCAAGTCTGCATCTGCCCTTGTCAACACCCGGACTGCATCTGCCAAGAAGGCCTTCTGGGAAAGAGTCGGTGCTGCAGTAATTGGTGGCGCATTTCTCCTTGGGCCTATGTGGATTTTGGCCTTGAAGAGGAACCTGCTCGTCCATCTCGGGGTGGCTACGGCGTGCGTGACTGCGTTTGGATTTTCGTGTTCGTTTTACTTGAAGACGGTGGACGGAGTCTTTGCTGCTACTTTGGCGTATGCGGCGGTCATTATGGTCTTTGTGGGCGTGGTGCTTGAGGAGGCAGGTGGTAAAGGGGCATGATGTCAATAGAATATCCCGCATTTCTCTGAAAAAAAAAATGAAAGGGAACTGGAATATTGAATTGGATATAGAAGTTAAGATATTAAAAACAGAGAGAAAACAGAGAGAAAAAAAAAAAAGCCACAAAAAAATCGGAGTACTTCCGGAAATTTTCCTGTTCCAGGGGCGGTCATCACCCTTGTTTGCGTCCCTTCTCGCACCTTCCGTCTCTCCCTTCCTCTCTTGCTCTTTCCCTCATCTTCTCCCCGTCTTTCCTTCTTTCCATATTCATTGTGTCTTACTAAGTGGAAGTTTGAGGCCATGATTTAGGGCCTTGCACCGGCCCGATGGTTTGGCGTCCTGTCGCGGCAGCCGTTAGAAACTCCCGACACTTGGATATATCAGCCGTTGGCACCATTTTGAGACTGTCTCTATTGAGGTACATTACCCGCAAAACGCTCCCTTGGATTCCCAGTCAATCGCACTCAAGTGGTATGCTCCGTGAGTTCTGCGGTTTTCTGTCTGGGTTAATACATCTTCCATTCCCCGGCGTGGGGTTACTTCCAAATCCAACCACCTTGGCAAGCCTCCCTGCATCCTCAGAGGATCTGACAATAAAGCTTGTACGACACAATTTGTGGCGCTCCTGAGTACTTGGCCCGTTTCACAATCGTAGTGAGGCTTGTGACACGTGCGCGTTTTATCACAAGGCTGCCACTTTCCCATTCTTCGATCTTGAGAGGCCCCTTGCTGGAGATCCGGTCACGAAGACATTGCTTGTGAAGACGGTGGACCGCAGCCATTCTCCTCGCTTCCTCGTCGGTCTGATGTTCTTGCATGCGATACCCAGATCGTAGGTTCCGTGACGGGATTTCGTAGGAAAGAGCTCCCCATCTTAGGGTCGTCACAGTGATGAGAGGAAAGAGGGCCCGTAATGTCCGATGCTGCCCGCCCTTTGGTCCGTAACTGCCGGGGTGATCTGCATCAAGCGGCAGTTATCACTTGCTACGCGTGGGCAGTCTTCGGGGCTGTCTAGAGGTAGCTGTAGAGGAAGCCCGGGCAGTTTGGGTGGCTATATGGTGCAGTCTTACAACTACACTTTTTCGTATTCGCCTGGATCTGAGTTAGAATCTGCTCGGTTGCCTCTTTTCCCGCCCCAGTCCGACCTCTAGAATCAGGGTGCAACCCCAAAGCTTTACGTATTTGTGTCACGTCGTGTAGGGCGCAGTCCGATAACGTTGTCATTGGATTCTCAGCCCCATGGCGCATGTTGGCATCAATGTAAGTGTCATTGTGATGATGCAGAGAAAGGGCTGAAGCGTGGAATTTGATAATTCCAAATGATTAGATGGTTTTATCTGTACTACCTACGCAGCCTTTTCAAGATTGCTACCTAGATGAATTGTGATTCTGCCCTATGCAGGGCGTCATTCACAGCCGAACTCCTGTGCTACCTGCCCGCTAAAAACACTTCCGTTGATTTTAAGCCCTGGAGCTCGAAAGCTACTTATATCTCCCCGTCCCCACCTTATAACTTGACAGATATTTCAAAGTCATATTCATGGATTGAAGTGTTTGGTTTGTCTGCAGTTGCCGTCGCTCCTGCCTTCGCTTTCATTCAACCTACCGCAACACTCGCAGCTGGTTACATGTACGACTACCACAAGCTTCCAGCTCTCGAAACCATGACGCCGTACAGGAGTCCGCTAGGAGGAAATCAACCCACCGCAGTCTCTGTCTCAATGTCTGGTGGGAGCAGAAATCCTGTCCAGGTTGTGCCCGCAAATAACACGACACTGCCGCGTAGCACCTCGCCCGGAAGCCTGGTAGAAGAGGAAGAGGTTCCTGTTCGCACGCGACCTACTGCTTTTGGCTCTCCTCGACACGAAGAGCATCTGCCCCTCCTATCTGTCGATCAGTTCTTAGGTAGCCAGACACAACACCGACTATCTCCAACGCAAACTGACGATCGGACCAAGGGTGCTTCAGACAATATCGAGGGCACATCAACCTCAAAATCGGGGTTGGATGATGCTTGCAATAAGACCCAACACGTGGCCTCTCCAGCAATTGGAATCGACAAGTGGGACACAAAAGATGATTTGCATATATGGCAAAATATGCGGGCAATGCTACACCAGAAGAACCTTGTTGAGCTCATATCACCACAACGGCCTGGGCCACTTGGTTACCTTTACAGGGTGTTTGCATCGGTGACAAACAAACAGGGCAATCTGACCGATGCCGCCGACTTCGGTTACCGTATTCATTTTGCCGACTTGCAAAGGATACATATGCAGTACCTACACAGCAAACTGGTAGATCTGGCAGTCTCCGTGCACTTCAATGGAGATGACTGGAGCCCAGGAGGGAAAGCAGAAGAGATCGGCAAGGTTCTCAAGGAATATAGTAGGTTTCTCTTGATAACTTGAAGACAAAGAGGAAAAGAGAAAAAGAAAGAAAGAAAAGCTCTAGCCAGAAAGCTTACAAAGTCTTTGTCACACCCCCAGTCCAAGCAGTAAGAGACCACGAGTACATGGGCAAATATGCCAGGCCCTCCAACAACCCCTTCATCGCCACTAGCCAACGGCTCTGCGACAAGAAATTCCTCGAAGCAGCCATGAACAAGAACGGCTGCAAGATGCCCGAGGATTTCCTACCCCCACTACCACCATCATCTCAACAGAAGCACGAACAACAACTCCCGCAGTACAAGACACCCACTCCACTCATCGAGCACCTCAAAAAACACTCGGTCCCCACCGGCCCCTGGGAGCGCGACAACACCGACAAGCCAGCCCGTACACTAATCAGCACCCGAACCAAGGCATGGAAGCAAGCCTACTGGATTAGACTCCGCGCTGCCTTAATCGGTAGTGCCTTCCTCATCGCTCCCATGTGGATTATGCCCATGTTAGAGGTATATGAATATACCTTTCTTGTTTCCTGGGGTATTGCGACGGTGTGTATCGTGTGTTTTTGCGTTATGGTCTCCTCCCGCTTAGAGACCGTCGATGGGGTGTTTGCGGCGACACTGGCGTATGCGGCGGTCATCTTGGTGTTTGTGGGTAGTGTGACCGATAACTTCAAGTGACCAACCCCAGAGTGCGTGATGTCAGATGAAGGAAGGAGAGCAATGGAGTTGGGGAATTGTTCGATCAAATTGGCGGCTTATTGAATTGAAGGGAAAACGCAGCCGTTCCAGCTCCCTGCTATATATAGGTAGGTTTCCTGCAGATGAAGACCTTGGGTGAAGCGCATGGACCTTCCTATTGTCACGAATGTCATCAAACATGGAATACTTTCAGGGGATTATAGCGGCAGGTACAGGGGGTAGGACACTGAGCGATTGCGTCGGACATTGAGGCTGCGTCAAGTCCAATTTCACGTGCATACAACTGACTGTCCCCGTAAAGTAATATACGGGACTTTATGGTTTAATTCTGGTCAAGATCATTATGATATTTCGCGTTTTTCCAAAAAGGATTTCGACACAATGGTCGAGGTTGCGATCATCTTTCGTTACCACAATGCAAGTGGGGTGCATAGAGCTAGCTTTTATCCACTCTTTCAACAACATCCGGTATAGTGTAACGGTTAACATATCGCGTTTTCACCGCGAAGCTCGGGGTTCGATTCCCCGTACCGGAGTTTCTTTTTATCTTTTTTCTTTTTCAAATTTCTAATCCCGATGTAGTCTTCCCACCATCTTGTCACTTTATAAACCTTTCCTTTTTTAAATTTTTTTTTATTTAATTTTTTTTTTTTTTTGGTTTTGTTACGATTCTCATTTGAGATTTCTTCTTTTATTCTGGTTTCGGCATTTCCTGGTGCATGAGAAATACATACCTGTTGTGTCAATTCAAGCCTTGTCACGATCATCAGAAAGATCAGACAAATCCTGCTGCATCAAGGCAAATAGTCAACACCAAAACGTTCAATTTACATCCATCCATCCGAGCCCAGCCACTAATCTATACAGTCGTCGTGCAGTCATACACACATCGTACAACCGACACACCTAATATTCCACTACACATCATCGTAACAATTTCCATCCAACGGTTTGCCGCCCATCAGAAAAAACCGTTCCTCCCAAGACCATCAGAAACATAACACCAGATCCCCGATACAAGCTTTCTTTATCCGAGTTCCATTCCACCAATCCATCCATCCCCAATCCCACATTCATATCCCCCCTCCCCATCTCCTTCACTCCCCGCACTTCCACACTCCCACACCTCACCAAAGCTCAAAATGATCCATCAACCACCCCTGCCAATCATCTTCTTCCTCGTCATCATCATCTCCATCTCGCGCGCCTTCTTCTAGGTTCGGCGGACTGATGGTGGTGGTGAACCTCCTTGCTGCATCTGAGTAGAAGGAGGCTGGGAGGAGCTGCTTTTCGCGTCAACGCGCGGCTCAACAACACCACTGCTTCCTGTGGAAGCCGACGGGTGTGGGTTGGGCTTAAGTACGAGGTAAGCGCCAGTTAGACCAAGGAATCCCATTGCCAGGTAGCTATAATTTTTCATATTTTTTTCCCCAGAAACCCGCTCCCCTTGGTCCCCGGACCCCCCCCCCCTCGGGGTGGGGGGGAAAGGGAAAAAGGGGAGGGGGAAGAGGGTGGTTTGGTTGTTAGTTATCCGGTTTCTTTATCATACTGAGGGAAGGGAAGAAGGGAAAAAGGTGAAAAGAAGGGAACAGACTTACAACAAGGTATTATCCGCCTTCCCCACCAACGTCTCATGCTTAGTTCCACTCGCCGTCGTCGTTTTCCCAGACGTCGTCGACTGCTGTTGCTGCTCACTTGCACCCGCACCCGCACTCGCCGCCGACGCCATCTTCGCAGCCGCAGACTTTCCAGCCGGAGTATCAGACCACGAAGTAGTGCTGTACTGCTCATCCATCGCAGCAATCGGGTAATCGAGTTCCGCATCAATGTCAGCAGCGAGGATCTCGGGCTCGGTCTTTTCGGTACCACCACCGCTACCTGAAGAGCGAGAGCCACGGCTGCTGCTGCTTCCACTGCCGCGTTTGGAAGTGTCGCCTGAGGTGGCGGCGAACCGCTGTTGGATAGACTGCGGTGACGAGCGCATGTGTTGGAGGGGGATCACGGTGGCGGCGGCGGCGCGGATGCCGGTGGGCCGGAGGACCGTTCTGTGAACGACACGAGCGAGTGTAGTAGAGGTCGGCATCGTGACGGGTGTTTCTCGGTGGGAAATTTCTTGCCTGTTGGGTTTGTTTCTTGCTCTTGTTGTTGTGGTTGTTTGGCTACGAGGTTCCGGAGTGTTTTCGAAAGGTAACAAGTCGTAAAACGTAATAAGAAACTGAGATCGTGGGGAACTATCAAAGGTATGTGAGGATTATTAGGAGACCCAACAGTTTTCCTTATACCTCTTTCTCATGCCCTTTATTTGGCAGACTGGCGTATGCGCAAAGGGTTGTTGGCATATGACGTATCGGTGACGGCCATTGCGTGGTGTGCTGAGGAGGTGAAGAACACCGAGCGCTTCCCGGAGATGGACTCCATGGGCGACTGGAGTCTTCGAGAGCCTGTCAATATGGTACAACATCCGGCTGGTCACGGACCTACATAACTACCCGTTAACAAGTCTGCTTTGTACCCAGGGATGAGACGGAGGGAAGGTAGTCGACCATGGGAACTGAAGCTTATTAAACCTCGACGGGCCAACCATGTCGCCATCGAACGGTCGCGAACCTCATCCTTTGCGCATCACGTTCCGACTTTGTGGACGGAAGGGAACCGACGTTGTCATGAACCGAGACTTGAATTGTAAGTCCATGGCTGCTCCAGCCAACATCATAGCACCATATCAACACATCGCAGATTATCAAAAATACCATAGACTGTACATAAGCCGTCAGCCGCCCTTCCAAGGAACATCGCTTCAATATGTATACCACGACCTTGCTAACGAACCCGCATTCCAGCTACCCATGGCGCCAGGCAAGTAAGGATAAGTAGAGATCAAGTGCAAACAAATCAACAAACCGAAAGTAAGAAATGGGTATCATCAGAACATCATTGTCGCGCCTTTGACCGCCAGCATATCCGCAGCGATGTTGCCTTCGTCCGTCCCGTGCCCCTTAACCCAGACGAACTTGGTCTCGGCGGCCTTCCTATCGCGCGTGTCGATCTTCTTGCGGATGGCCACAATCAGATCCTGGTTGGAGACCTCCTCCCCCTTGGTGTTCCTCCACTCGTTCTTCATCCACTTTTTGTACCACGACGTCACGCAGTTGATTGTGTATTGACTGTCGGTGCGGAGCTCGCAATTTTGCGTGTCCGGAATGGCTTCCAGTGCTCGTAGGACAGCGGTCAACTCGGCGCGTTGGTTCGTTTGGACGGGGCCTTGGAGTCTTTCGGAGATGTTTCTGTTCGGGGAAAACGGGTTAGAAAAACAAACCACCATGCTGTTCTTGGGCGTGAGACTGCAGACTTACTCCCTGAAACCACCGCAGAAATAGACACCCACCCCCGCCATGGCGCCAACCTTGCCATTGCCTCTGGCACTGCCGTCCGTGTAGATGATGACGGGCTTGCTAGCATCATCAAGGGCTTCCTGAGCCTGGTGAGCAGACTGCGTGGCCCCGGTTTTCCTAGCTTTCCTGGAGCTCTTCGCTGGCCCTTCCAGAGCAATGACTTGCAGGTCATCTGTCTCGTCCACTTGTGGTACCTTGACGGCTTGGGAGGACGGCTTGCCACTCCATTGGCGCACGAATTCCTCGGCCTCGGCGCGCGTCTCGAACTTTTTGTATTTGGGGTTTTTCCAGCCCACCACCTCCTGCTGGGCAATGGACCAGTCTGTGTAGACACCGGGCGTGCGACCGACTGCGACGCCGTAGAACTTGGAAGGTGATGAAGTCGAGGTGGCAGAGGCGACGGGCCGGCCAGCGGCGAATGCGGAAGCGTCCTCGTAGCTCGTGAACGACTTGAACTGGGCGCCCTTGAAGCCGGTGATTTGCTGCTGGCAAAGGGCCCAGCTGGTGTAAACGCCGGGCTTGTAGCCAGCACGCACGGCGTAGTATTTGGTCTCGGGTTCCATCTTTCTCTTTGGCGCAGGCATCGTGACGGGTGATTTGAAATTAACGGCTATGTTGAGGCTGAGGAGCTTGTTGCCGACGAGTTCGAGAATCTTTTCGTGGCGAGATCGTCCTAGTGGTTGTTTTGTTTGTAAACGGGATGTCTTGGGCTTGCGACGACGAGATTGAAGCGCCGGACGCTGGGCTTTAAAGTGTCGATAAGCGTCGGTCAAGATCCTGAGCCGGCGACTGCGAAAGAAGTCGTCCAAGAAACCTGCCGGGGGATGTATCGATAACTCTTTGTTTGTCTCTTTTTGCGCTGTCTCACTTTTCGTCTTGTTTTTCTTTCTGCGCTTCGTCGACAGGCAGCGCAATCCCGGTGAACCAACCCTGGCGTCGTGGGCGTTCAAAGAAGCCGGCAAGGACAGCGAAGGCAGGCGATTCAGAGGAGACAGCAGGCGGACCAGGCGGGGCGGAGAGGGAAAGAGGAATGAGAGGAGGAAGGGGGACTGCCACTGGACGCGATGCAGATTGGAGGAACGAGAGGGGAACAACATCCAATGCGCCGGCGTGGAAAGGTGGGATGGTGGGATGTGGAGGGGATGGAGGGGAGGGGATCAGATGCTGCTTCCTTCCTGCGAGGGGATGTGAAGCGGGCGTTGGGTTTGCGCCTGCAACAGACGCACACAGGAAGGCAAGGTACTAGGAACCATTCACTGAATGGACAAACAGTCGCAGCACAGCGCTCCTGTTCCTTTCCCTTGCGCTGCAGTGGGCTGGTCAATTCCCCCGCCTCTTCCAGGCCCGTCAGGTACGGCGCCGGTAAGCTTCCAATCATTGATAAGATAACCCAAAATTCAGGAACACACAGTCAACCCTAACCCAGACACATCTTGTAACATTCTGGTCAGTTTGAACAAGTGGAAGTTGAACAGCTCGATGTGCTTTGTTACTATCATTGCATACCTATCGCATATGATACTTTTTCCTCCTTTGAGCAGCAAGTAGCCGTGTTCCAAAATATACCAGTTGTGATCTTTGTTTTGCATGTGAGGAAGGTAGGTTGTAACTTGTTACATACTTGTAATCCGTAACGTGACAGCCCCACCTCAGACAATGGGTTTCTTACATCGTGAACCTCCCTTTCACCCACAACCACGGTGACATGCTGCTAGTTCTTTGAGCGTTTTCCAAAAATCATTTAAATTACCCACCAATTGTTGATCTATTCCATTCAGATTCTGGGAGTATCATAACACTCGTCATGTTGGAGAGATGGTGAACTTGACAGGAGACAGACGAAAGGCGTGGACGCACAATACCGCCTGCATAAGGTTACAGAACATGACCAGGATTCCATTGCACATTCTTTCCTTCTTATCCCCGTTTCAAAAGACATTTTTCTTTCTTGTTCTTCGATCCTTGAATTCAGACTTGAATACACATACGAGCTCTCTCTTGATGTATTCCTAAAATCAGTTCGTCGCATAGTTATCATCGTTGTACCATCTTCAAACAACCCGTCCTTTCCACTTTCATTCATCCATACACTCCATCCATTCAATTCATTCCTACACACCTACCATGGGATGTGAATAAATCTTCTTCCACACCCTATCCTCTTCCCCTTCCAAGAATATCTTCATCTCAATTACTTCCCCAAGCTCTGCCTCACATAATCCAACAACAACGGTCCCACCCTGCTCGCAATGATCTTATCCCCATTCGCATTCGGATGCACTCCATCTCTCAGATCCGACGTCTTGAACCCCGTATAACAATCCGCCACCACAATCGGCGACTCGGTCGTATTCAACTTGGCTGCCCACGCGGGGATCTGGGCGTTGATGGCCTGGACGGCGGCGTTGGAGTAGGAGAGGGGGATCATTTGGTCGATCTTTTTTCTTTTGTTAGTTTTCATCATCATAAATCCCTTTGTTTTTTTTTTTTTTTTTTTTTTTTTTTTTTTCCCTTTCTTATCTGCCGGGCCAAACAAACTCACAATAATCTTCATCCTTGGATTCGCCCCCCTCATAATCCCCACCATCTTGGTATACGCATCCATCACCTCCTGCGTGCTCTTCCCCCGTGTCACATCATTTGTCCCCAGCATGAACATGACAATGTCCGCGGGGGTCTTCTTCAGCCACCCTTCCAAATAGTTATTGGCAATGTCGACGGCCAGCCACCCCGAGTGGCCCTCGTGGTGTTGGTCCCAGTTGGCCGTCGACGGTCGGCAGTTTTGCGGGTTGGAGTTTTGGGAGCCGACGTATTGCACCGACGACGCAAGGTTGGCGGCGGCGAGTTGGTCCCAGACTAGGGCGCGCCAGCAGGTGATTTCGGTTATGGAGTCGCCTAGGGGCACTGCGGAGGGGAAGAAAAGTTAGTTGGTTGGGAGGAGATGGAGGATAAAGGCGAAGAAAAAGAGAAATGTGATGTACTAATGCGAAGCTTCTGCGGCGTAGTCTGCCGCTCAGCGAGCTCGATTGGGCTGGCGAGGACTGCCGATGTCAGGGCGAGAGAGTTGAGGATGAGATTAGGGAAAAACATCTTGATGGGTTGGTTGGCTACCTAGCCAAACGTGAATGGTGACTGTAGTGGTGGTGGTGATAGTTCCGAGTGTGAGTGTTTATCATCCCTCTAACTAGATCCTAGTATCTGAACGGACGGCGGAGCGAGCAGCTTCTATATATGTCCATCCATCCACAGTAGTTACCACGAACAAGACGTTGCACTCAATCGATCCGGTCTCTCTCTCCTACTATGTATATTCTTTCTCATTCAGTTTATGGTACCTAATCAGGGTAATCAGGTAATAAACCTGATATTGATCCGTAAAAACTCTGGATATTTATCCAACCGACCAACCATCCCAAATATTCCAAGCCAAGCATTTCCACATATGTACCCGTGACCGTCCTGGCATTTATACACCCGGAATCCCATCTCCATCTGCACTAGACCGAGGTCAAACACACATAATGCAAGGCAACGAGTGTCTGACTGCTAAACCATTGGCCACGTAAGTTTGACTTCATCCGGGGTGGTAGATAGATCTGGCTGCACCGGATCGGGAAACGTCAAAAGAAAAAAGCAACGTCTAACAGTGGAAGATATATCCGGCACTTTTTTTGCAAAGGAAACCAATCTGTACCAGTTGGGATCGGTAGGGTTTCTTCCGATTGGGACGCTTCGACGGTTAAGAATACTTGTACGAGACAGGTAGAATGCCAAGCGGGAGGTGGGAAGCGGGCCAAGCGGCTCAATGCGCATCTGTTTGGCACATCTCGGGGGAAAAAGGCATGATGTCGGTGCGAGATGGATCCGTTCGGGAACCGGCCCCGACGTCGCGAATGATATTGGTGGATGGGTGTTACTTACCCAAATCAAACCAAGGGAATTCACTGGAGCAAAAATGGAATTGTTGTATTGGAATGCGCCTTGGTGATCATATGTGATCAAAGCCATGTAACGCTGATACACAGAGGTTCAATGCAACTTCAAGTGACACAAGCAGATAAGGGGGCTGTTGAGTCGCGAGATCATTGGGGGTATAATAAACTGGATGCGCTAAAGGTAGGTAGGCAGGTAATTTTCGAATCCCATCGACAATACCCTTTCCTCCGGATTACCCGGATAACCCGCAATTCGTTTGTCCAAACGATCAACGTTCAGTAGTAGCAAATGCCACCAACATCGTCATCCACGGTCCACGAAGCGGCCAAACCGGGGATCACAGCCTCCTCAGCCTGGGACGCGACCTGCAAGCCAGCGCCCTCCTCAGGCTTTCCAGCAAAGAAATCGCCCTGACCCTCGGTGCGGATCACGCGACTCATAAACCGGTGAGCCCACGCCTCCACGGCCGGCTCTCCCGTCTCGTCGCGGGCCTGCTTCAGGAACGAAATGAGCGCCGTTCCACCGGTACCCTTGAGGCTGTCCTTCTTTCCATCACCCCTGGTGTCCAAGGCAATTCCGGGAGGTTGCTGGCGCGACGCGGTCGCCAAATTGACCTTGCGGCGGACAGCCTCGGGACTGCGACTGCGGCTGCGAGTGCGCACTTCCTTGCTGGGCAGAACAATGTAGCGAGTCACAATGGCAATGTGCTTGTCGCGGAGAGCACGCAACATGGCCAAGCAGGCGTCGTAGGCGATGCACAGCGGGCGGTCGTCACGGTGCTCCTCGACAAACTCCCGGATGTTGGCCGCGGACTGCACATGGTTGAGGAAGCGGGCATGGGGACCGGGCATGTACTTGCGCATCTCCAACAAAAAGTTGTGCTTGGGGGCCGGGGCATGGCCCTCGCCTTGCTCCTGGGACCGGCCACGCTTTTCGCCCGTGGGGCGGTGTTCGATACCCAAGACGATATCGAAGAATTGGATCAAACTGCTCTGGGCATTGCTGCCTCCAGAGTACTGACGGTACTCCTCCTTTCCGGACCCGTCCTCATAAATGACGCCATGGGGCAATCCAGCATCGGCCATGTTCTTGGAACCGGCAAGGAAAGGGCGAATGCGGTCATAGAAAATCTTGGGATCGCAACTCTCGTGCATGCGCTGCAACAGAGTAGTGAGATCGTCAAGACGTTCGGCAAACGTGTGCAGACAGCGAGTGACGGTAGCGGCATCATCCTCGCGAGCTGCGGCAATGGCAGTCAGCATGAGCGGGATGATGGGCGCACCACGGGCCTCCATGGCAACCGAGACCAGGTAGAACCATGACTCGTCAATGGCGCCGGTGAAGGTGCTGAGGGTGGCGAGGTTCTCGAGGTTGTCGATGTCCTCGTCCATGAAAAGAGGCTTGAAGTTCCAAAGACAGACGGCTGCATAGGTAGCGACGGGCGGCACCTCAAGATGTTCCGAGATCTTGAGCAGAGGGACTGCGATGGAAGGCGGCAGACGGTCACTGGGGCTATCACCGCTCCAGATGTAGCCGTGGGCCATGAAGGACAGCAGCGAGTAGGCCCTGCGCCATTCTGCGTCGTGTTCCAGACCGATGGTGTCGAGCACAGGGAGACGATCAACGACTCCGCGAAGTCGCTTGCTGAGGATGAGAGCCTGCAGGTTGGCGGCAATGGCCTCCCACTTGTTATAGTAGGGATCCGGGAGTCTCGTCAACGGCAGGACATCGGGGAGGAAGCCATGGGTTGGAGAGATTCCATAGTCGGCCAGGACGGGGATGGGAGGAAGCATGACTTGGTTTGTTTTGTTTGGGTGGTGATGGTTGGTAAACAAAGGAGTCCGATGCTTGGGTGAGTGATCCTCTAGCGATAAAGCCTAGGTGAAGATGGGAATTCAGTGGTGATGATGGTTCTTTTGAAGGAACTAAAAAGACCTGACGCAAGGAGTATACAGAATGTTCTCTGTAATACTCCTCAGCCGTGCGATATTCTGTGTAGCGTGTCGCATGTACCTCGATGGTGGTGAAGATGGTGGTGAGAGGAAGAAAAGAGACAGAAAGTTGGATAAAATAAAAAAGAGGAAGCTTTGTTCTTTTTGTTTTTTTTCCAGATGAGTTGGTTGGGAAGAGGAACAGTGAGGATAAGTAAGTACCTTTTTGGCGTGTAACATGTACAAAAGATACTTGTTCCTAGTCGCAAATACCCAAAAGAGAGAAAGAAAAATTCGCCCCCTCTTCTTACGCCAAGCCAGTGACTAAGAAAATGACTTTTTGAGTTTCGAGACTCTTCCCAGCCGACCATCGCTTGGAAATCCCGATCGGGGGCTTTGATCAGAGGGTGGAGCCGGGGGTTGGGCGGTGGGATGACCTGATGCCCTGGTTCATGAGACCAAAGAGATGGGCAAGACCTAACTGGGGGATGGACAGGGAATATTGAAAATGTCTTGCGCGACTCTGGCACTGAGAGTGGTATCATGAACTCCGACTGCGGAAGGATGGGAAGATGCTGAGTAGGAAACGGGCATGAACAATGTCAGATATTCGGCTATGCACGGAGGAGGATTGGTAATGATGCCAACGCCGAGTTCCGTCCTTGGGTCAATGTTCGTCCGTGAACAACCTTGAGCTTTACATAATTAGCGAACAGACGTTTGTTTCGACTGATCTTGTTTCCGTTTCAGAGGTCATGGCGTTGACACGATGCCCTGAACCCCGAGGTCCGGGGTGGTTATGACAACATGAGAGAGGTTGAGAAGTCAAAAAGGCACAAGACCCACGCAGGACAAAAGAATCATGGGTGTGCCATCAACCACTGGTAAGGCAACCAATTGATGAAGGAATTGGATGGCACACGATATGCCGTCGTACGGCGGTATGTAGCGTACAGTACCTGGAAGGCTTTGCCGTGTGTCGTCAACAGACAGTGGTGTATTGGAGGAAACCGTCAGAGATGATTTGAAAGAAATGGAAGCAGCCAAAAAGACATCAATGGCCAGACAGCCATAAAACAGTGGCGGTTAAATTGGGTTGTCACTTCCCTTGTCATGTTACTGATGTCGACGATGAACGCGGGGCAAAAAAAATAAAGTGGACGAGCGAGTCTTCAAGGTCCCCAATTGATCAATCCAACGGGCGGGATCGGCGGGGCAGGCAGGCACTGATAACTGAATTCTATCTCCACGTGCGGGAGTACATACGCAATTGACCCCGCGGCCGAGGATTTTTGGCGGGGAGTCTTCTTGGAGTCAGTCAGGTGGTCCAAGCTCCCTCCATGAGCCGCAGCGATGTTGGTCGCACTCAGGCGCAGCAGTTCGTCATGCCGCCAATAAACATCGAGTGCGGGAACGTTGGAGCTTGGCCAACAACCACCACAGGGCACCTCAACCACCAAGAAGACACTGGCGATCCTCGGATCCCATTCCTGCCACGTCCTCCCGTCACTCATACAGACACACTTTTCAGTTCGAGATGCGACGATAGCGACACCAACACAACCCCAAGGTTTGGTCACTTTGAATAACTTGGACAAGATGGTTGTCCAACAACATATCCTGAACTGGCTCTATAGCGTGCTGACCAGTGTATGATATGCCCATGGGATGTCCACAACCATCTCGTCCTCCTAGAAGCCAACCTACTGACTGACTGACTGACTGACTGACTTGCTTCGCCTCCAGGAATATCACGATGTCAACCGCACATACAACGATGTAGCCCAAGTGCTCTCCCACTACCCATCGCTCTCTCCACGAACCGATGTCCACAGTACGCTGCCCTTTATCAATGCCACTATCCCGACCGTTATCTGACCGATGTGCTCCTATCACAGCCTTCCCCAACGGCGCATCCGCCCTCCTCGTCCACCTCTCGGGAACACTGCCCGTCGTCTTTCGCGGCACCACGTACCGATTCCCAATCTCAGTATGGGTTCCCCACGCCTATCCCCGCGAGGCCCCCTTGGTCTACGTGACCCCGACCGAGCACATCATGGTACGGCCAGGCCAGCACGTCGACCCTCAGGGTCAGGTGTACCATCCCTACCTTGCCGGCTGGTCGACGTATTGGGATAAGTCCACCATTCTCGACTTTTTGGCCATATTGCGCGATGTCTTTGCCAAAGAGCCTCCCGTCATTGCTCGTCCACCTCCTCAAGGGCAGGTCCGGTCCCCTCCGCCCCAGCAGCAGCAACAACCACAGCCACCACAAGCTCCTGGGGTACCTACACCACCACCAGTGCCACCACTTCCCCAAGAACTAGCCGCGAGGTCACCGGTTCCAGTACCTTTACCGGCCCAACAAGACGGGGCAAGGCCTCCACCTCCACCACCGAAGCCGGGCGCCCCTGCTGCTGCTCCCATACTGCAACACCAACCCTCTCCGGCACCATCCTACGCCGCCGCTCCTCCGGTGCCTCCCCATCCTCCACATCCCGGCAGACCTACGAGCCAACACGGCGGTCCTGGAGCTTCGACAACACAGTCCCCCAGACCAGGTCCCTCTCGCTACGATGCTCCTCCACCTCTACCTCCACACCCGACAGCACAACAACAACAGCAGCAGCCTCCTCAACCGCCCCATGGCGCGCCATACCAATCACCTCCTCCAGTGCCCGCTGCCCTTCCTCACAACCAGGCACCACCACAACCCCCCTTCTCCCCAATGGACCCACGAAGAATGTCAACCCTCCAACAACACCCTCCTCAACACTACGCATCACCACCCAACTGGCAGCAGCAACAACAGTACCCACCTCAAGCTTTACCGCCACCACACCAACAACACCAATTCCCACCACAACCGCAGCCTAAGCCCCCTCCGCCCCCAGACCTCCTAGACGACGACACCCCCGCCTCCCCTCCCTCCTCCACCCCCGGCGCCAACGCCAACGCCACAACAACCAATACCTCTCCCGACGCTCCTCCTCCCCCACCTCCCAACCCCGAAAAAGATGCCCTCCTCCGACAGCTAGCCTCCACCCTCCACTCCCACCGCCAGCACGCCCGCGCCCAAAACGACTCCTCCCTTGCCGGCCTCCAAGCCCAGCGAGCAGCAATGAACCAAGCAGCCACCACTCTCCAAGCCGAGTACGCCCAGCTTTCTCAGCTCTCGGCTCTCTTAACTTCCAACACGGCCATTCTGCAGGAAAGTTTGAGGAAAGCCGACGCCGTGATTGAGAACTCCAAAACACTCAAGGAGCCGGATATCGATGAGTTGCTGGTTGCCCCGACGGTGGTGGGCAACCAGCTTTATGAGCTGGTGGCGGAGGAGAGGGCCTTGGCCGATGCCATATTCATGCTGGGACGGGCGGTGGAGAGAGGGAGGATTGCGCCCGGGACGCATGCTAAGATGGTGAGAGGGTTGGCGAGGGAGTGGTACTTGAAGAAGGCTCTGGTGAAGAAGATTGGGGACGGTATGGGACTCAGTCAGTAACAGTTATGCTGACGGGACTGGAAGACAAGGTAGAGTAATAATGCGATGTAGATGAATGGATGATCATGACCAACAAAACCTCCCTTGGGTCTCGTTTTACTTCATGGGTGCTTACTTGCTGTGCAACAGATCTGACGCATTGAGACGGAAAAAAGCTGAATCAACTATTCTTTTCCGAACAATTATCACCATCAACCATCACATTAACCCCCCTCTTTATGGCCTAACATAACATCTGAAGGCCAAACGAAAACCACAAAAGGGCCCAATAACTATGATCCAACTACAACAACAACAAACCAGAAACGTCTGCCCGCTGCTCTAACAATGCCTACCATAGGCAACTACTCTATACCTGATTTGACTTGACTGATCGCCCTTCACAACTTGGCATGAAGAACACTCCTCAAACTTCCAGCTTTTCCAGCTTTTCCAGCCCCAGCGACCGCCATCGATTCCGGACCATCACATGATAATCCTAGCACCCTCTCCTTCGCCACTTCCTCAAGCCGAAATTTACCTTTACCTTCCACATTACTAAAGCTCTCGATCCTCCTCAAGTTCAGCACCCGCGCCGGCCTCGGATGCTGCAGCCCACCTTTGGGCGTCGCCACCACAACATCCTACTCGTCGTGACGCAGCGACTCGGTGGTTATAGTTCTATTGGGAATGGGAAGAGTAGCCGCAGCAGTGGTGACAGTAGGGACAGCGACGTCACTGTGGGTATTACTGTTCCCGGCGGAAGCGGTACCAGCACCAGAACCAGTCTCGACACCACCCTTGCCCAACAATGACGACGACCGACCGCTTCCCTTGCGTTCCTTCAATCTCTGGCCGATCCCAAACGCAGCGGCGGCTGCTCTCTGCCCCCAAGAAATGCTCCATTGCCGACGCGACTGCACTTGATCGATGAAGGAGGGTGGGAACGATGTTGTTCTTGCTTCCTTTCCTTTCTGCTTGGTCAACTTGTTACCGTTTGGTTTTCGGTCACCATCTGGGCTACAGTCATCATTGCTGCTGTTTCCGCTCGAGAGACGAGGCAGCACAGCCATGGTGAAGCTCTTCCTCAGGGAAGTTGAGGGAACACGTGCAGCTTCGACAACATCTCCATGAGATCTCCTGGTGGGGATAAAGCCTTGCTTGCGGCTCATGATGCTGCCGACGTCAGTTGGTGCCGTTGCGCTCTTCGTGATCTTGCTGCTGCTGCCTCTGACAACTTCAGGTGGTTGGGTCGGCTGAAGAAAGGGATCATCATCTTCTTGGTCTCGAAACCATTCCGGGGCTACACTGTCTTCCCCAAGCGGCAGTGATCCGTGGCGTTTAGGGTCATGGTGGTGTGGTATCGTTCGATTGACCTTGTCCAGGTGCGGCCATTGCTGCAAGACAGGGTGCCGAACAATAGCCCCCGCCGACCGAGACGATCCAGATCCAGACCCAGAGGCAGACGCCCTCGTGCTCGGGAAGGATGTGGTAGTAGTTTCTGTGGTTGACTCACCACGCTTGCGCTTCTGTCCTTCCGGACTGCTTTGGCCGTCTGCCACTGCACCATTCAGGTCAAGATCCCCGTACGAGCCCGATACCTTCCACAACACGCCTTTTACGAAAAACGTCGACTCGCCCGTCTCCTTGTTTGTCGAACTCATGACGAGTGGCTGCGTCTTGGATCCGTCACTGCTTTTATATTTGCCCTTCCCTTTCCCCTCGCCACCGCTCGCGCCTGCGCCCCCGCTATCCTTCCTTTTGGACATCGACATCGACATCGACACGGCATTACTGATCTTCCGCCCCGCAGCCCGAAGTGCCTTACCATTTCTGCTGCCGCGGTTGCCGTTGTCCCGATTCCCGCTCGTGCCAAACGACAGCACTTTCATCACCCTGCTCCCAGAAGATGAACTCCCACGGCCCTTCCGGCTAAAGGCAGCCAAATGTGTATCTTGAGATGAACCATCATTGAGGGATTGAGAAGAACTATCGGTCTCCGATGACTTCCGCTTGCTGTGCATTGATAGTGGCAGGCTTACTATGCTACCACATCCGCTCCGACCGTTTTTCGAGTGACCGTGGGTGGGGCCGCCGCTGCGGCCGCCGAGCTGCTCGAAGAGACTAATACGCTCCTTGACGGGTGAATCTTCTTCAATCGCGTTTCTCTTCATGTCCTGCTTCTGCTGCTTCTTGATCTTCCTACGCTGGAAGTAGCTGTTGAGGCCAGTACCAGCAGCTGGGCCCGAGGTCTTACGCCGGTACCCACCGAGTGACGACGGTAGAGTCTTGCTTCGCTTGCGTGTGCGTACCACGCTCGAAGCAGTTGAGCTGGCAGTTTCGGGAATCACGTCTGAGCTCTGTTGCTGCTGCTGCTGTTGTTGTTGCTGATACGAGCGACGGGATGCCTTTCGAGTTGTCACAGCCACGGTGGTCGATACCATAATAGGTGCACTAGGGTTGGCCTTCATGGGAACCCCGAGGGTCAATGTCTGCGCCCTGCGCTTTTGGATGAAGGGCAGGAATGGTGCTGAGCCTGGGCCCGCGGGGTTGTTGTCAAACACCTTTTGCAGATCCTTGACTCTGTTCGCAGGGGCGAGTGGTGCTGATGTCGAAGTTTCACTGGAACTGCCTGACTTGGGCTTGCTCTGGTCGAAATGGCCGTCGCTGTGGGAGGTGGTGAGGGGCAGGGGCCCTGAGGCCGAGTGACTCGCCCACGGTTGTTGAAGGGTTACTGTGGTTTGGGGACCGGTAGTAACCTTAACGGAGAGGGTGCGTGAAAGGAGCAAGTGATGCTGGGAGCTGGGACGGCGTGTGGACGTATACGCTGATGTCCTGGTTGGGGTGTCGCTGTTCTTTCGGTTGACGGGCCTCCGCGAGTCCACCACAGCATCAGAAACGTTGCCATCATGCGACCCGACAAGGCGAGAGGCTGTGCTGTGAAGCTGTGTCTGCTTTAGGCTCGATGAGGCATTGTTGTCGACTCTATGGATTGGTTGGTTTGCCGTCTGTCCTGGGCGAGGATACGTCTGAGCAAAGACCTCTGAAGAACGAAGGTTTCTGACCCTAGTCGGTGTAATGGGATCCTTTGACTCTCGCCTGGGTGTTATCGGTGTTGGGACTTCTGTGGCTGTTGATAGGCCTTGGGTAAGAGCACGGCGGAACCGCCACTGGGTAGAGCTGGGCGTTTCTGGTCGAAGATCGAGAAGAGATGAGCACTCAAAAGACATGCGAAGGGCAGCGACACTCTTTCTTCTTTCTCTCTCGGGTTTCACGCCGTCTGTTGCCGACTGTTGGGAGGATAGAACAGGAGCCGAGATTTTGGCAGCAACGGGTCGCCGCGCCGACACCGTGCAGGGCTGATCAAGATTGACGATCTCGGATTCCCGCCTCTGTTCACCCTGAGAAGGGACACGTGCAACTGTACGGGTGACGACCGGGGTGGCAATTGGGCTATCAAAAGGCCGAGGCACTACAACCGTCAGCTTTGATTCCGATCAAGGACTTATGCAACAGTTGATGGGACAGTAACATACCAGTGCTTCCTGACTCAAAGAGCTTTCGCCTCGCTGCAACATTACTCGGATCCCAATGTTTAGGACCATTGGTAATGGCGACTTTGGCATCAGAAGCCACTTCCTTGGAACGAGCTCCTCGATGGGCCTGAGACGACCTGGGTAGGGAGATATTGACGTGTTTCTGGCTTGACTGTTTTTCGATCAGATTATGGCCTTGACGCCGTGTAGCATGTTGTAACACTGCGTCATCTGGTGTTGGCGTTGGGACTGCGGGTGGCCTTTGGCCTTTGTCTGGAGATGGAAGCTGCAAGGCTCTGGCGTCAGAAGTACCCATAACATCCAGTATCTCAAACTTGGACACCAGAGAGGCGAGCTTGGGGGATGTTTGGTTAGGAGCCGTTCGGTATGTGGATGGGGTTGCAGCTCTGTGCATGATGGTGTTGAGGCTTTCCCCGTTGTTTCGATTGGTACTGCTGGGGGTTCTGCCCGAGATGGCCGATGAGTTGCCTCGGGATAGGCTATTATCACTCTGGCCGCCGCTCGAGTTACTCTTCCTTGTCAGGCGGAGAGGAGCCGGCTTGAGTTGTGCGTCGGTGAAGTCGGTCTGGGCCGGTGAGCCTGGCTCTTCCCCACCGGCGACCATGGTGGGAGATTGGTCTGGACTTGAGTTGGGCATTGAAGGGACAGGGGAAGAAAAATCTCTGGAAGGGAATGTTGGAGTTGGAGGACCAAATACCACCAGTACAGTCGTATACTGCAGACTCGAGCTGTCACCGATAAGGGGACCTGGATGACAGACTCGCCTCAGTGGAGGGGACCTCGAGTGATGAGGTGGATGAGATGGATGAGAAATGGATCATGATTGGATCCAGATTATTACTATTGAGGTGATGGTCCTTTCCTTTCACTTGGTTGCGTTTGACTTCTCAACGCTGTCGGGGAAAGTGCTTTTCTCCGCTCATCAAGTCCATTAGTTGGGTCTACCAACCGTCATAGGCGGCACCCTCCTCCTTTGACACCTTCACTTCCGAAAAACTTGAGTTTTCGGAAGGAAAGAACAAGAAGGCCCCTGGCAGATGACTTGACGCGCTTTTTATGCCCCTTTTTGCTTCTTTCCAGTTCATCATGATCAGTTTGAGCGACAAGGTAATCATGATGCCTTTTGTCACCCACCTCGCCAACTCCACGCTTTAAATTTTCTCCATTGGAGGAAGCCAACACTCTGTCTACCTGCGACTTTGATCGCTTCTTAACTTGCACGGGCACTGGAAACCACCGCATGGGGTCTCGGTCCCGATCTGAAAACTGTCACTTTGATTCATTCATTATTACCTAGGTAACTACCCACTGTACCAATCATTCTGTCCTATTCCGGGTGATTTTTACCCATTCGCTCTTCCTCATTACTCTTTGTTCTCGGCGTCCTTCTCCTTTTCAATCTCCTTGACCGTTTCATCCTCGGCGAGCGTTGGCGTCTTCTCGTCCATGAGCTCAAAGGCCCTGTCCAAGAGCTCGATGTGTGCCACACCGTCCTCAACAAAGGCCACCTCAACCTCAACCTTCTCTTCCGGTTTACTCTCATCAAGCAGCTCGCCAGGGATGAAGCCGGCCTTGAGCTTGTGACGAGAGTAGCTGGTGTACACCTTCTTACGGCCATCGGCGCAGATGAGGTCGAGGAGCTTGAGCGTGAACTTTTGGCAATTGTTGTCAACCAGCTTGTAGACCTCGTCCATGTCCTGGATGGCTTCGATGCCTGATAGCGGCCACAGTTAGCATTCGGTGGAGAAGACGCTCATATGGGAGTACACGTACCAGCCGAAGCAATGGCATTGTCGTTGAACCTGGTCTCGCCAACCTCATACAGCTCCCACTTGTCGGTCCAGTCCTTGACGTTGTTGTCGTACCAGTTCCAGTGCTTGCCATCCTGCTTGGTGGCTTGAAGCTGATGGTAGTAGTCACCAACCAGCACGCACCAGTGGTAGTTGGGGCTGGGCATCGAACCAAGATAGTGGCCGCTGCTGATGATGTCGGCAATGAGTCCCAGAGTCCAAGCACCGAGCTTGCCGCCGACGAAGCGGGAGGCGATGTAAACCTTGCGAGGCGCATCGTTGATGTTGGGCTCACCGGCTGGAACACGGTTGACGTTGGGGAAATGGCGGCCCATGGTGACTGAAGGATGGGAAAAGAGTTGGCTGGTGGGATGTGCTTGAGGTTTCTTTGAGGGCTGTGATGAGCTTGATGTCTTGATGCCAGAGACTGACTGGGACATGACAGTCTTTATACCCATCCAGAGACTATCATTCATCCATCATCTACATCGTGGGCTGCCTCGACCTGGGCACATAATCCGCCCCGCGTGTCTTGGACTCCTCTATGGTTCGATTCGCATGCTCAGCTTCGGCTTTGATGTTGGCTTTTCCTCATCCGTCCTTCAGCTATCGCCAAAGAAAGCTCAGCCCAGCAAAGCATCGATAGTCTGTCAATGAAGAAGCAAGAGTCCAATGCATTTCCCAATCAGCTTGGCAAGCGAAGGCCATAGCAACCGCCGTTGAGGTTGCAGTAGGCTTTGCATCTGGCCATCGAACCCGGAGATAGCGCCGGGAGCTGAAGTGCCTGGCGGTCCAGACCGTTGACTGTCTGCACGTGGCTGGCATTTGCATGCTAGCTTGGTGCGTGGTTCCCCAGATTGGCACGCATACCCTTGCATTGGTGGTCTTTCAGCTGGGCACTAGGACAGTACAGCCTACCAACTAGCGCCATTCCCATCAATAGTCTGGATATCACATGCGGCCTCAGTTCTTCGGTCTTTATTGGAGTAATGTCTCGAGGGTCCGAGAGCATGAACATTATTTTATTTGCAGTCAAAGACGGTTCTCGCCGTTCGACTCTGGCGCTTCACTGTATGGCATGTCAAGAGATGTTGAAGAAGACGCCAGTCCCCCTCCCCCCTCCCCATTCGCAACACATTTTCTGTTCACTTTTGACGAATCCTCCAAGACATATAGTCTCTCGCAAGTCATTGAGCATCATCTGTCGCTGAAATGGCCCAACCGCTATGCTTCTTCATACCAGATCATATCTTCACACCCACCACAAACAGCAATACCGTTGCGAACAAGGTAGAAGAGCCAAAGAAGAGCAAGTTGCAGGCCAATGCAAGCTACAGAGTAGCCAACTCTTGGCGCAAGGAGGCCTCCAAAGACGAGGACTTGAGACTCTTTGCGGTGTCGAACGCGCTTGTCATGGAAAGTTTCGATGAGATTCGAGCACAAAAAGTACAAGAGCCTGTTGAGGAGGCCTATACTCCCACCAAGGCGGTCAGAGATGGTTATGAGGTACGTCTTCCTTTTGTGTCCTGTAAACAGCATCAAAAATGGGACTAACACTCCGTCAGAACACGCTCAGCGAGACGATCCGCATCCCACGAGATGACCTCAAGTTCCCTGCCTCGGTACCAATCGAGCAATCCCGTTGCGTCTTTGACCTCCAATTCAGCAAGCACCCCTGGAGCTTCCCAGGAGTCTTGATGCGATCCGAAGGTGAACCCGCCCTCGAGCGCCAAGGTGACCCAGCAGTCAACCAATGCTACGACCACATGGGCATAGTCCGCGACTTTTACCGCGAAGTGTTTGGCAACCATGCCATCCTGGGCGAGGGTATTCCCCTCGTCGGCATAGTCCACTACGACTTCTACTTTCCCAATGCCTGGTGGCATGAGCGCGACGAGAAGGACGATGGCTCTGTCCCTGGCCTCATCTTTGGCGACGGATGGGACACGGATCCTTGGAAGAACAACCAGCCGACCAAGTGGTATGGAGGCTGCTTCGGCAACTTTGTCGGCAGCTTGGAGATTGTAGCGCACGAGATGACGCATGGCATGGTGCACTCGCTCTTGAAGCTGGAAACGACGGAGGAGAGCGGATCGCTGCATGAGCACCTTGCTGATGTGTTTGGGATGATGTGCGAGCAGTGGCATAAGAATCAGACTGTTGACGATGCGGACTGGCTGGTTGGCGAGGACCTTATCGCGGAACAATTCAAAGATCTGCAAGGGTTTGCGCTGAGGTCGGTCAGGGCGCCGGGGACGGCGTATGATATTGAGGATCTAGGGATTAAGGATGCCCAAGTAGATCATATGAGCAGTATGATGAAGGACAAGAGAGATGTGAAGAGCATCTATGTCAATATGGGCATCATGAACAAAGCTTTCTACCTGGTTGCAAAGGCGATGCGGAAAGATTCCAAATCTTGGGAGAAACCGGGCAAGATCTGGTATACTGCGCTGCAGAAACTGCGCGGGCTGGGAAGATCGAAGTGCGAAATCACTGGCTGGGCTACTATCACAGTTATAGCTGCCAAGAATTTGTTGAAGGACAAAACTATTGGGCAGGACGACGTTCAGGCGGTCATAGATGCGTGGAAGGAGGTTGGTGTGGTCTTACAGTAGATAGTGACTTGCGGAATGCTGTGTGAAGATATACGCCAATATCAGTATTATTTTCCTAACCACAAACATCACCAAGGTCCGCTGGCTCAATGGCAGAGCGTCTGACTACGAATCAGGAGGTTCCAGGTTCGACCCCTGGGTGGATCGAGTTCTTATCATTTCGATGTTTCTTTTCCCTTTTTCAAATTTTTTTCTCATTTTGGTGGCGAGTTTGGATATTCTCGGCGTGGTTGTTGACTCAGGGTTAGGGTCGAAATTGTTAGTGCAGTTGCCATCCACCACTGCACTGGAACACGCCATCGATTACTTGGCGCCCAGAACCCCCCAAGTACTATAGTCGCGATAGCGTCAAATAAACCCCGCAGCAACAACAACAATCAGTCAAGAGACTCATTGACGACACTCCTCTTTATCTGCCTGCGCAACCATCCAAGTCCCTTCATTTCTCTTGAAATCCAGCTAAAACTGCATTGAGATCATCACCATGGCTCTTGTCGTATGTTTTCGTCACTCCTATCACCTTTTGTTTCGCACCATGGTCACGACGATAATGTGCCGATAACCAGCCCGGGTTCTATGCTGACATGGTAAGAAATCAGGCGGTTGGTCAGTTGACGTCAACGGCCAGCATGGCCAACAACCTTCGCCAATGTCAGATTCTTGTCAAGAAAGCAGTCCAAGCTGGTGCAAAGGTCAGTCAGCCATCTTTTTGTCTGATGAAGCTGGAGAATTGTCCGGCACCATGTATCCATAATATCCTGACCACAACAGCACCGCTAGGCCCTCTTCCTCCCCGAGGCAACAGACTACATCTCCTCCTCCGCCGAAGAGAGTCTAAGCCTGGTCAAGCCCGTGCAAGACAGTGAGTTCGTCCTAGGTCTCCAAGAGGAAGCCCGCCGATTCAAGCTGCCGATCCACGTCGGCGTCCACGAACCCAGCAGCCAGACCTCTTCGCAGCGCATCAAGAACACAGTCCTCTGGATCAACGAGCAAGGCGAAATTGCCCACCGGTACCAGAAGATCCACCTCTTTGACGTGGACATCCAGGGCGGTCCTGTCCTCAAGGAGAGCCAGAGCGTAGAGCCCGGGATGAAGATTGAGCCGCCGTTCGAGACGGCCTTTGGCAAGGTGGCGTCGACTATCTGTTTTGATGTCAGTTCTCTCATCCTCTCCTCCTCGTCCTCTTCTTCTATCTCTCACTTGTCAGGTCTCAACTTCACCCTACTTTGCAGAATGTAGTATGTGGCTGACTGGACTTGTCTACTACACTTCAGCTACGTTTCCCGGAAATTGGTATCTCTCTCCGAAGGCAGGGAGCCGAGATCATTACCTACCCTTCAGCATTCACTGTTCCCACTGGGCAGGCGCACTGGGAGGTTCTGTTGAGGGCTCGGGCGATTGAGACGCAGTCGTATGTCATTGCTGCGGCACAAGTTGGTAGACATAACGAGAAGCGAGTCAGCTATGGCCATAGCATGATCATTGATCCTTGGGGGAGGATTGTTGCCAGTGTGGGAGAAAAGGCGGATGAGCCTGAGATTGCGACGGCTACCATTGATCTTGAACTGGTGAAGAAGGTTAGGGCGGAGGTACCGTTGAGGAGAAGGACGTAAGTGTCTCGTTGCCCCAGTCCCATTGCTGATGCTCATCAGCAAGTCGAAGAAGGAAGTAGCTTGGAGATGATGCTGACTGACTCTTGTGGTAGGGATGTGTACCCGGAAGTGTAGCCGAGGGAGGCTAGCTACCTCTAGGCATAGCGTGGGTTTGACATGGTCCTGGAGGGATTCTCCCTTGGTCGTATCACATCTGGGTTCATCATCACAGAGCCCGGATTGACTGTGTTTCGACCCGATTCGTCGATAATGCATTGAAGGACAACCTCGGTGCCGGCGGGTCTTCCCCCGAAGGCTAGAAGGTATATTTAGGGATACCGTGACGCAATAGCTTGCAGCCCCGGGCCAGTTCTCCCCCATCGTTCCTTTATTCGGCCACGAACCGTCGCCCCAGGAACCGGTCCATGTCCGAACCCTTTGAGTCAATCACCACCTACAACACAGTGGAAGCTTCATCACTGATGGCAAGTCAACGATAACTAAGGACAGCAAAAAGGAGTTTCCAAGTATCGAAAGCGGTGTCATTTACCAACATCGGCTTCAGCAATATTTAGGTGTTGAAATCGGCAAACCGACCGACCCATGATGGCCAAGACTGCTGCGGATATTTCATCTCAACTTTTTTTTTTTTTTCTCCCCAAACACATACATCCGCATACCTGCCTTCATATTATACCACCTTCTCCCAGAATCTTCAATCTCACCTCGCACTGCATCACACACCCTTTTGACCTGTCACCACGTGCGATCCCGGGGATTCTCTTGCATGGCATAATGTTGTTTGGGGCAATCAGAAAAGAAAAGAAAAGAAAAGTGGGTCGCGCGCACGCAGATGTGTTTGGACAACAATACTAAGCTCTCGGAAGCGAACAATGCTAAGACGCCTCCTGGCCTCCCTCATATTCCCAACTTGAGCTTCCTCAAGTGAAACCACCACCCCCCGCCGTTTACACCCACCTGCAATGGGGAGGATTTCCACCCCAACTGGGAGAAAGGACAATAAGAGACAGATACAACTACATCCCGTTTCTTTATATTATCATCTTAACATCTCACATTCCCACAATTAGCCAGCCAGACCCGTCCTACCTATTATCTCCTCCCCTCCCACCAACCACTGCCGTGCACTCACTCCCTCACTCACTCACTTTACTTCTTCCGCCGCCGGGCCCAACAATATGATGTACCTACCGGTTCCTTATTATGATGCCTCCAACCGTTCGTGGCGATGCTAGAGAATAGGAAGTCAAACACTTTGGTCGAGAATGGGCAATCGTGCTACTCCTTCTTCTTCATCTTCTGTTGTAAGAAAGGTACCCGCGACTACAACCAGAAAACCACAACTCGCAAAAAAGGGGAAATTGGACTTCTCCTCCACCAGACCCAGTCCAATATACCGTCGTCGTCGTCGTTATCATAAGCTTGTCTTACTGAACTTTTCTTTTCCCTCATCAACCAAAGTAGTAATCAACTCTAATCTGGCGTCAACGATACGATACTGTGGTGAAAAGATTGTCACTCATTTAACAAACATCGTCGGCACTTTCACTTGAGGATTAACCAACACCTTCTTCTTTTCATTGGGCTTTCTGGTTCTTGATCAGCTTCTTACCTACTCACCTACCCATACAAAGCTCGCTTGACTCGAGCACCGCCAGCAAGGGTCTGTCTGTCCGTCTCCCTCCCCTGGGTCTGTTGGTGTGTAGATACGGTATGTCCAGAGTCAAGGCCGACGATCCAAGTCCCCAAACTGACTGAACCTTTCCCAGCGCTCAATCCCTTCCACACATCAAACCCACAGCACCCACCCATTCATTCATTGGGTCACCCATCAACACCATGGCCTCTTCCTCTTCGTCCCCTCCCGCCGACATCTTCAGCGGCATAACCCAATCCCTCAACTCCACCCACGCCACTCTCACCCTCCCCATCCCCCCGGCCGACCGCGACCACCTCGAGAACCAAGTTCTCTTTTTGTTCGACAACCACGGCAACCTCCTCAACGTCACCACCACCTACATCGACGCCTTCAACGACATGTTGATTTCCACCACCATCAACTACGCCACCCAAATCGGCGCCACCTTCATCATGCTCGCCATCATGCTGCTCATGACGCCCCGCCGCCGCTTCAAGCGCTTACCCACCATCATCAGCCTCCTGGCACTTTGCATGAACCTGATCCGCGTCGTCCTGCTGGCGCTTTTCTTCCCTTCGCACTGGACCGATTTCTACGTCTTGTACTCGGGCGACTGGCAGTTTGTGCCCCCCGGCGACATGCAAATCAGCGTGGCGGCCACGGTGCTCAGCATCCCCGTGACGGCCCTGCTGCTGTCGGCGCTGATGGTGCAAGCGTGGAGCATGATGCAGCTGTGGACACCGCTGTGGCGGGCCCTGGTCGTTTTGGTCTCGGGTCTGCTTTCGCTGGCGACCGTGGCGATGTCCTTTGCCAACTGCATTTTTCAAGCCAAGAATATCTTGTATGCGGACCCGCTCCCTTCGTATTGGGTGCGGAAGCTGTACTTGGCGTTGACGACGGGGTCGATTTCGTGGTTTACGTTCTTGTTCATGATTAGGTTGGTCATGCACATGTGGACCAACAGGAGTATCTTGCCGAGTATGAAGGGACTGAAAGCCATGGATGTCTTGATTATTACAAATTCCATCTTGATGCTGATCCCGGTCTTGTTTGCCGGGCTGGAGTTCTTGGACTCGGCCAGTGGGTTTGAGAGCGGTTCGCTTACCCAGACGAGCGTGGTCATTGTCTTGCCGCTGGGCACGCTTGTTGCGCAACGGATTGCGACGAGGGGATACATGCCTGACTCTTTGGAGGCTTCTGGACCTAATGGAAGTTTGCCGCTTAGCAATTTGAGTTTTGCTGGTGGTGGTGGTGGTGGTGGTGGTGGCAGTGGTGGCCACAAAGACAAGGAAAACGGAGGAGGAATCATCCCTCCCACCAACAACATCACAGCAGCCACCAACTTTTCCTCCTCCATCGCCTGCAGCGGCATCAGCTGCCTCCCCAAGGTAAAACGCATGACGGCCAGCTCGGCATCTTCAAGTCAACGACCCCTTTTGACAATGACCAACTCCACCATAGCCAGCAATGACTCGTCGGGTTTCCCGAGTCCAAGCATCCATAACACCACGACGACGACGCAGTACCAGTACTCTATGGGAATGAACATGCCCAACTTCCCACCTGTTCCTTTTCCTGGTTACCAAAGTCGTAACACGGGCGTTACTTCTCATATTGTCAGCGATGGACACCGCCAAGGCATGAACCGACATCCGAGCGTCGACCACTTTGATCGCGAGCTGGCGAGGATAGATGATGAAGATGATATGGATAAAGACGACGATGGGTACCCCTTTGCGTCATCCGAGAAGGCAGTCATGCATGGTGATGACGATGATGATGTAGAAAGGGGAAGGAGGAGAGCTCTGCCTCCGCCGCTTGGGGGAGTAAGAGTTGAAAGAACGATTGAGACTAGAAGCGAGGAGAGGATGCCGTCGCCTAATCCGCTGGGAGTCACGAAGCCGAGGTCATTTGAGTAGGGCTGGGATCCGGCAGTGCTCATGGCGATGGTGATTGGTGGTGCTGGATTTGGTGAGAGAGTGGGTGGGGGAGGTCAGGAGAGGGAGGGATGAGAAGACAGAGACGGAAGTGGTAATGAAGTTTTAAGCTGAGACTGAGGTGAAGCACGAGAGAAGAGAGATGACGAACAATGGAGTGATACCCTAATATGCAGTGAGCCTCGGAGATGGTGAAATTCTTTTGGTTGTATTACTAGACAAGGCAGGATGGTGGGTGTACATGGGTGATTGTTACCTTACCTAAGGGGGAGCCGTCTGGTCTGGCTTGGTGGCATGGCTTGCAATACCTACCCTTTCTTCGCAACTGGAGCAAAACTCGGTGCTTTCTGATACCAATGCTTCGTTGTTTCGTCAAGGCCAGCCAAAGTGACAAGTAGTCGGTGACTTAGTGCGATGTCGCCAGTTCGAGTTTTGCCCATTGTATACTTATTCAAGCAGTATAGAGGTAGTCGTCGAATAGCTGCCATCGTTCAGGGAGCTAGGTACAAGCATACTTGTAGATGACAGCTGAAGCAGACAGCACGGCGCCGGTCAAGGCATACGTGAGGGTCTTGTCGATGCAGATTTTGGGGCTTCTGCGGCTGGAGACTGAGATGGAGAGCGGGAAGGGGCTGAGTGTGTACGGTCTCGATTCGATGCCGAACTGGCGCAACGAATCCAGCCCAAGGCGGCAACGGTGACGAGAGGTGGATGGGAATGGAAACTTATCAGGAAGCGGAAAGAAGAGCGTGTTGTGGGAAGGAAATGGGAGGCAAGGTACCTCTAGCGATACACACAGACATAAGGTGCGCAGGGCGCCTGTAGCCAGAGGTAGGTAAGTAGAGGTACGTACCCATCTAGAAAGAGGTCATCGCGGCGCTGCCCCTGGCCAGCAAGAATGAGCTCGAGTCTCCATCTGCTTAAGGAATTTCCCCTTGGAAGGAAAGAAGGTGTCGAATTTGGTTGACCCTCCACAGTCCCGTCATCCACCTCAGTTTTGAACCACACAGCCGTTACTGCCGTTGCTACCTGTGCCTGGCTATTTTGCGTCCAACTTCTTCTTCTTCAACTTCCTCTACTTTACATTCTGGATTTCCAACAGTCACCTATAGTCTACACGCCCCGCCCGCACCCAACACGACGCCCAGCATGGCGGCTTCCTTTTGCCCCGGATCCCGACTGTCTCTCCATCCTGCCGACTTCCTGTCACCGGAAATCTACCACCAAGCAAGCAGGCTAAAGAAAGGCAGCAATAATGTCTATCGCCACCTATGAGACTTCGGCATCCAATTCCGAGGAGTCATCAGCTTGCACATCCACAGTCGACTATATCCACGGCTTCATCGTGATACCATCCCGCCCACTATGCCGGCTGTCCTGTCCAGACCAGAAGACGTGAGCCCACTCCATTCGAGGTGCTGGCACCAAGGAGGTACAGGTAAGTTGCAACATACCCCGTATTTTGATGATCATTGTGATATACTGACATTCAACAAAGTCACGGCCAACGGTTGTGTATTACCCATCATCACCTACGATCCAGAAGAGCAATATCGCACTACACATACTGTCATTGTCCTCCATGACCGACCCGGCTACAACGATATCTTTGAACTCTTTGCACGAGAGATTTTCAACAACAATGCCATGTTGACTGCCGTCTCTCGACGCAACAGCCTTCGCCGCCAGTTTCCAACTTTCAGATGGGTCTTTGCGGCTGGAATTTTGGAAGCCCGTACACTACTAGGTCACAGAAAAGAGATGCGACCCCGATGGGCTCGTGATACCCCATTACCTGATGTCATGTTTACCTGTCATCACGTTTTTTCCCTTGTCGAGGCAGAAGAACTTCAATATTCTGCAGCAGAGGTTCCCAATCCCAGGTCGCGCATCTTTTTGGTAGGATTTGGGAAAGGCTTCCACATCGCCGCGGCGTTATTCTTTGGTGAACCATTGTGGGGCCTAGGTGGCCTAATTGGCTTCGCCGGCTTTTTGCCCAATATGCGAGAGCTTATAGCACTGGGTCGTGGGCCCGATTCGGCAGACAATGAAAGATGCCGCCAGTTCCTAAAGGATCTTCAGACTTGTTATTTTGGGAGGCAGTCACCCCCAAGTCAAAATACCGCCAGCACTCAGACAAGCGGTCAAGATGATGCTACTCGTCCGGGCTAGAAGCGCCCCGTGCCCGCAGGCTTCGAGAGCGGGCTCGTAGGGAAATTGAGAGAAACGCCCATCTTTCTGGCACAGGACCCAAAAGTAGGGGCGTTGGAGGATCGCGATATCAAGCACGCCCTACTGACGAGCGCAAGAATCCTTTCTGAGCTCGGCTTCAAACGAGTCCAGTGTCACCACTACTCTCAGGAAACATTGCATTCGGGGGATGCGCTTTGGTCCCAGATGCTCGCTGCTTTGGTGTCTTTTCTTCAAAGCCGCAGTCGTCAAATTTCTCAGCCTGCTCAGGTTTTGGGTAGCGTGGCCGGACGAGAGATCTTGAACTAGTCGGCTGGCTGGTTGTGGCAATTGGGGTGCGAAGCGACAAGAATATGGTGATCTCGCGAGAACCGTATGGATTGGGTATGTTCAAGTTGTCTTACACAAATAGCGACGCAAAAGTATTACATTATCAGAGCAAGAAGCGAATTTGACAGGAACATGGATTTTCATCAACACCCAACGCAATCAGTCCAGAACGCCATGGCCCACAATCATGCCAACGCCTTTTGATACTTTTTTTCCCATTCTACTTGTTCCGGTTTTTTTCTTCCTTGTAAATGCTAGACTTGGCAAGACTTCCCATCACCAACTTTTCCTTCCTGTGTGTTCCCTTCCTGAACTGCCATCATTCGCATCTCATTCGGTTAGCACTCCTATCCACCATGATTTGCAAGAAGGAAGTTCACCACTAACCTCAACCAGTCCCCTTGAGTTCACCAAGCACCCCGCTTAGCGACTGCTGTAATACGACGAACTGCCACCTCCAGAATATCCAGAGCTACCGCCGCCACCACCAGAGTAGCTCGAAGAACCACGTCCCGAAGAAGAACCGCCACCACCAGAGTATCCAGAGCTACCACCACCACCACCACCACCGCCGCCGCCAGACGACGAGTAGTAAGACGGAGGCTCAGAGCCCGAATATCCGGACCGGCCATTAGAAGAGGTGTAGTAGGACCCGCCGCTACCACCAGAGGTCACGGTGTAACTGGGCGTGTCGGGGCCGTAGTTGGCCGTTGGGATGTAGTCGGAGTAACCACCTCCGCCGCCGCCAGACGAAGAACCACCGCCGCCGCTTCCGCCGGAGTAGCGGGAAGAGCCACCTCCCGAAGTAGAGGAGTAGTAAGATGGAGGAGGAGCAGCACTGCCAGACGAGGAGGAGGAGTAATAGGAAGGAGGCTCAGAGCCTGAGTATCCGGATTGGCCATTAGAAGAGGTGTAGTAGGATCCTCCGCTACCGCCGCTGGTGACGGTGTAAGAGGGCGTGTCGACAGCGTAACCCGCGGTCGGGATGTAGTCGGAGTAGCCACTGCCGCCGCCCGAAGAAGAGCCACTGCCGCCGCCGGAAGAGGAGGAATAAGTACCGCCGCCGGAAGAGGAGTAAGTGCCGGAGCGACTGCCGGAGGAGGAGTAGCGGGAGGAGGAGGAGCGTCTGCCTGAGTAGGACATTTTGGTGACGTTCTTGGGGTTTGTGTTAGGCTCTGTGTGTGTTGTTGTTGTTGTTGTTGTTGTTGTTGTTGTTGTTGTTGTTGTTCTGGTCTTTGCTTGACAAGTTGTTTTCCAGTCTCGTTGTTGCGATGGTCTGGAGAGGATAAATGGAGGGGCACTGGAAAGTAATCAGAGGGAGTTCTTTTATGGGTTCCTGCGGGAGGGATGAACAATGAATATATTTATCGTTACAGACAATTCACTGTACGGTCGATCTTCACGGTCAAGGTTCGCCATGGTGGTGAACAGCGATGGTGTTGAGCATACCCGACCTCTTCACTGGGCCTGGGAATCAAGGTTGCGACTGCGGACCAAACGGATCAACTATTCACGATACTCTGACCATGGTGTTGAATGGGATAGTGGTTGGTAGGACCTGTTCACTTGTTCACCGGCGAGTGTAATTGCCAATATAAACTGGCGACAAACGGGAAGAGTCTTAAGGTCCTCCATCATCAAGGTTGACGGTTCGGGGTGAAGGGACCCAAGAGGGTAAAGTGTCACCCGGCAGAAGAAAATCTGACACAATGTCCTCGAAGTTTTGTGTCCGATCGCATGTCGTCGTTCACCGCTCTCTAGCAGAGATTCTCCCATGAAGAACCGGGTTAAAAGTCGGACACAGCCATCCAACACTTCGATGATGAACAAAGTAACGAACACCTACATGTCTTATGGACATAATCCAGGTGAACAGGAGGAGATTCATGACCAGGTTGATGTTGAGTCGGTGATATACTTACCGGCACGGGCCCCATCTTGTCAGGGGAAATGGAGGGATCCATGTCTCATTCATTGGGGCCATAAAGGTCAGCATGTTGCAACAAATTCCAGTTGCTCTTCATCTCTACGATCCGAATGACCGTTCAGCGAAAATTATTGACTGCCTTGTCAGGATACCAAAGAGATTAACCAATGCTTCCGCAACCTTCAGTTTACTTCATCTATTAACATCCTGGGACTCCTCTGCGGAATGCGATGGTGCACCATCGTAAATGCATCGTGGTGAGAATGAGGTTACATGTAAGTACCTATCTCTATGATCTTTCTTTTTCGGGACAGTTCTGGGCTTAGCTGCCTACATAGTAGACTCGACATGACCTTGGTCCCTTACCTCATCGATACCTAGGTAGGTATTTCCTTGAAGCAAATCCAGCTATACTGACAGGGGTAAACAGATAGAAGCTTCTCCAACTTGAAGGAAGCTCGGATGTCAAAAAATTCGGGACGTCACTCTAAAGGTACTTTATCAACAAATCACTATCGAGCAAACAAAGGAGAAGACTCAATTTAGCGTGTCTGGATTGGCGCCGCTTCCACCAAATCAGCGTAATAATGATCCTCAGATACAGATATCACGATGATCCCTCGATGAGTCGATTACTTCAACGAAAAACTACCTACTCAACCATCCAACTAGACCTCCACACACCCACCTATCCCAATAGTTTACATCCCATCGGCGGCAGGTTATACATGCCCATGTCCATGTCCATGCCCATGCCCCATCCCCATACCTCCCCCGCTCGGCCCTCCATTCCTCCACTCATCCTCCACCACCGTTCCAGGAGCCGGCTCAACTTTCAGACTCCCATTAAACCTCTCACTCACCCACTCTCGAATCCTGCCAAAATCACGACAAGTATGCGGGCGATCCGAGTCGATATAGTTCTGTCCCAGCGCCTTATAGTACCGCGACGGGATGGGCGTCAGGTCGGCATTACACAAGACAGTTTGCCGTAGGTGGTCGAGACAGTGGTCCCGGTGGAAGGTGCCGTGGATGTCGCTGTCGATGGGGTAGTGGTCGGGGTAGAAGGCTTTGCGGATGTGGTCCAGGCAGTGAAGGGTGTGCATTACTTCTAGGCTGGTGTGATGGGGGGTTAGTATGGAATGAATGAGGGTTTGTGGGGAGGGAAGAAGGGAAAGAAAAAGGACAACTCACGCAACGACATATCCCCCATGCTTAGGGCTCCAAAACTGCTTGTACTCATCACCCCAAGCGCTTTTGGCTTCTTGTTCCGTCAGGAGAAAGAATCGGCCTTAGCAGCCGGTCAGCAAAGGACAAGCATCAAACGAGCAGCCGAAAGGAAGCATCAAACCCACCCCAATGCAACAAAGCCCAATTATGATCAATCTCCCTCCTCGGCGTGCCGACGTACGCCTCATGATGAGCCTCGCCAACATTTGGGACAGGTACATACTCGGTCCCATCCTCCTTGAACCGAGGACTCCCGCCAAAGTCCACCGTCTTGACTTTTATCAGGTGTTTGGCAGCGTCTTTGTTTCCAAATGAATCATCAGCACCAGTTTAGCTCATGAGACATCTTCTCCTCAATGTTGAAGCACCAAAGAAGAAAGTAGGTAGACAAGAAACTCACCAAGTTCACTCCTAAACCCTTTTGCAAAACTCCCATGTTTCCTTACGGCGTGAAGCTCGGCAGTTAACCAGGTCGTTGTGCAGGCGAAGAAGAGGGACATGAAGATCCAGAAGCTTAGGGTTTTACCGGGCCAGAGGAATCGTTGTTGTTGTTGTTGTTTTTCTTGCTGGGACTGAAGGGATTCGGGTCCATCTTCGGCTTGGGGGAGGCTGAAGTAGGGTTTGGATTTGGAGGGGAAGGAGAAGGAGGGGAAGAAGATGGTTGTCATTGTGTGGATTGTCCCCGCTGTTGCTCCAGTCCGCGCTGTTGGTTGCTTCAGTGTGTTGGTGATGGAAATGGATAATGAAGGGGAAAGGGGAGGGATTTGCTTGGGGACGACGGTAGGGAGCAGCTGATTGTGCGGATGGTTCGATGCTGGACGAACAGTTTGAGAGGTTCCTCTCGTTCTCACATTGCCCGTTTGGTATAACAGTCCTTGGGCTTGCACTTGCCCATTGATGTCCCGACCGACCCAGATTGTTGCGTATTGGCTTCATTTGGCGTTTGCGTGCGTTACGATTAGATGAAGCGTCTACTCGACCCTGACGCGGCGGCCGGCTAATGTGCGCCTCGACATTTGGCGCCGGCGCCTACCTCTACGCATCGCGGACACTCGCCAACCAGCACCACCACCACCACACATTCTCACATTGCAACAGCTTCCTGTTTCCAATCTCGCAGTATCCTACGTCTGATGCATCAAATGTATTCTGTAGACTAGGTATGCAAAGTCACATCCTACTGATACCGATAACACAACTCCCCACTCTCCGTACTCATCGCCCTCTCCACCAATACGTCCTCGGTAAACCCTCCATACAGTAACACATCCCTGACACTCGCCTCTCCCGGCGTCGAGTTAAACATGTGTTTGCCGCTGTATTCTCGCAGTCTGACCTCGGGGTTTTCCCATTGCCAGCGCCACCACATTCTGTCGAGGGAGGCGTGGTGGACGTAGAATAGGGGGTCTGTGTTTGGTCGTGTCATTGTCCCGTTACCTAGTAACTGAGAAAAAAAAAAGAAAAAGAGAAAACGGAAAACAAACATACCATTAGCAGCAGTCATGGCCCTGAAATCTCCTCCCACACTCTGATGCAACCCATTATGCAACTTTTCCTCCACCTGCTTCCCAAACTCCTCGTACCCCTTGACTCTCAAGATCTCCCCGATTGCTTCGGGCTTATAATGGTCGCCCGGTATCTCGCCCGTGGTAACGTTCCGCTTAGGGTCGTTGAACCCCCGCGACAGACAGTGCGTGACGTAGGTGTGGTTGTAGATGATAGGCCTTAAATCGGCAAAGGGCCCGTCTAGCACGCAACGACCTTGCCCAACGCTAGGGGGAGCAGAAGGCGAACCGTCGGATCCGAAGCCGGTGGTGGGAGAAAAGATGGAGGAAGAGGACAGGGAGAGGTGGTCTAGGGACCAGTCCCAGTAGCTACACATTCACATAGTCGCATTAGACGGAAAGAGTGTCGAGGCATCGAAGTTGATGGGTTAGGTGGGGGAAAAAAGAGAGGGACTTACGGAATGGTACCACCCCTAGGAAACCCACATTTATCCTTGAGGATGTTTTCGAAAATGTGTAAAGTCCATCGATGCCATGGTAGGAAGGACGCCGAGCGGTGGCCTGTTGTTTGTCTCGTTTGTCATCTTCTTCACTTCTAGTATCTCAAGTGAGGTACATACACCAACTCCCAACTCCCCCATGCAAAATCGCAAAGTCATCATAAACAGTCCTGTTATTCTCTCCCCACTCCGACGGCGTTCTCGCCAGACAATGGATGGCGTCCACGAACTCGTTTCTTTCCGTTTCCGTAAGCGAGCGCCATTCGCGTCGGGTGGCAATGTTTTTGCAAGTCCCTAGTTTTTTGTTCGTGTTGCTGCCTTGCCAGAAACTGGCAAATGGTGGCGGTGATAGGGGATCAGGGATAAAGAAGGGCAAAAGAATGAACCGGATTACTAGGCTGATCCAGGCTAGGGTGGTGATGAAGAGGTAGGCTGTTAGGAGGTATTGTTTTAGTCTAATAAATCAAAAGAGGGTTAGCTGGTGGTCTATAGTTGTGCTTGTGATGCAAACCGACGGAAACAAACACATTGGGTGACCTACGTCGTCGTCTCCTCAGCCGGTTTTTGTTCCTCTTCCGGGGATGAGGAGGAGGAGGAGGATAAGGAGGTCTGGCTTTCGCTATCGTCTACTGGCATGTATCGAGGCTCTCGCCGCCATTCTCTGTATGCGATCCGTATTGATTCGAACATTACTGGTGATCGATGGGGGGGAGAGGCTAAAATGGGAATAGCTTCACTTCCGTTGTCATCTGTGAGGTCGAGTGGTCAGAGTGAAGAGAGCGCTGTCAAAGTTCATCCAACTTCCAAACCCGCTAAAAGATTTCGAATAGCGCACTGCAGCGCAATACATCGCTCTGCCCAGCTGAGCTTAGGGCCTGTGCAGTAGGGACAAAAGTGGAGCCCGCGCTCAATTCCGGTGGGTCCCAACGCGCCTCCTTCCCTTTGCGCCAAATTTGTGTTATGCTATTGGCTGTATTGATTGCCCGCTCCCCTGGTAGTAGCGGGGATGCGCCTAACAATTTCCAGTCTGGACGTCAGGAAGGCATCCGAACTTCAGACGAACTGGAAAGCTGCTTTGCCTTCCATGCCTTGCCCAGACCAGGCCGTGAACGTCTCCTCTGCCCTCGCTCCATTGCTCGTGGGCTTGTAACGCACTTTGTCTTTTCGTCTTGCAAATCCAGTAGACTGGTATCGCACGTCGGCCCAAGAGACCAAAAGAAAATGATGAAGAATCTCGCCGCCCTCGTTTCCGCAGTCTTGTTGCTGCCCTTTGCGGCCGCTTTGCCAACGCCCAACCCAGTCCGAGCCGATGTATGTCATTGTCCAGTGTTTGTTGCCGTGGACAAAATGAGGACTAACTGAATCCTGTTTCTTTGTCCAGGGACTTGTTCCCCAGGAGCTGCAAGATAGTGCTGTAAGTCTGTTTGACTGCCTGCCATTTCCCCTTCTGGACTATTTCGAACCGTGATAGCTGATATACTGTTTGTGTGTCGTTGTAGTGTAGGTGATGTCTTTGGACTGCTTAATCTCATGACTAGCTGATGATTTGACGTAGTATGACTGACTGACTTTACCTGGATATCAGAGTAGGTGGTTTTCTTGTTTCAGTTTTCTTGCTCCCAGTAATGAATCATGACGAACATAGCTGATGGAATTCAATCAGCAACCTAGCGGACTTGCACGAGTTTGACAGATGATGAACTGGATAGTATAAGATTGGGAGGTCCTGGACTAGGGACAGTTGGAATCATTGGAGAGAGGGCCTAGAAAAGTTAAGGTAACTACTAGGGAAGTTGGAGGTCAGGGCTGATAACCAGCATAAAGGAACGAATACTGATTCACTATAAGTATTGAAATGACAGAGGACATGTTGATTTCGCCGGTGACGTCCTATAGTAAATCTCCCAAAAAGACGGGCAAGCTCCACCCTCCTCCCTTTCCACCCTCACAACCCCCTTCCCCAACTCCCGCTTCCACCTTGCACCAACCGCATCAACCCCCCCCCCTCAAACCGCCTCTGTAAGCCTCCTCTCCTCCGCCCACCCCTTCAAAGCCCTATAATCCTTACACAAATGCACCGCCCCCGTCCCATCCGTTGCCGACAACTCCGGGTGATTCAGATCCTGTCCTTCCAGCGCCGTGTCGCCGCAGCAGACGACGGACTGGCGGAGGTAGCGGAAGCAGTGGTCTATGTGGTTGTGGTTGGTGTGTCCCTGGGAATGGGAAGGATTGTGATGGCCATTGTCTCTGCGTGTATGTCCTTGGGAAGCGGCAGAAGGGGGGTTGTGGTCATGGTTGGGTTCTGAAAGGGAGTTGTAGGCTTGCATTATAGTGTACTGATAGATGGGGTGGGTGTGTTAGTACGTAGGTGTGTTTTTGTTTGGGAGTGGGGATGAGAGTGGGAGGATGAAAGGGGAGACATGGCTTACAAGGCAGTGAAGTTGATGAAACACACTGATGGAGTAGACGGTTTGGTCTTGGAAGTCAATGGGTTGTGGAAGGGTGTATTGGGATGGGTCGTCGACGGCTATGAAGCCCTGGCCAACTGTGGGTTGTTGAACCGTGTTAGCTATCAGCAGTCTTGGAGAAGAGCATCGCAAGAAGAGCTTGGGAGAGAGAGGACGGGAGACATTGCGTACCAGGTTTATAAGACCGCCAGTTCCCTTCGGTGGCATTTGCCGATGCTTCTGTTTTATGGTCCGAAGTAGCCAGCGGGTCTTTCCCGAAGACGACAGGCTTGACCTCGACTGTGTCATGCAAAAGGTCAGCACATCTACTTCACCACAAATCGAGGTTACAACGAAACTCACACTCAGGCACCAATCCATTCAGTTCACCAGCGAGACTGAACACCTTCTTCCTGGAACCGGTGTTTTGAGATCCCCCATGTCCTGAATCGCGCGTGTAAACAACAATACCGGCAATAGCGACCGCACCAAGGAAGAAAACAGTGAGGGCCAGGACCGGAAGGACGAGAAGTCTGTACCATCGTGACCGACTTGACCTTCCAAGGAGCCTTTGGCTGGCAATATGTTGAAGACGGTTGGAAGTAGCGCTCAGAAGACCGACATCTTCTTCTTCTTCTTCTTCATGTTCTTCTTCGGATTTATATGACGGCAGGGTCGGAGACTTGAAAAAGTCCGAGTTACTGGGGCGAGAGGGTCCCATGATGAGTATACGGGGCAGCACTGGAAATGTCAGGTAGGAAAGATGTTGTGAATGATGGGGTTGTTTGAGGTACACAAAGTCAAGGAGCAAAGGCTGGTAAGGTAATGGGAATTTGTCTTGGAATTTTTGGAATACCCAGGGGCACTCACCCCCCGGCGCCGTAGAATGTGATACGTTCTACCATACTGGGTGAATGGAATGCGGTTCGTTAGCTTGCGCCAATTGCGCCTCACGACCTTCATCCGGCTGATAAGGAAGGTAGAGGTACAATGTAGGGTATCTATCGATAACAGCTTTGTCTGCAGGTAGAACTATCTCCTGATGGACAAAAGATTCGGTAATCACATTCAAACAATTGATATGACCCAGGTATCTATCTAGATATGCAGTGGCTAGGAAAAAAACCTCAAATTTCATTGGCAATACTCAAAACCCAAAATTCACATACATCCCAATATACCTCTACCCAACACCAACAGAAGCTACCTCACAGTACTCCTACTCCAACTCAAACACCGCCCACCAAACATCCATACACCTCACCTTGTCCACGCCACCCCTCTCCATCTCCTCATACGCCCTTTTGACCTCCTTAACCACCCCCAATATCTCCTCCTCTTTCTCCTTCGCAAACCCCTCCTTTTTCACTCTCTCTTCAAACTTCCCTCCCCGCACACACCTCGTCTCAAAGTGTCCCTCCAGATACTCCTCCTTGGGCGTGAACTTGCCTTCCCTAGCTACCTTGAACCCCGCCGCTTGTGCCGCCTTGGTGATGGCCTCGACGTCGGGCGCAGCGCGGACATTCAGCGGCATCTCTTCTTTTTTAGAGGAGGAGGCCTGCTGCTGCTGCTGCTGCTGTTCCTCGTTATTGAGGGGATTATTGCAACGTGAGTCCGCTTCGGACTTGTAAGCGAAATACAAAGCCTGAGCTTTAGCGGCGAGGATGTGTGGCGTTTGGGTGACGGGGAAGGGAGCGTGCTTGCTGTCGTACTCGGCTACGTAGACCTTGCGGATATTGGCAGCTGCCAGTTCTTGAAAGAGCGAGACGACGGAGTCGGAAGAGGGGAAGTAGAAGAGGGAGTGGCAGGCTGTGGCGACGTCGAATTCTTTTGTCTTTTTGTTGTTCAAGCTATCTCCATCACCAGCGGCAGAGCTAGAATTAAAAAAGGTGGCGGCGTCGACTTGGTTGTAAAAGGAGAGACGGTCACCCAGGGCAGATTGCAGGATCTTCTCCTGGGACTCGGAAATGTTCAACGGGGTGCCGTAGTCGGGCGGCGCGCTGTCGATGCCGGTGACGTGGCAGGTCGGACCGAGTTCCAGGGCCAGAACGAGGGAGGAGTCGCCTTGGCCGCAGCCAATGTCGAGGACGCGACTGCCGGGTGGGATGGACCATACTGAGAGAATGGAGAGACGCTGGCGGAAGCGGGGGATTTGAACGAGCGATGTCAGGGACTGGTCGTGGGGGAAGCAGGTGATGAGGGTGGTGATCTTGGACTCTTCCTCGGAGTCCATTTCTGGGATGGCCATTGTGTATGTTGGCCTGGATAGATATGGTTTGGGTTCGGTGTTTGATTGAGAGAAGAGAAGGAGAAGGTCTGCAAGGTGAACTGGTGTTATGAAGCACCTTGTTGTTTTCCCAAGATGTTGTAGGTTGTAATTGTAGCAGGTACAGGAGGGATACGATCTGTCTTTTTCTTGGTGGCGTACGCAGGCGTGTAACGGGAACCGTGCATACTATATAATAGCAGACAATATCCGCTTGAATCATACCCAAAATGCTTATTCAAGAGGCGCCGCTTAAGGGACTGCTTTGTCGTCCGTACAAAACAGTACGATACTGGAGCGGGACGTTGATAGGACGGATCGGATGTCCGTAACGTGTCTGCTAAACTGGCGCCAAATACGAAGCGCTACAGCGGAAGAAGAGATGAGAACCATTCAACTAACGCCAAACAGACCTAGCCTTAGGTTGCCGGCAAAGCGCAGGAACAAGCCAGTGATATTGCAACCAACCGTGCTGGGATATTTTTTTTTTTTTTTTTTTTTTTTTTGAAATGAACTCACCTACAAGGGGGACACGAAAACACCGTAGAGGTAGTGGTTGTAGACCTGTAGAAAGCCAATATTCAACGGGTCAATATATCTCCCAGTAAGCGCTACACCCAAGGCCTGCCGGCAATCACTGACGCCTCCCTTTGGACCCAGACCATGGCAACAGGCGGCATACGACTGTGGTGTAGCAACTTGATGGCAACCTTGAAGATGCCAGAGGTACGGCATGACCCTGGCCGGCTGGACGAAGACAGCGAAGATGATGAACAAGCACAGCTCAGCAAACAGAGCCTCAAGCGGTGCGAATACGAGACTGATGATGAAACGCCCTCGACAAAGCGACGTTTCTGGCTGCGGATATTGCTACTGCTGGTAGGAGTAGTTGTGGGAACAACACTTGTCACTCATGTCTGGACTCGTCACTCCATCTGCCATGTCTCTCCCACAAGACAACACCAGTCCTCCCATTCTCCATCCATACATCATGGACACAACCATGCCGAGGACACCCCACCGAGCCATAAAGGCGAAGTGAAGGAGTGCGGAACTTCACCGGAGGAAGCTCAAGCCAGAGGGTGTGTATTTGAACAACAGTTACCAGCCTGGGTTCCCAGAGCCTGCGCCTTTCCAGAAGTTGTTGAGGAGTACAAGGACAACTTTGGAGACATGATGACGGACTGGACTTGGTATTGGGACAGCAACACCACCATGCAAGTTCCACCGGAGGCAGTGCCGGATTTGCAGGCGGGTAACTTTTCGGTGATTTATACCAAGTACCAGGCTTCGCATGATTTGCATTGCCTCTATTGCTCCCGCAAGATCATCTATGCGCTGAGCAAGGGCATCAAGATGATGGATGCCCGGTGCCATCAGTTCTATCATGGAGGTATGTTAAAAGCAATTCAGTCCAGTCTGAGATATATAGGGCAGATGTGTGCTGACCAGTGTGTGTATCTCTCTAGCGCACTGCATACAACACATTGGAAATTCCTTGATGATGGCTGAGAGGGGAGACCAGAAAAGGATACGGACTTGGGTGTACCCGCTCATGTACCATAACTGTGTGCCACTGACTTCGACCCAAGAATCGTGAGGGCGGCCATGCATGTGTGCTGGAGGAGATACCTACACAGAGGTACCTTTCTGTACTGTGTATGTAAGATTGACACAGGAGGCCCGAGCGTTTTCGCACTCAAGCACGTACTTTCATCAATTCGATTTATTCATTTTTCTTCCTCCTACAACCACCAATTCCACAGTCAAACGGGGTAACACTTGTCCACGGCGACGGCATCATTCCCCCACCAGTGCGGCATGGTCACATTGGGCAAGTCCACCACCAAGATCATGGCCATCTGCACCAGTTGCGCGCCACAGTCCAACCCAGCCCCGAGCAGATAATTGTACTTGCGGAACCACACCGGGTGGTATCTGTACGCGTATCCCATAAACACCACCGCCACCAGCGCCGATGTCGTCAGGTTTGTCGTCGGATAGATGGGAAACAGCGTTGCCCCGTTCAGCATCACCACCGGATTAACCACGCTCGCGACCTTCCCCCACTTGGGCCTCGCCAGTCTGTGTTGTACAAGCCACAGCAGCATCACGGCCAGCGGTCCCACGACAAACCCCCAGTACACCCACCGATACGGCGACTCGCCCCCAAAGAACACCTGCGGACCCAGCACGCCCCAAATCACCGACAGCGAAAAGAAGTTCTTGGTCTTCAAAGCGTTCCACGTCGTCCCCGACATCACCTCGCGCATCAGCTTCGGCCCCTGCGTATCGATGATCAGCCGCATACAAGCCCAGTTGACAAACGGGCCCAGCAACGTCCCATATACCTGCGCCACAAACAGCTCGCGCTCAGGGATCTTCATGTAGAAGCCAAACTTGATGTCGCTGACCAGGTTGAGGCACTGCTCGAGGATCTGCCGGCCGTACACAGTGCACGTGAGCACGGCGATGGGCTTGCCGGGGAACAGGAACCCGGCCAGCAGCTCGGAGAGGTAGTCCATGCCGATTTGTACGTTGGTGAACCCAAAGAGGATGCCACTGGGGAACGTGAAGAGGGCCGAGATGGCCGTGATGAGGAGGAGGCCCCACCAGGGGAGTTGCATGTCGCCGCCCGAGAGCTGGGCAATGGCAATCACCAAGCAAAAAAGGAGGAGGGCGAGATACCACCAGTGCGGCACGCGGGGGAGGTGGGCGGTAAGCTTGAGGTAGGGGTCGTCAAACTCGGCCCGGTGTTGAACATTCTTCTTCTTTTGCTTGTGATCCTTCTTTGCAAAGGGATTGCTGATGGTTTGCAGCGAGCTTCGAAGGGTCTCCCAAGATTGACGCCCATGAAACATGACAGCATACGTCAACACGGCCGTCGACGCGGCGAACCCCCAAAAGAAGTGCATCGCGTAGCTGAACGACCAATACGGCGGAGAATACTCCTCCAGCGCGGTCCGGTTCAGCTGATACGTCGGCGTCAAGATGCGCGAGATATTGTACCGATTCCCTTCGGCATCCCACGTCCCCGAGCTCATCGGCGCAAACTGCTGAGCCCCATTGACATTCAAGAAATAAGCCAAGGGATACACCACCCAAATCACCACGGCCGCTCCCACAAACCGATTCACCGTCGCCCACAGCGGCGTATAAAGCGGGGTCAAAAACGAAGCATAGTTCCAATCCAGCGAAAAGTCCAACAATCCAAACCCATACGTTCCGCTCCCTAACACAAAAGCCGCCTTCTTTCCCAATCCCACCCAACAAACCACCGGCAGCGAAGCCAACAAAGGCATCACAAACCCCGGCAGCCACTGGTACACAAACGCCGCGGCCGCCACCACCCCGAAAAACCCCAGCGACTTTTTCGTCACGGACGGGTGTCGATGCATGGCGTTGAACAGCGTCACGTTCGGGAGCACGCCAGGGTAATACATGCCCGGCGGCCGCACCAAGACGTCCCGGTATAAGCCCGCAAAGCCGTACCCCATCAGTTGCGTGGTCATGAGAAACAAGACGGCCCACGACCTGCTCATGCGCTTGTGGTAGTAGAGCTCCATGGCGGAGAGCGGGCCGAGGCCGTAGGCGGTGTAGGTGCTGCCCCAGTAGGCGACGATGACGAGGGCGTGTTCTTTGGGGTTCCAGGGGCCGGGGTTGAGGTTGAATGCAATTTCTTTCTGAAGAATAGGTAATGTGAGGGTGAACTGTTTCTGTGGGAAGTGACGCGCCATGAGGGCGCCCATCCCCCACGAGAGTAGTTGCACGACGTAGCCAGAGAGACGAACAGAGTAGGGCTTGAAGTAGTAGACGGAAGAGACGGAGCAGCCGATGATGACCCAGAGGGTGGAGAGGATCCAGAAGCGGATGGTTAGGAGGGGTTCGCTGAGGTGGTTTGTTAGTGTTTGGTTTGGTTGCGAGATGAGGACTGGTGGGAGATAACTTACGTTTCATCGTTGTGTAGGTCGACTGTCTTGGCTACGAGGGGAATGGGATAGTTCCTGAGTCGAGGATCGATCACCTCGTCATCTTCGGTTGGAAGATGTCCAACCTCGGCGTCTTCTCGATCATGGTTTGTCCCTACGTCTAGAGGGGAAGTAGGAGAGGATGACCTTCGGTTATTTTCTTTGATGAAGGCATCGGACTCTGATCCAAGTTCGGATGGATGGATGACCAAGTCAGCCTCCTCCTCCTCATCAAGATCCTCTGCAATCAACGAGCTGCTGCCAACGTCTCGATCATCCATGGCTTGAGTTTGAAGTTGTTGTCAGGCTCGGCGCGAGAAGGGGATAATCAGGGTTAGGGCAAGTGCTCGGGCAGGTTTCAGGATGCCATAACCTGCTGTGTCATATTTCTTGCTGCAATTTTCTGCTTGTAAACGATATTCCTCGAATGAAGTTCCGCATGAGGACCTTCAAGACCCAGCTTTGGAGACAAGGTATCGAATGCGTGCGCTGAGTGCCAAGTGCAAGGTCTGAGTGGCTTGCTGGTGCGAAGCGCATGTTCTACCAAAGGGGAAATTTGGCGCAACGACCACGCCGCCAGCGCTAGATACATACGATTGTCCACCAACAGGTGGCAGTCTTCGATAGTCGGTCTTCAATATTACCATTCCATTTTGCCTATGATAGCAAGCCAGCCTATCAATAGCACGATAAATTGATTGCAAGCAACCTCGCCCTACATCACCCACCTTTTCGGCTTTCCCTTCTTCAGCTTCAGTTTCGGTAAACAAATACTGCAGAGATGAACATCTTCAAAAAGTCTTTTACGGTAAACAGGGACCATGAGGAGGTGAAGTATGACCCTATCGACGAATCCGAAAACGGCACGCCAACCCGATCCAACTCCCCAAGCTCCCTCTGGTCAGTGGGTTTTCCAAAACGACACCGTTCAATATTATCACATCCGACTGTTGTCATCTCCCAAGCAGTAATCATCACACTTCTCGCCATATACGCAATTGTGGTTTCACGGAAACTTCCAACCGACTTGGCGTGTGCGAGACAGTTGGCACCATATTGTAAGCACATACCTACTTTGTTCCTTCTCCCATACAACAAGGATGCTAACACCCAACCAGCACCCTACCTAGAAACCGACGACCTGCGATATGTAGAGTTTACAGACCAGAACCATCTCATGCAACCCTCTCCTTACCGGGGCCACCCCACGCCGGAAGTAGAGGAGGCCTGGCTGAAGTTGTGGCGTAGTGAGTTTCCTCCACCTCAACCTGATTTGCACTAACAGAAAGAAATGCTAACAACGAACAACAAAAAGTGCCAACGATCCACTTTCCCGAATCCAAACTCGCCCTCCTCAACAAAACCCCTCTTAGCGCCTACGTCCACGTCTCCCCCAAATACCTATCTTCTTCCTCTTCTTCCTCCTCCTCTTCCTCAGATACCGGCGAAGTACTAGGCTTCCTAGATGTCTTCCACCAACTACACTGCCTCAATCTCGTCCGGCAATACACGTACCGCGACGCCTACGACTACAGCAACGTGACCGCCTTTCGGGCTCCTGAAGAAGTGGTAAGGGGACACATTGATCACTGCATTGAGACGATTCGCAAGGCGATTATGTGCACGGCGGATGTGACGCCCGTGGTGTTTCTGAAAGATGAAAGCAGAAAGGGTGGGAGTAAGAGTGATTTCAATATTAGAAAGAAGTGTAAGGATTTTGAACGGATTAGGGAGTGGATGGGGGGACATATGGGGTTTGCTACGTGAGTGTACCTAGTGGGATCAATGGGAGGGGGGCTTGGGATGGGAGAGGGGAGGAAAGAAGGGACAAACCTAAGAAGGGAAAGTAGGAAATACAAAGTGTCCATTCAAGCAATCTGCAATTCTTTATCAATTTCATGTAGGTACCTGAAGTCGTGATCAAGATCTCAGCTACTATGATATTGACTTGACTATACCCACCCAAGCCCAGATAGATAGACACAGATAGATAAAATCAGATATGAAAGCGACGGGAAAAGCGAAAAGACAAGAAGCTAGATCATTTACATCCATACAGGGCACTAGAGATACCTACCTACCTACGTGGACTCTTCCCCACCCCTCCATCCCTAGAGCTAGTTTCCGAACCTTTAACACACTCACCACTCCCAAACATGACCTCCCTCGCCACCTCCCACATCTTGGCCGGCCTAAACATCATTTCCACCGTGAAAAACCGCCTACACTCCGCTGGCTCATAGATGAACTGCGCCGGAACCGTCCCTGTACTCATCCACTTCCCCTTTTCCACCCCACTCACTTCATCATCATCTCCATCTTCAAGGTAATACAGATCCCTAAAATTCACCCCTCCCTCTCCTTTCCAGCCCATCCTCAGCGGGAACCCACCGGTGCCCACAGCAGCTCTGGGATCAGGATCAGCAGGCGCCAACTCCTTCAGTCTTTGCAACTCCTCTTCAGTCAGGATAGTAGTAGAGGTAGAGGTACCCTTAGACATAGCCAACTCCACAGCCCGCGAAACATGGCGGTAAATGGTTGTTAGAGACCAATACTGCCCTCCCTTGACGCCTCCGACGGCTTGCATGGGTGCATGTCGGGGACGGCCGCCAAAGACGAGGGTGCGGACTTTGCCTTGGCGACGGAGGAGGGAGATGAGGAGGGCGCAGGTGGATGCGCATTCGCCGTTTGTCATCTTTCCGGTCCGTCAGTTACCTACCTACTAATCCCACATAAATAGGGGAAAGAAGAAAAGGAAGACTTACAACAACGATATCCTCCGCTTTAAACGGCCTCTTTCTTCCCCCTTTACTCACCCCCTTGAACGCCCCATACCCAAACACCGGATCCGTCTCCGTCGAAGCCAGCTCAAAATCAAAATGCGCAAGTAATCTCGACATGTTCCCCCCCATTGTGTCACTTCCGGCCCAAAAACCTCTTCCCACCCCCCCGTAAACCTACCCTTCTGATCCGGTCTGACCACCACGCTCGCCACAAAAGGGGGATCAATTGGCACCTCCTCTTCCTCCTCCTCTTTTAGTCCTGCATCTTTTAGTTCAGCATCTTTTAGTCCACCATCTTTTGTACTATAAACCTCACTATACACCTTGCCCACAAGCTTCACCAACTCGGTCGCCCGAAACCGCGTAGCCGTGCGGATTTTGAGGTCGGGAAACAAGATACTAAAGATATTGAGGCCGGGAATCACGTCCCCTCCGGGATTGCCGCTTAGATCTAAAATCAACTTGGTTTTGCCGTCTTGCTCCGCGGCGCGCGTGAGGAAGTCTTGTGCTGTTTGCGAAAAGTTGATGCCGGCTGTGTGTTGGAACGTGGGGATTTGTAAGACTGCGGTGTCGTTGTGGTTTGTGGTGTTGAGGTAGTACCCCCTTAACGAGTTCTGATGGGTGCGGATGATGGGCGTGGGGTAGATTCCCTCTGTGCTTGGAGGGGGACCATTGTCGTTACTGTGAAGTTGTTGTTGAGGGGGTGCGATGGGTGAGTGGGAGAAGCTTGAAAGAGAGGGAGCGTAGTCTGGTAGACAAGCGGCTTTGAATAGCGTTTGTCCGTCGGTGTAATTCATGGGTCCGTTGGTGGCGGGCCAGGTGACGGTTGTGTTAACCTGCATTGTCGTGCCATTGTGGAATTTGAGGAGGTAGTGGGCAGCTCCTGGCCAGAGACCTTGGTAGCTTTGCCAGCCGCCTCCGGTAAAAAGACCGGTGTATTGGTTGACGGGTGAGGGGAAGAGGTGGTTGTAGCGGGCGTCGGGGTCGTGGTATTGGAAAGTCCGGGCGAGGTGGGCTTGGAGGAAGTAAGCGGTGGAGATGGAGTTGATTTCGACCAGGTGAGATACTTGTGTGTTTGGGAATCCGGAAATCAACAACTTTGCGTCGTTCCATGTGTAGATTTTGGGTAACTCGAGGCCGTCTGATGAGATGGATACCAGAGGCGGGCTGCGTTGGAAGTGGAAGATTTGTTGGGAGCAGAGATTGATTTCTAGGTGGCCTTCGTTTGCTCGATGGATAAGGGACTTGATGTCGTTGTCGAATTCGTATTGGCTTTTGTAGATACTTTTCTCGGCTTTTTGTCGAATCTTGTCGAAACCTTTGAGAAGATCTATGGAGGGTGTCTTGTAGCCGGATGGCGGATCTATGAACATGTCATTTATTTCATTCAACACTCGCTTCTCATAGAGTCACTCACGTTTGAGACTATCTAGAGTCGACTGAAACTGGAGATATTTCAGGTACTCATCCAAAAACTTGACTGCCCGCTCAAAGTCAACGGGCATGGACATGAGACAGTCATATGCCGTTTGTCCTGGGATGTTGGAGAAGTCTCCATGGCCTAGGCAACAAAGGGTGAGCTTCATGAACAAAGCAATGGGCATGATGTGCTTCCACGTACCGCCACTCTTGGTCCAAATGTCATATGAACGGGCTATCTGTAAGCATGCGTCATCGGCAACGACCTCATTATGTGCTGCTATGATTGATGCCAGGGTCAACAGCACGGAGAAAAACATCATGAAGGCTGTCGTCGAGCCATGCGTGTTCGACCTTCCTGGAGGTGCTGAATTGGACACCCAGAAAGCTGACAGTTCACAATAATGCAACCTGTTGCTGAGTCTGTTAGTGACAAGACCCCTGTACACCATTGTTCTAGGGGCATGGACTAACGCTTACAGCGACTTGGAGCATTCGAAAAGTGGGGCCCCGGCGTACCTGTGTCTGATTGCGGGTCCCGTTCTTGCTTCTGCCCGCTTCAGTTCTTTTGCTTGCGGAGGCAGACACGACACCCAATACCTCAATAGCGGTACATTAATCTCAATGGCGGTAATCCCCAAAGTCGAGAGAACACAAGTGGCCGGGACGGAACCTCGCCGCGGATTTGGCGCGAAGGTCGGAGGTGGCGCCAAGACGAGACGCGAGCGCTGAATGCGCCAAAGATGGGGATCGATGCCCGGCCTTGAACGCGGACCGTCGGGCGGGCGACGGCGGCGGCAGACTGGGCGCCAGACGGGCCTCAATACCACGGTCATCGGTTGCCGCTGGAATTGCTTCGAGGGATGGAGGCCGCAGGGGCCTTAACCACCAAGCCATTGCTGACTTTCATGGTTACCTAGGCGATTTCCACTGAACTTTCTCCCGACTTTCTAGGATACGAGCTGACCTAGGAGGTCCAACAGACATAACGACGACTACCACGCTTCAGACAACATCATGGACCACTACAGAGACGACCAAAGCAGCACCACCGTCCGGTCTTCCGCTTCCGGATCCCGCATGGTCGACGACGACATGGAAGAAAAGGAAAACCTGCTCGAATCCAACCCTCCACGCACTCTAGGGCAGCGAGCGACTACGGGACGAGGCAAATTCGCGATCCTGAGTCTTCCTTGTACCACCTTTTTCCTTGCCTTGTCCAACGTCCTATTGCTAGCAACCTTGGTGGCCGTTACTTTACGGCCCATGACAACAACAGTGCCGGTATCTCCAACAACCGCAGAACAACCACCACGCCAATACCCCGAACATCCACCCTGGGAGCCCCAAGTGGATTTCCGAACTGAGATCTTTCGTTTCCAGACGATTTATGGAGCGGAACCCAGTGAGGAGGTGGATCAGGCTTGGACTGCCATGATTCCTAGTATGTCATCATCCTCATCTCTCTCAGTCTCCTATTCTGAAACGTCCTCGTCCGAATAACGTTGTATAACTAACAAGCGAATAACACCAAACAAACAGAAGGCAAAGGCTTCATCCTCCTCCCCAACGAGACATCCGAAGCATTACCAGACCTCCCGCGGCTAAATAAAACCAACAAGCAACAACACGCCATGATCTCCGTTTTCCATCAACTACACTGTCTCGTGAGCTTTTCTGTCCTCCCTATCCTCCCAACAACTACTGACTCACAAAAAGTACATGACCCGCGCAGGCTACTTTGCCGCCAAATCCGGCAACTTGGACGAAGTCAACACCCCTCATCTGACACACTGCTGGGACTACCTCCGGCAGGGCATCATGTGCAATGCCGACACCACTCTCGAATGGATCACGTACCCCGACGAGAGCGGGAGCACGGGGTGGGGATATCAGCATACGTGCAAAGACTTTGGGGCCGTGTTTGAGTGGGCTGAGCGTCATCGGTTTAGGGAGTGGAAGGTTATTCATTAGTTTGGTTCACCAGAAGATAGGGGTGGAAATGGATTGATAGAGGTGTCGATGGGAGCAAAGGTAGAGTAGTAGGGTCGAGGTTGGGTTCAGGTGGGTTGGTACCTGCCAAGACGGTTGAGGTTGGAATGGAATAATGGTGGGGTTGCGATGAGGGATACACCTACACCACATGGGTTGGCTGGCCTGGTGGGTAGTACGATCGATCGTATATGAGGTGTTAAGTTAGTTGCGGGAGGGAACATGCAGCGGGGTTTGTCTCTTCCCTTGGGTACCTCTAGCTATGTTTCGAAAGAAAATGAATACAAAGTAAGTAGGATACTATTCTAATAGCTTACCTCCACCTCTCCTTCTTCTAGTCCCAAGGTGGGGTCTGACCAAGCTATAGTACTGTCAGTCCAGATTACTAGTCGAATCCACCAAAACCTCCGTCCTTCTAACTTCACTTCTCTCCCTTGCCTCACCTCACCTCACCTCCCGAGCTCCCATCCTCTTCTCTCCGCAAAAGTAACGTGGGACTACCACCTCTAGCACCCCCACACACTTCCCGCCAAGTGGTGATACCAATCTCAAACAATCTCAGATTTTACCTACCTACATACCTCAACCTACCTCGCCAACCGAGACATACCTCGTCATCACCTAGTTCTCATTCTAGGTATGTATCCCGCATGCCGTGCCCACCAAAAAGAAACATGACGTACCTACCTATTCTTCTTCGACATTAGCTAGCTAGGCTCTAGGTAGGTATGTAGGTATGTAGGTAGTGTACATGCATTTTCACCGCTACTTAGACTACCTAGTTTTCTTTTCTTCCCGTCCGTCCGTCCGTCCGTCCCTTCACGTGGACCTTTTCGAGCCCCGTCACTCGACGAAAAGGTCCCTCGCCGGTCTCGATATATCGATCGAAGGAGCAGCAGCGGTTCTTCTTGGCTGTAAGTACAGTAGTGTACAATGGGTGGTAGTGGGTGCTCTTTAACTAGGTGTGACGTCTTCCCCCCCTATAGGTAACCCCGGGCCCCTTCCCGCAAGTGTGTGTGTGGAACGGGCTCGGGGTGGGGAACCTCAAGGGAGGGAGGGGACCCCGCTTTCCCGCATATCAAGATCGGGGAGTAGGAACCCCCCCCCCCCGGCACTCGCCCCGTTCGGTTCCGGCTGGGCATCGCAGTAGGTAGGTAACCTGGGGCTCAGGTAACCTTGTTTGGCGATACCTTACCTTATTCCTTTCCGCGGCCCGCACCGCAACTGCACAAAATGAGGGAGGACGCACTGTAATCTTCCGAACGGGCATCCTCATCCATTCCTCCATTCATTCAGTTCAATCCCATCACGTAAAACCACCGACGCACAACATATAAAAAAATGAGGGGTCCAGCAACTACAACTGCAACTCTTGGTACATACAAGTTAGTACATCACCACCACCGTAGCGAAACCAAAAATACAATTCTGTTTTTTTTTTTTTTTTTTTTTTTTTTCTGGTTTCCGTCATTGGAATTATCGTGATACTTGGCGGCGTCAAAGCGAAGATGGAGAACGGGTAAACCCATGAGCCACGCCACTGATGTACCTTCCTACCTTCATATAACCAACAATGTAGGTAGGTATATGTATGTTTATAGTCAAACAACCTGAAATCAAGAGCTGGAACTACCCTTGAACGAGAGAAACTCGTATGTGATGCCGATGCTGTGAAACACGAACTGCTGGAGGAAGGGGGGGGGGGAAGGCAGGGCGAAACGGAATTCGGTCACCGCTTTTACCGAGACACGCAAGGAATGTTTTGTCGTGTGGGGTTGAACAAGTGGTGTTTTGTTTCGACGACAAAGATGAGGGGGTGCAAGAGGGGGACACGACAGGCGGATATGAGATGTGATATTGGTTAGTGTTCTCCTGCTTCTAGATTGTAGAACCAGAGATTCTCGTAATTCGGGAATTTCCACACTTGAAGTAAGTGACCTTTTCGTACATTCACCTTGTTTAGGTACGTACCTCGGTCGGCGAGCCTAGGTATCCCATCACCACATCGAAGAGTGGTGATCCAGATCTTCAGCCTGCTGAAACTCGTCGTGATAATTGTATAATCACTCGCATATCCCCTCTGGAAAAGGATAACGATGGCGTAAATGTGCATCTGGAGTTTCAATAGTCTGGAAAGTCGCACGTCAGCCGTGACTACAAGTGTAGACAATACATACAACTAACCAATGGGTTGCTTGGAGTTGTTGTCTCAGAGCCTCCTCCACTTATGTAATCCATCACCGGGCTTTGGCCCGCCCCTATCCCCATGCCGGGACCTGGATGTACACTGCCAGATCGGCTCGGCATCTAGCCGTCCCGGACTGGGTCTCGGCCAATGAGACAAGAAGGTCACCCGCCCGGATCTACAGATGTGCGCTTGCGGTCTCAGTGGTTTCCAAACATGTATCGGGACCTCAGCGGGCGAGAGGGCTAGACTGACTGCAAAGGTTAGAGGACGACGTCCTGGTTCTTTTCCAGAAGGGGTTCGATACTTGGGGACCTCCCGTCTTGACTGCCCATCTGGCGAGACCTTTCTCTTCCTCCCCCTCGAATGGTTCGGGATTCCAGGCCAATAGCCATATGCACGAGGATTGTCTTGTCGGGGTCCCTCAAAAACTTCCGGTAACTAGATAATACGAACAGCCTTGAGCATTCGGTGTTTGAAAGGGACGCGTAACGAGTACACCACACATTCTCAACTCGATCCTTACAGCCTGGGGCGGGAAGTGGCCATGATCCTGCAGGTCGCCGAACTGTGAAAGCTTGGTGGTTACCTGTTAGCGTCACCCAACAGCCATCTCCGAAGACCTGCATGGTGAAACAGCCCCAGAGCACTTACATACAACACAAAATAACTGGTTAACCATCGATCTCGCCCCTTTGATCATGGACTAGTGTATGCATGACGTGAGTCCCATTGTTAAGGATCCTCCAGTGTTTTTCTCTTCTGCTGGCCATCCACCCACCCGCCCGCAAAACCCAAACCGAACCTCTTCGAGTTTTCCCGATCAAGGATCCCTTGCCTTTCGAGAATCCCATCGGGAACTCTCTGCAGTCCCCTGTTGGGGGGTTAACCTCTCTTTACAGACGCTCAATCTTAGGTAGTCAACCCCCATCCACTCCCCGTGAGGGTCCAAATTGTGTGACATTATAATTGGTGAGTGTGGGGTTAATGTCACACTGAATGACTTGGACCGGCAGGGACCAGAAACGAAGGGCCATCGTAGGTGGGGGGTAGCTAGTACCATTCCGGACGGTCTCAGGGTATTCCCAGCTTTCAGCTATGCGGCAATGTCGATCATTAGACTGCTGAGAGATCTGATCTAGGCGGCTAGCGGGGACTTGGATTCTCATCTGGGTGCTTGGTTGATGCTCTCCATTGCTGCTGCTACTGCTGCTGCTGTAATTCGCATCTCCCTGCTTGTATGTCATGTCAACAACAAATCAGTGTTCCGATGTTGACCGTAGCTTCTCTCACTGTGCTTCTAGGGCCCTCCATGTTGAAACAGGAAAGAGGCGTCGAAATGAGACTGAAAAAAGGGCATGAGACTGCCTTCGCTTTTCTCCCCCCCCCCCCCCCCCCCCCCATCGTGAGAGTGACACTTGGGACAATTTGTCAATGCCGTTCACTCATCTTATTCAGCCAGCTTCTCCGTCTCACCCTACCCATCAATATCCCCGTCCTCAAACCTGTCTTGGTCTCAAAGTGGTAGCTCCGTTACACCAGGTTGAAGCCCCTTCCCATCCACTTTTGCAAGCCGTCACTCGTCAACCGCCACCATTAGCAACATCTCAACAACAAGCTGACGGGCTAATTCACGCTTGCGGTTTCTCAAATTGCCCTTCTTCCTCCTTCTCCAATGCCGTCGGGACAACGAAGTAAAAGTGGATGTTGGACTTGTCGTCTACGCCGCAAAAAGTGTCTCGAAGGAGGACCACCCTGCTCAAACTGCGAATCTCGAGGCATCTTTTGCCATGGTTACGGTCCCAAACCCAACTGGAAAGATAGAGGAGACAGGGAAAGGGAAGAGGCGAACAGGCTTCAACTCCAGACACGAAGACGTCGAAGATCAACGGCCACACAAAGCCATGCCTCTAACCCATCCGTATCCGAATCATCGACATCTTCCAGGGGCACTATCGACATCGGTAGCCCTCCCATCCCGGCCGCCGAGTCACCTTCGCTGTCGCCGTTCTTGTCGTCCGACTTCTCGTTCGCCTTGTCCCCTTCCTCTGGGCATGAACGAAACACAGCGATAGAGTTCGAATTTCTTGATGCCTTAACAATAGCCCCCGACTCTCTTACTGCCTCGTACAACAATGATATCTGGGCGAGTCATGGCCAAACGGATGCAGCGCTGGTCGAGATTTCACACTTGGACCCCACAACAGCCCTACAGCGTCTTCCTGAAGTTTCGGAACACTCCAAGCAGCCATTAGAAGTGCCAACACCGCTCAGTCTCTCTTGTTTGGGCTCTGACAGTGACACTGGTTCGGGCATGCATGGTCCCCCAACTTCAGAGAATGATATCGAGTTGGTCATGCACTTCATCGGCGAGACGTGTCCATTACAACATGGTTCCTATCGTTCGTCATCAGCAACACAGAGGAGTTGGGCACTCTTCCTGCTGATGAGGTCTCCGACATTTTATCATGCTTCCCTCAGCATGAGCGCCTATCACATGTCACTGACTCTTGCCGGACATAGTGATGCTCGCGCTAGAGCAATCCATGACTACCAATCGCACAGGATGCAAGCTTTGGACAGCTTTTGTGAGCTTATGGACTCTAAACGGCAACGTTCTGGGGGAGTGTTTGGCGAAAGCTTGATATGCTCGGTACAGCTTGCCCTGTTGGAGGTGAGTAAGATCAGCCGCTGACCCAATGCAAGGTTTTCAGGTGGTTGTTGTTGTTGTTGACTTTTACCCTAGGCTTTAGGCAAAAACATGCAAAGCTGCCACTCGTACCTCTCTTCGGCAGTCCAAATCCTCCTTGACGACCTGCGCCAGGCCTCCTCGACGACTGATAGCGGGATGAACACATCTTCTATAGCTCCATCCCAGCAACAGCAACTTCCTCTAAGTCTCCCATTAGGCACCAGTAGCCCAGTACCGCCTGGTCCGTCTCCCATGGAACAAACAGCTCTCTCTTTCTTTCGTGCCATTCTGATCTGGAATGACATCCTCTCGTCCTCTTCTCTCAAGAAGGTTCCTTCTGCGGCCGCCTCCTACCGGGACCTCCTCGCCTCTTCGCCCTCTTTCTGTGTTTCTTTCCAGTCCACCACGGGCTGTGAACCATGGATCCTTGTAGCGATAATGGACGCCACTGCCCTCGAAGTTTGGAAGAGAGACCAGGAGAACCAAGGCAACCTCAGTATAAGAGAGCTGGTCAACCGCGCCTCCAAACTGGAGAATAGACTTGAAGAAGGAATCCAGCGCTTGGAAGGTAGCGCTAGCAACAACGGGCCCCAAAGCTTGGTTTTCTCTTACGCCTTGCTTACACACTTGCACTCAATCGTGTCAGGGCCACTGGCCAGTGTGCCTGAGATAAGCGAGAGTATTGAGCGTTCCCTTGCGGTCTGGAAGAGGATCCCCGAATCTATAAGCCCCAGGAGCTTGGCCTGGCCATATTGCGTCTGCGCGAGTCTGGCAACAGGGGAACAAAGGGAAGTATTCAGAGAATTCTTGGTCCCTGACCGCTTGTCAGGTGTTGACTCGACGCTGGGAAGTTTAAGGGAGTTGAAAGCTGTTGTTGAAGAATGCTGGAGGCTAGTTGATGGGGTCAAAAGGAGATCAAGTTTCATGTCTGAGGAGTGTAATGGCGGTGGAAGAGATAGGTTGCTTTCAATCTCGTCGGTGAAGGTCGATTGGAGGGAAGTTATGCAGCGATCGAATCTGGGGCTGTTGTTTACTTAAACTTCTGTAAGATTGGTCCCAGAGACTATTAGGTCAGTTGTCTGAGGCCTTTGTGGAAAGTAAGAAGACATCCCAGTGAGCAGTCGGACATGAAAGCATTGTTGAAATATTGCAACAGAGTGCGAAACAATCTCTCCGGATGCGCTGGGCGCTGGAGATTCGGTCCCCTGAGGTGAACTTGATCTTTTATGCTCAAGGACCAGAGACTTCCCAGAGCAATCTCCATAGCAGGACGATTACTGGCGGCGAGTCGCTGACCGCTGCAGCTGGTTGGTGAGCAAACCCGTGGAGTGAATTTTGGTAGTAAGGAAACCAACAGAAAGGCGGACAATTTGCTCCGGTTCTGCGTCTCCTGGTCTATGGCCCTAGTTGACGGGAATACCCTAATCACACCGAAAACATCTGCTCCCACACTTTCCAGATGATTCATTATGCGCTTGCGAAGACTCAGGATGCCATATTTTGAATGCCTTGGTGCACTGTTTCACTCCCAGCAAATTTTCAACGAGGGTAGCGCTCGACAGATTGGAAGGGCAGTGCCGTTCTTGACTCGTAAAGGAGCCTTTACGGAGGGTATGATGAACAGGGCGCTACTGACACCCTTAAGTGGAAAGGAACAGGGAAATTGGACGGTAACACCCTCCGGCTCGACGGGGTGGTGAAACCAACCTGACCCCAGGTTCCTCTCTGTAACGGTTTCGTAATTCGAGTGCCTTTCTTGCGCAGCTGTTTCTCAAAGCGAGGCGCTGGCCTACTGAGGCTTGATCGTAAGAATTCATAGAAGCGCGGCGCTTGAGCTGCGCCAATGTGGAAGAAAGGGGGCAAGCGAAAAGATGTAACAAATGTACGAAACGGAAGTCGCGACCCTGTCACAAGGAATTCCTACTAGAATACACGTTGGATTGTCAACAGGGGAATATGGAAGGCATCAGATATGTGATGCCGCAGGTAAGTGTGTAGTGAAAGTAATGCCCGCAAAGATGAACTGCGTTGAACACCGGTGTGAGTGCCCGAACTTTCCGGCGCCGTTCAATTGCCTGCTTACAACATGCGCCTTAAAGCTTGACGGACACAGCTTTGGTAATTCATCACCGAACCGGATATGGCGAGCGATGCGTTTGTGTGGCGCTTGTCGTTGGGTTCGGCTCGCTGAATCGACAACGTGCTGCCCAAACGCTATGGGGCGAGGAGCATCTTGGAGCAGGGTGAGGTAACTCGGAGGCGCCACGATTGTAGTCGGCAAAGATCGAAGTAGACTTTTTGGGTATAAGTGATCAGGGAATCTTCTTGATATTCCAGTCGTCAGTTATCACTCAGTCACACGTCTTATCACCAGACTAAAGGCAGACACCTACACCTTACTACGCCATTGAAAATTTCCCCACTTAATCTCGAGTCGACACGCAACCGTCACCATGAAGTACTCGAGTTCCATTCTGATCGCAGCTTTCTGCGTTAGCGTCCTTGCCGCTCCTGCTGCTAAGGTCAGTCTCTCACAGTAAGAGCACCGTGATTTGACGTCCCATGTTGCTAATCAGAGAGGGCGAATAGCGTTCATCCGTTGAGGATTACGTGATCGAGGTCGACAAGCGTTCTTCTGTTGAAGACTATGTCATCCCCATCGACAAGAGGTCTTCGGTTGAGGATTACGTGATTTCCGTCGACAACAAGCGCAGCTCGGTTGAAGACTACGTAATCCCGATCGACAAGCGTAGTGCCGTAGAGGACTACGTTATCCCTATTGATAAGAGGTCGTCGGTCGAAGACTATGTCATTCCCATCGACAAGCGCCACGGCGGTGTGGAGGATTATGTTATCCCCATCGACAAGAGGTCTTCGGTTGAGGACTATGTCATCCCCATCGACAAGCGTAGTGCCGTCGAGGACTATGTGATTGAGGTCGACAAGCGCCACAACTCTGTCGAGGACTACGCCATCGGGGTCGATAAGCGTGGTGCTGTCGAGGACTACGTGATCCCGATTGACAAGCGCCACGGCGCCGTCGAGGACTATGTCATCCCCATCGACAAGAGGTCTTCGGTTGAGGACTATGTCATCCCCATCGACAAGCGTTCATCCGTCGAGGATTACGTGATCGAGGTCGACAAGCGCCACAACTCTGTTGAGGACTACGTCATCGGGGTCGATAAACGTGGTGCTGTCGAGGACTACGTGATCCCGATCGACAAGCGTCACGGTGGTGTTGAGGACTACGTGATCGAGGTCGACAAGCGCCACAACTCTGTCGAGGACTACGTGATCGAAGTCGACAAGGCTTAAATGACCGCCTGGGACAGGTCAGCACAATGAGATATGGCGCGGGATCAGGCTGGGGACGGGGGACCAACATGGAATACTTGGAAGACTGGGACTTGGATTCTCTCTGGTGATTGCTTTCGGTTTGGGAAATGGTGGAAAGGGCACTGACGGCAAACGTGTTACGACTTGTGATGACGATTTTTGGCTTAGGAATGTTCTGGACTTATGATGTGGCGTTTTGACATACCTTCACTCTTTTAGCTAGGAAAGTGAGCACAGTGATGTTGTATCCTTCTCGTTCGTCTGATTGATGTGCTTGCTTTTGTGCTTTTGAGATGCTGACTTGGCGATATTTCCATGTGGATTGTCTCCTTTGAGACCAGGACGGGAAAAAGAGAGCTCACTTTACGGATAACAAAGACCAAAGTAGTACCTTGCGTTGAAAAGGAGACAGCAATACTTGTTGGAGAGGGGTCCAGGTTCCTGTCGGGTCTCCAACTTTCGAGGAAACCATTGCCGACGCGGGCATCGATGGCTGCAGTGGCTGAATTGAATCGACGGATGTGCAAAGGAGACGGCGGGAACGAAAGGGACAGGAACTCGATAGTTCCGTCCCTTGACAAGCCGGGCACTGCAGCTTTGACTGATAAGAAAGCATCGGCAGGTGGGATGTCCAAACGCCACAATCGCGCGTACCTGCAGCTACACTTCCTTACATCGGCACCACATCCGTTGCATTTACATACATACACGACACAGGAAGGCACGGCAGACAGCATTGTTAGGACACTGCGAAATGAAATTACAAAAACCTCATTGCTACGGTATGGAGGGAACGAAGACAACAACCCCGCTCTTGAAAATTCCATCTCTACCTGTGCTAATCCACCCGTCGGCAGAATGGACTTCCCCTCTGAGACTTCAACAACCTGACCGCTTCCGTGTCTTGTGCTTCCTGCTCTCGCAATCTCCACAGTTCCCTTTTCCTGGTCTCTGGAATAGGTTTCGCCCATTTCTCTGCCTCCTCTTTTCTTTTCTTCCTCTCCATCCATCTGTTTCTGTCCTCTTCAGTCCAGCGCGGCGGGAAATAATCGTCCAATCCGTTCTAGGGATGGCGACGATGTCCATGAGACGATGTTGCCGTTGGTAGCTCGTCACTGAAACCCCGGCGACGAGGGCGACGCATGTTGGCGGTGGGACCAGAGACATGCTGTGGCAGATAAGGATCGGCAGTTGGGTGCACGCGGTAGGAGGGAACTCGATATACGCGATGGGTCGGATCCTCGTTTTTCGGCTCTTGCTGATAGTCACTGCTAGTATCCGACCCAGAAACGGTCACGGCGGTTGGAGGAGGGGGGTAGGATTGAGGATATGAAGCCTGGGGGCGGGCGGCGACTGGTACAGCAGAAGGCGAGGCATATTCGACCCCTGAAGGACGTTCGTTCCTCCAAGAACGTCTCTCTAGGTACGCCTGACGAGAGGGGCTTGGACATGCGTTGAGTTCTCCAATGAGCTCGGCCGTGTTCTTCTTCGAATATCTTCTCTTCGGTAAAGTCCGTCCGCGATTCGAACCTCTGGATGAACGAGAGGAGCTGGAAGGGGGTGGAGTTGGAGGACTGAAACTGTTCCCAAGGTTCAGTCCCAAAAATGATTTCCATAAGGGCGCTGGTGCTACCTCGCTCTTCATCTCCATGCCCTCCTCTGCGTTCTTCACCTTTTGCGTAGACCGTTGGTTATCGGTAGCAGGGTTGCTCCCCAGCTGCATGCTATCCATGAAGTCTTCCAACCGCCGGAGTATTTGCGACATCCGGCCTCGATCATCACCAGCAGTATTCTCAGTGATAATACAGGCAGAAGGCGGCCTAGATGACTCTTTGGGTGAGCACATATCCCGCGGTTCCTGTTTCACGTACCGTTCTCCATTGATGAATATCTCTTTCTTCCTTTCCTCTTCATTTCCATCTCCCTGAATCCCCTCTTCTTTCCTTTTCCTTCTAAACCTATCCCAACTCTCCCTCTCCCTCCTCGCCTGCCCCTCCAACTCCGTCTCCTTAATCGTCTTGTGATGTACATTACTCTGACTCTGAGTGGATCCCGCCTAAGGATCCTCATGCAAGGAGCGCATGTAACGTTCATAGACGGTCTCGCGCTCATCGTTGTTCCATTCCCGTTTTTCAACACCATACTTCCGCCGCCGATAATTCGGCTTGAGCATTTCATCATGCCTTGCTTCCTCCTCCTCCCTCATATCCTCAAGGACGTGATGCGGTAGCTTCAACAGCTCCTCCATTTTGGCGTCCAATCGCTCGTCCTCATTACGATAGCCATCATCATCATCATCATCATCATCATCATCATTGCCTCTGCTCTGGCCACTGTGATGACCATGACCGTGACCGTACTTCTCCTCCTCCAGGTACTCCTTCTTGCCTATGTGCTCTCGATCATTGCCATTGCCATTGCCATTGCCATTGCCATTGCCCTTGCCCTTGCCCTTGCCCTTGCCCTTGTCCTCACCAGAGGAGGCTCCAGAGCCACCGCGCTTCTCCACGCTGTACTTGTGCTTCTTGCGGTCCTCCCTGCTGATTGCGGCACCGGCGACCCATAACAACCACTCCGGATAATCAGGCTTGGGAGTGTACTCGCCTTCCTTGACGAGCTTGCGGACCAAGACCTTCTTTTCTTCTTTTTCCTCTTCTTCTTCTTTGCCGCGCATGACCTTGCCCTTGCCCTTGCCTTTGTCAGCCTTATCTCGAGGCGGCGATCTGCGAGGGGACCTGGACCGGTCGTGGTGGGGACGGTGACGGTAGTCGTCGATGTCGGGGTAAGGGTTGTCCCGCTCTCTCTTGATATGGGTGCGGTTGCTGGGCATCTTGTCTTGTGCCTTGTTGATCTTTAAGTACTTGCTGAGAGATGGAAAAACTTCTTTGTTTTAGAGAACTGGGTTTGGAGGAAGAGTGAGAACGAAATCGCAGGTCGGGAAAGAGAGCTGATCATCAATCCTTTATACAACTTTGTGTCGAGTGGAATATTATTTCCACCATCTTGAATGTAATTCTTTGTCCATAACCTCCCTACGCTATTATGAAATGAATCATGGGTTCGGGATTGAAGCTGGTCAATACCTAGGCAAGTCAGCATTGGCAGAGAGAACAAAGACAAGGTCCGGTCCACCGCGATGATGGTGAAGGTCTGAAATCGGTACAAAGCAACTTTGAGCACACCGGCGACATAATAACAAAGTCTAAATGTTAATATGAAACATGTCATCAGACTTGTGCAAAAATAGGTCTCAGATGATGAGATGACGATTTTACTCACTGGTCAAGGTTAATAGTGTCAAAGCAGCTAGATACCTAGACCTAACTTGAAAACTCGAACCACCCGCTCCTAAATAATTTCTTCGTGTCGGCTGGAGCTAAATAAACCCCCCCCCCCCCCCCCCCCCAAAAAAAAAAAAAAGAAAAAAAAAAAAAAAAGAAACGCTCGCGCGGACGAACGGGTCCCAAAACCAAATTGCAAGAGTCAATATAGTCAACATCATGCGACAGATGAAAGGATTTCAGAAGGTCTCAGAGGTCTCAGTAAGTCAGCTGGTCCGATGAAGGTCGAAGGAACGACGGAACGACGTCAGTAAATGAATGAATGAATGAATGAATGAACGAATGAATGAATGAACGAAACGAATTGATAACACACCCTTACCATATCATATATTTGTCTGATTTTGACCATGCAGAATGAATAAACCGTTCTATATTTCATCTCATCTCATCCCGTCCTTATCCTGGACAAATTCCATCCCATCCTGGAAAAAGAGAAAAAGGAAAAAAAAAAAAAACCATTTTATCACGACAACGACAACGACCGTCACCAACAACAATAAACCGCCGCTCCATCCATCCCATCTTATCCCGTCCCATCCTGAAAGAGAAAAAAAAAATCTGATCCCATCCTGACAATAACTACAGCTATATTGACCATGACCGTCAGCTACAAACAACTAACAATGAACCATCCATCACCTATGAACCTCCCTACCTACCTACCTACCTACCTACCTACACTGACTCGTCCGCCCGCCCACCTGCTCACCCGCTTACCTTGGTGATACCCACCTACTTAAACATTCAAGTCGCTTGATCATAGTCAACTGGTTCAAGACAAGTCCCAGGACCCTCCATGCCCCAATCCTCCCCATCCATCAGCCGCCGCCTTCTTCGGTACTGAACACAGTCCAAGACCTATCTCTATTGATCGTGGCTGCTAGAGACTCAACGTAAAACATCAACCATGTTGCATGAGTTATGCGTGCTTGGATAAGAAGTTTGCGAATAGGTACTTTGAGAGAGTAGGTAATAAAGGTGTGGCCGTAAAAAGAGTAAGCGCACAACAGGTCGGGATGGGTGGAGATTGAATGAGATGCGTTCTTATCATATTCTTATCATATTCCATGCAGGATGAGCAGTATAGGAGTTAGTGCAATAACAGCCGTCCTCTTCACGCACTAGCCAAGAACCAACATCCGAGTTCAGGAAATGCCAACACAACAAGTTAACTGAGCAGAGGACAGGACAACGGCACAAGGATTTGCTAAGGCGATGCTCATTCATATTTAATCTCTCAATTACACTATTTATCTGAATCAACCGATTGCTAACTTTGCTCGTACCAGTATCATCCCAATTCGTCTCAATACTTGCCAATCCGGTATTGACTTATCACGTCTTTCAGTACTCTTTCTGTATTTTCTGGACGCGGTAGCGCACCCAATCCGGAGTCTCTCCACTTCTCAACTTCGTCCAGTGCTCTTTTGAACCAGCGCAAGGCCTTCTTGTAGTGATGTCTTTGAACCCAATCATCCCAATGATCCGCTCGACTAGCCTCCATCCAAGCAATCCGCCAACGCAGCTCTCTGCTGTACAGCAGTACCTGATCAGCCTCCTAAAGCTTGGGGGCATTCTGGCCCCGTCCCTTCTGCTTGAGATCGAACCGATCAAGGTTCATGACCTTGTGCCAAGCCGCCACAAAGTCGCGCTTGAACTTCTCCTCGCCATCCACCGCGGCATACACCTCCGCAAGCGCGCGAAGCTCAGCATGCGCTCCGAAGATGAGATCGGCCCTTGTCGCAGTCCACTTTTTATCGTGTGTCTTGCGGTCATAGCCAATGAAGACCTCGCCCTCATTATCCGCCGCCTTCCATGCCGTGTTGGTGTCCAACAGGTTGACAAAGAAGTCGTTGGTAAGCTTGCCGGGTGTTTTGGTCAACACACCGTAGGATGAGCCATCATAGTTGGCCTCTAGCACACGGAGACCGCCAATGAGGGCAGTAAGCTCGGGCGCCGAGAGAGTGAGCAGCGAGGCACGGTCAATGAGAAACTGCTCGGTGCGTACGCGCTTGGTACCCTTACCATAGCTGCGGAAGCCGTCGGCGTGGGGCTCGAGGTGAGTGAAAGAATGCACATCGGTCTGCTCCTGAGTGGCGTCGTTGCGGCCTGGGGTGAAAGGGACTACCAAGCCAGAAGCCTGCTCAAGGGCGGCGACACCACCAAGGACGATGAGGTCAGCCAAGGAGACCTTCTTGCCACTCGAACTGTTGTTGAACTTTTGCTGCACAGACTCAAGAGCAGCAAGGACCTCGCGGAGCGTAGAAGGGTCGTTGACCGTCCACTCGTTTTGAGGAGCGAGACGGATACGGGCACCATTGGCACCACCGCGCTTGTCAGAGCCACGGAAAGAGGAAGCCGAGGACCAGGCAACGAAGATCAGCTTCTTTGGAGCGACACCGGTGGCCAGAATCTCCTTCTTCAAGGCCGCGATGTCGTTATCGTCAATAATCTGGTAGTCTACGGGAGGAATGTAGTCTTCCCAAGGTAGGATCTCAGATGGGACCTCGGGACCGATCCAGCGAGTACGCGGGCCCATGTCACGATGAAGAAGCTTGAACCAAGCGCGGGCAAAGGCATCGGCGAACTTGTCTGGGTTCGCAAGGTAATCGCGGCAGATCTTGTCATAGGCGGGATCCATGCGCAGGGCAATATCGGTCGTCAACATGGTCGGGAGCTTCTTCTTGTTGGGGTCGTAGGCATCTGGGATGGTGGGCTCGGCGTTCTTGGCCACCCACTGGTTGGCACCAGCAGGGCTCTTTGTCGGCTCCCAGTCAAACTTGTAGAGGTACTCCAGGTAGCCCATGCCCCACTTGGTAGGAGTTGGTGTCCAAGTGACTTCAAGACCACTGGTGATGGTGTCGGGACCCTTGCCCTGGCCAAAGCTGTTCGCCCAGCCGAGACCTTGGTGCTCGATGGGAGCAGCCTCGGGCTCCTTGCCGACGTGGTGAGTGGGACCGGCACCGTGAGTCTTGCCAAAGGAGTGACCACCCGCAATCAGAGCGACAGTCTCCTCGTCGTTCATAGCCATACGGCCAAAGGTGACACGGATATCCTTGGCTGAGGCAACGGGGTCGGGAATGCCGTCAGGACCTTCGGGGTTGACGTAGATAAGGCCCATATGAGAGGAGGCAAGGGGGCTTTGCAGATCACGGTTGTGGATGTCCGTGTGCTGTTTCTTGGACTCGTCACCTTGGACAACACCATGTCCTTCGTGGCCTTCCCGACCCTCCGAGTAGCGGTCCTCGTTGCCCAGCCATGTGGTCTCGGCACCCCAGTATACAGACTCGTCAGCCTCCCAGGTGTCGGGACGGCCACCGGCAAAGCCAAAGGTCTTGAAGCCCATGGACTCGAGAGCAACGTTGCCGGTCAGAAGGAGCAAGTCGGACCATGAGATCTTGTTGCCGTACTTTTGCTTGATGGGCCACAGGAGACGACGGGCCTTGTCGAGAGAGACGTTGTCGGGCCAGCTGTTGAGGGGAGCAAAACGCTGCTGACCCTCACCACCGCCTCCACGGCCATCCGTGACACGGTAGGTGCCGGCGCTGTGCCATGCCATGCGGATGAAGAGACCGCCATAGTGGCCGAAATCAGCAGGCCACCAGTCTTGCGAGTCGGTCATGAGTTTAGTGAGGTCCTTCTTGAGGCCTTCGTAGTCGAGGCTCTTGAAAGCAGCGGCATAGTCGAAGTCTTTGTCGAGGGGGTTGGAGACGGGGGTATGTTGGCGGAGGATGTTGAGCCTAAGCTGGGCGGGCCACCAGTCGTGGTTCCTGGTGCCACCACCGCCGACGTTGGACTTGCGGACGGGGCACTCGGACATGTTGGTCGATGTTGTGTGGTTTATTGATCTTTCGAGACGAGATACTGATTCCAAGTTGAAGCTCTATTTGTTGATATGGGAGCTGTACAGGCGAAGAGAATAGTATGCACGTTGATGAGAAAAACGAAGAAATAGAAGACAGAAGACAGATGATATCAGAGAGCGGAAGCACCGGTATTAGTAACCTAGGAGAGGGGTTTGGTAGTGGAGGGTGTGGGTGGGAAGGCGAGTTGATATGAAATGGCCGAGAAGGAGGAATACAAAGGAATCATTGTACGTACCCCGCTTGGTTGTCACCCGGCATGGAGGCCGGGTGGTACGGTACAGGTCACCGCCCGCTCCTGTCTCTCTTGTGAGTGTGAGCTTCCTCGAATCATAATTGCTCGATCCATCCCGGCTTCCACGCATCGCGGTGAACCCCTAGGGATGGGAGTAGTTACCTCGTACTGTAATTACGTAAGGTAACGTACCTGCTTACAACAAACTTGGATCTACACAGTATCTCGTCCTTGGCTCCGGTTGATGTCATCCAAGTTGTTGCTCATTGTTTTTTTTTTTTTTTTTTTTTTTTTTTTTTTTGTGATTATTCCAGAAGACGGTCATATCTGGAGGGTTTTAGCATCTTCAACGCCTTTAAAATCCCTTCTCTTGCTTGGCCGCTTGATCCATCCCGACTGAACATCTCATGATGCTTGGAAGTGTACTGTACTTGTACGTAACGCAGTATCCATGTATTGACAACTCGATAATGGAAGCAAGTGCCGCCCGTGATCTCTCCCGTTGCTCGACCCCGCACAGTAAACACAGGAGGGGATCGATGGCAACTGCAACTCTCTGAGGGTGCAACTGCCCCTGCAAGCAGGATGGATAGAAACGGGTAGAAAAGGTGGTACAGGTGCATGAACGCAGGCTGCAACTGAATGATTCTTGTTGCCCTTTCTCTGATTGGCAGGTGGGGAATGTGACTCGCACCTCGGAGACTTCTGCCCTTTTCTGGTTCACACTGGAAGCTTGACGGACCTCACCTCACGACCCTCTCCAGTCATCCACGGCAACGAGAACCTTGAGGGCTTCCAATCTGAACGGGAATTGAGTACAAAGGCCTGGCTGGATTTCCATATGGCTAGTGGAGAAGGAAGTCATGTGAAGTCGCGTTAGCTAGTACATGGAAATCGCCGTGCTATCGGTATCAATACTACCTTACAAAACTGGAACGCGTCACCTCGGAAATGCCAAGAGGGGCGGGAGAAACATATCGAATCGGGGGAGGCAACCCTTCATTGTGCTCTCTTGCCATCCAATTACTAATACTGTATGGCGTGCTGGAACCAGTTTCACCACTCTCATCGGCCTTTTACTTTCGTGAATATTTACCGCCGGCTGTTCTTGGTTCCCCATGTTCATTGTCACTGTTATGTTGTGGTGGTGTCTGCTACCTCGATAGAGTCGCACACGTAACCCCGTCCCTCCATCATCTCTACCCAGAACTCGTATGATTGCCTGGAGGCCAGTTCATCTTGCCCCCTTCGGTTGTTGCCATGTTTATTCTTGACTTCCCGTATCCATCAGAGTGTCCGGGCTTGCTTGCCACTCCGCCTCACACGTGGGGAGAGGACCGGGAAGAAGTCGAGATCGATCTCGGCCACTTCTCCCGCCGTGGAGCTTTCCCCCGCTGGCGGCTAATCCCTTTACGGGGCCAGTCATGCACGCCTGACAGCTAATTGTCGAGCTAGGGATCTTGGCCGGCTCATTGCTGACCAGCGGGGTTTGTGAATTGATATCATTTCAGATTGTCGCATTCAACAACAAAAACCAACATACTATGGATTTTCGGTCCAAATAGTCTGTTTAATGACCTTTTCTTTATAGAAACAAAGAACAAAGCCTGTGAGGATGGAATGTCTGTTATTTCGAATCGTCAGTGGGTCTAGATCCAGTCGCATCCAAGTGAGAACCTCTTTGGACACCTCGACCAGCGCTCAGATAGACTAATGTAGAGTAATTAAAACATTCAAACCAACGGCTTTCCGAAAATCAGACAGCAGCCGCGACCTTCTACATGTGGCGCAAGAGAGAGCTGGAGAGCTCGGGTTAACAACAACCCAAACTGCCAGGCGAGGCATAAAGATTGCTTACCGATTTGATTTGGGTCTCTGAAACCATCAACACGGTTTATAACAATCTCCGGCGAGCATCGTAGCGGCACTCAATCTCCCGTCCGCTGGAGAGGTGGCAACTACCGACCTCTATCTTCCGCCTTGGTCTTTTAGGCAGCAGTCCAGTAATCTGGTATCTGCACTTATCCCTTCTTGGTGCGCGCGGGCTCAGCAAAGAGCTCCCTTGCCCGGGATAGAAAAGCTGAGAGCCGTGCCAGGCTTGAGGCCGGTTGAATGCCTGAAAAGGGGGTTTCAGCTTTTCTGTCCCGGGCGAGCCTCCTTAAGATCCTTTGATAGCCCGGGGCAAAAAGATGCGGTTGATGACAGTGGCGCCTCTCCATTTGGAAGGACCCAAGTAATATATGTGGTTGTACGTATGGCCGCAGGTCAGATCAGTCCACAGACATGGGCATCGTCGTTACACCACCTCCATCTCCCAGGATTTCTCCCAACTTGACAAGTGTGTTCTCATACACCTGAGCGACGTTCATGTGTAACAGCTCGTCTTCGTCGTCGTCGTCACCATCATCGAAATCGCTCATCTCGGGCAGACGATCAGACTCAGCTTCGGCCTCGGTATCGTTGTCCGGCTTCGGGGTCTGGATACCCTGGCCCCCAGTATCGCCATCTGGATCCTCGTCGGCTGGCTCTTTCGCCATGACCTCGACTACCAATACACGAGTGCGCTCAATTACGCTTTTACAGCGGACCATGTCGGTGCGGGACAGGCCGGCTCGAAGGCCGTTCTCGAAGCCTGGTAGTGTTTCTTTGGTGTCGATGTCGTAACCGAAGAGTAGACTGGCGAAGCAGTGGTCGAGTTTTCGTAGTAGCGCGAATGTGGCTGCGGGCGAGGGAGGGAAGCCCTCGAGCCAGGTGGTGAACTCGCTCGCAATGTTGAGCAGGTAGGGGATTTGTAGGCTGGCTAAAGGGATATTAGTGTTAATAATGACGGGTAAGAACTCGAAACCGTGTGGCACTTACGAGTACCGGATAGCCAGATGATATTGATAACGTCGTCCACGTCTTTACATAGTTCGGCCATGGACTTGTAGCCCGTGATTTCGTCGTCGGGATGGGGAATGGCAAAGTGCTTGACGTATCGGCGACTGATGTGTAGCATTTTGTCGGATACATAGTTGCGGACTTTATCCTCCTTGATGGACCCGGGGCGAAGGGAAGTTCGGCGAGGATGTGGGAGATTGGATACAGCCGCCGCTGATGCTGAGCTGGGCGCTGGAGATGGTAACGAGTTTGAAGAGATCGCGGGAGGCACAAAGCCGCCTGGGGCTGGCGCGGTCGGGGGATTGGGGGTTTCGTTTTCCGCCATCGGTGTATGAGGTATCGCGGCAATGATGGGTGAGTGTTGATTGAAGCCAGGCAATTGGCGATGTGACGAACTTGTAGGCTCTGGAAGGACAATGTGAGATGTGATGTTTTGTTTGCGACAGAAGAATTGCGATGGTTTCTAGAAGGTGACAGTGAGAGTTCAGTGACAGACGCCGGCACATGACAATGGATGACATGGAAAATGGCGGGGCAGTGGGTCTCTACTGAAGCCCCACTCCTGGTACGCCGTGGTGTAAGTGATAACAGCCAATGACGGTGCCAAGCACCCTTTGATAACAACCTCAAAGGCCCGTGGCCCGTGCAGTCCCTGTCTCTCTGTCCCTCTCTTTGCCTGCCAGAAAGTCCAAAATTTCCATTCGACGTTCCAGTCTGCGATTGCGAGTCTCGTCACGGCGTCACAGTTCCCAGCTTCATCAACCGATAGCCCCGTTATCGCGACCACTCTCAAGACACTCCATCACCATGCCTTCCGCCAAGTACATCGAGCGCCCCGGTGGCAGCCGCAAGTCCAAGGGCTTCATCCGCTCCACTTACGATTCCCTCACCTCTTCCGAGAACGCTTCCGTTGTCCGCAGCATCGCCTTCTTCGGCGTAAGTGTCCTCCGCAACCCGGCCTTCGACGTCCGAACCCCGGCCCCGTCCGGTCCTGTCCGGTCCATTCCTACCTAGTCTTCTACAATCTGATTGTACTAACACACGCCCTCACCACAGGCTGCCGTCGCCTTCCTCTCCAGCTCTTGGGGCGAGATGCTCGTTGTGTTCGTATACCCCTACCTTCACATCACAGTCCTGTCGGGCTCTAGTGTTTCCTAACCTAACCGTCGACGGATCATACAGGCAATAAATGCACACTTTATCGCCTCTCCTCCACGCGACACCGACTTAGACTCCGACTCCGAGCTCGATCCGCTGTACTACTCTAATACCCACGAACCCGGATCCCAGATGGCGGAAGCGAATGCGGGCACAACGACTCTTGTATGATATCAGATGGGATAGACGAAAATCACAAATGAACAGATGTGTTTGGTTGCGCCCGACGAGCCATGTCTGAAACAGCGACGCCACAGGGAAATATGTTATAATCATTAGGGACAAGGACAAACAAGGGCGTTGACGGGCGACGGCTTCACCTCTTCAAACTCAATCCCACTTGCGATCAAGCGATGCGATGCGACTGTCTCTTTTTACTCGACTGTCGGCCTGTTGGTCAATCAATGTCTGTGAAAAAAGGAACATGGGTCAGAGGAATAGATGAATTCTGTCTTCGAATCTTAGTCATGACTGGACCGGATTGTCGCCTGTTGGTCTCCGCGGATAACTGCCGTGTGGTCCAACGACAAACAGCTTTTAATTTGCACAAACACCAAGGCTACCAACATTCACCAACGGTCAAGCCACAGCGTTTCAAAGTGTTGGAGGTGTCTAACCGTGATGCATTCTGTTCCTCTCGTTGTTTCAATGTCTCATATCTACGGGTGTTAGGTTCAGCTCAAGGCTCATATGTCTCCCTGCTCACAACGACAGACCTTGTCTCAACCTCTAGCCGAGTTTACTTAACACCCACACTCTTTCTTCTTCCCTCGCCACGGAACCATCTCCCTAGACACTCACTCACATCCGCTCGTTACATCGCCCAGTCCAGCAGTCCAACAGTCCAAGATGATCCTGACCAGCCTCGTCGTTTGGCTAACATGCCTCTTCGCTGCCACATTCGCCCAACAACCCACTACCTGCATCAAGCCCCAACCCACCTCCCAAGCTTTCTTCGTCATGGGCTGCGGCAAGCCCATCACCGTCGACCGTCTCGACCCCATTGTCTCTCCCGGCCGCCCTTCTCAGCACCTCCACACAGTGATGGGCGGTTCTGCCTTCGACTTCGACTTGGACTACAACAAAACCCAGACTTCCAACCGAACGACCTGCGCCGTATCCAAGGACTTATCCAACTACTGGGTGCCCATCGTCTACTTCCACCATGCGAACGGCTCCTTTGAAGCCGTGGAGCAAGTAGGCGGCATCAACGTCTACTACCAAGAACGCATGGATTGGACCGATTACTGCGCCGGTCGCGAGTTACTCGCTTTCCCTCCCGGGTTCCGGATGATGGCAGGCGACACCACCCGCCGCGACTTCAACTCCTCCAAGGTCGAAGATCGCGCAATCGAGTTCATCTGCTTGTTGACGGACGGTCAGGAGGGTCTCCCTCCCTTTCACGATTTTCCCAACCGTACCTGCGACGGCGGCCTACAAATCCGCATCCGTTTCCCTTCGTGCTGGGACGGTGTTGGACTCGGCACTTTTTCTTCTTCCTCCAACTCCTCCGTCCCCGGTTATAACTCAACAGCAAGCGCCTACAACTCCTCCCACGTAACTTACCCATCCCGCCTCGACACCGGCGTCTGCCCCCCTACTCACTCCCACCGCATCCCCGCCCTGCTCTACGAAATGACATGGAACGTAGCTGCCTTTAACTCTTTCAGATCCATGGGAGAAAACCAACAGCCGTTTGTCTTCTCCAACGGCGACAAGACGGGGTACGGATACCATGCGGATTTCTTCAATGGGTGGGATGTGAATCTCTTGCAAAGGGCGTTGAGAGATCCGAGTTGTGGAAATGCAACGGGCGGAAGGATTGAACAATGTGGGACGTTCAAGGAGTATTTGCAGAGTAATGAGGTGCAGAATGAGATTGTGGGATTGGAGCAGAAAGTAAAAGGGGAGTGGAGGGGGGTGTTGGAGGGTGGGGAGTTGCCGGGGGGTGTGAGGGTTGAGTGAGTGGTGAGTGATGAACAGTGAGTGGTGGGTTGGTGAGGTGAAAGGGAGTTGAAGTGTTTAGTGCTGTCGTGATTTTGGCGAGGGATGTGGTGGGTGGGGGCGGCATTGACTGTTCGCTTGATATGAGTAAAGGATAGAAAGGAATGTCTAGATGATTGTGAGGATCAAAAGAAGGAATAAAAGGATGAATGAGCAGCGCATCGATCACTTTGTGCCGTCATGTCCTCTCCGTTTTGTCTCCTCTTTGAACGACGGAACCTGGGAATCAACGGCGGTGAAACGGTATTGGTTTGATGGGTGGCCGGGAGGATTTAAGAATATTGGGTGCTCCGTGGTCTCAGTTTTGAAAGTCGGTCATGAGGTACCTTCTGGGTTTAAAAGAACATAAATGTAAATGGGATCTAAGACTATCCTCAGGCATAAATGATTTACCGTGGTTTCTATCAGTTACATATTAAGACTTTTAGATACTATGTTCCCAACGGCATGAGCATCTGGAGCACTCTGAACAAGACTGGCGAGCCACCGAGCAAGAGATGTCCAGAGATTACAAGTCGTGGTCAACAACAGAAGGAGGAGAAAAACAAAACTACTGCATTGACTGTTGCATCGAGATCAAGTGGAACCCGCCACACTGCGAGCAGGTGACAGTCTCAACATAAGACGACAGGTATAGCAAACCAGGAGATTATAGCTCACTAGGTAGGTACCTATCTAGGTAATCAATTCCCAATTCCTTCATCGACCCAAAACGATGTCAAGAGGTAGCCAGACCTGCTGACCCTATTATTTCGCCATTCAAATGGAATTCCGGTCCGTTTCCACTAGAAAATTTGCCATACTCTCAAAAGTGACAGCGCAAGGAGGAATAAAGAGACCATGTGAAGTGAGTAATGAGTGATGAGAACGGATGAGGAAGTGACGAAGTGACTATCCTGGTCGAGAAAATGGGAAGCATGCACAAGCCTCGATTGGTGGAACCGAATGAGATGGTTACTTATCAGATATCCCGCAGGATTTGGCTCATGGGTGTTAGTGCGATAACACCCTGCACCTTTCGCACCGAGACTGACAAGTGGAAAGGCAACATTAGAATGCAAGAAACACCAACACAAAAACATAAGAGTACCAGGAATGTACCTCTATGTATGCAGAGGAGACGGGAAAAATGGATTATTCTCAAAAAGTGACGAAAGAAGACGCTCAATCAAGCCACCCAGTTTGAATCAAGCCATATTACAGACAAAGGAAAGAGTGCCGATAACTCCAACCCCGGCCGATAAAACCGATCCTCCGAAAGACCGAAATCCCGTTGTTTGCTTTTCCAACCAACATAATTAGGCAACCCTCCTTCCACTTCATCTCATCACAACTTGACCCCACCATCCCGCCCGTTAGGTTAGGTTGTCCGTGCCTCATCCTCTCCCACGCATTCAACTACTACCACAAGCCGACCTTCAAGTCCCGTCACCTACTCCTCCTCCCCCTCTTCCTCTTGCCTCCCTCGGTTCCTCAGACCTTAGCCTCAACCTCTAAGTCCCGAGAGAAAGAGCGCGGGCATACGGATAGGAAGGAGCAAACCGGCAGCACCAATGTCCACTTAGATTACCCCGCAGGAACTTTCCTCCACAGCCTCGAGCACGAGACAGACGCTGTTTCCCAACTGAAGCAGAATGATGGCAAGTGCAAGAAGTCTCCCCAAACTCACAACCGCTCATCCATCTCCATCCACAAGCAAGACCAGTACACCCCCGACAACTGGTTCCCATGATGTCCCGACCTCATCCGTACCGGCGAAAAGCACCCCATGGATGTCATTGATCTCCCCCGAAGACAACTTAAGGGCTACTACCACACTTGGGACAACATGCCGAAGCCCTCCTTCGTCACCGAGAAAGATAGCAGGTTTGCGGAGACTCTGTTCCACAATGATAGCACCGTCTGTCATGAAAACAACGTGACCTCAATTCGGTCTTCGCCAAGCCAGCCCAGGGCAAGACCATAGCTTTGACCGACGCTGAGCCGTATCGCGGGATTCACATACAATGGCGGTGATCGGGAGGTCCAGAGAGTCAAAGTCTCCCTCGACGGAGGTGACACCTGGCTCTACGCCACTCGCGAGTTCCCCGATTCACCCTTTCGACATGGAAACAGGTTCTTGGCTTGGATCCACTGGCACCTCGACGTCGACATTTCGCAGCTCCTCCGAGCCAAGAGCATCACAGTCCGCGCCTTGAATGCGTCCAAAATGACTTAGCCAGAGAAGCCAACATGGACTCTCCTGAGCATGATGAATGATTCCTGGTATATTGTTAAGCCCGAGATCGTTACGTCTAGAGGTCACGGGCCCGTCATATCCTCCCGTCATCCTACCGAGGCTGGCTTTGTCAACATCCACGATGACTTTCCTGGAAAAAGCTACATGGCATGTCGTTGTTCTTTGTCACCTGCATCCTCGAACTGATATTTTGTTAGTAGTACGGACTGACCGTCGTTGTGACTCGCAGAATGCATCCTCGGCCGCATTACCTGCAAGACCGCCAAATTTATCAGAGAGCCCAGAAGCAGCAGCGAAGGAGGAAGCAGAGCAATCCCGATTCCAGAATAATCTTGCCCTCCAGAAACGACGCTGAGTTCCCGTTAAGCTCATCAACAGACGCCAAGTCTCCCCTGATACAAACACATATACCTTCCAGCTTCCTGGAGGAAAGACTGTTCTCGGCCTAAAAACCTGCTAGCACCTCCAGATAGGCTTCCATCTCCGTGACCAGATGCTTATCCGGCAATAGACTCCCACACGACCACTCCTGTCAGCCCAAAGCATTCAGGGTCATGGTGACAAATCTTCGGGAAAACACAACCACAAGCCCCCCGAACATCATGTAGACACCGGTGCCCATCACCACCAAGACAAGCAGCATGCTTCTCGGCAATTCAAGGCCACGGGAGACTGAAGCAACCACTGTCCTTTGATGGACTGCCAGTCTGAAACAATTGACTTGACTGTGAAGACCTATTTCCCATCTCCTTTGCAGCCAGGCGGCGCACTATCCAGTATCCTTGACTGCCTTCCCCTGAGGTCTGAAGTGAAGATCCGTGAGCCAACAGGTGACATTATTTACCACGGATATGATCACTTCTCTATTGAGGGGCGCGAATGATACTTTGCTCGAGTGTCTCTCCTGCTGGGTGGGAGCGGTATTATGCCTGGCTACGCATTGGTGGCCAGAATTCTTATGACACCGGATGACCGGACAGAGCTCAGGGTTGTTGACGCAAACACAACAGAGCAGGACATCCTACTGAAACAGGAACTGGATGGCCTCGAGAAGAACAACGGCGGCAAGATGAAGATTTGCCATGTCTTAGGCCAGTATGGGGAAGGCTGGAAGAGCAAGAGGGGAAAGATGATGCAGGGGTTCTCGAGCGGAGCCTGTTCAAACTGCATGCAGCGCATAACAACGTAACACTGCTGTGTGGGCCGCCGGGGTCAATCCAGGGTGTTGTGCTGCCGGCGTTGATAGGTATGTCCCCGAGACCATTCACAGTGATTGGAAATTCTTTGTGGCTCGGTGATCCTTCATGTCCTTTATTGCGGCCCCGTTGAGCTTTTCGCTGACTACTTGAAGATGGGGGCTATTGAAGACCCAAAAAAAAGTTCGGGTTTTGAGCAATCACTGACCGGCCGCGAACAGTCCTCTTTGTGTGACTTTCGTCCCATCTGATCATGTCCGCTCAACACGGGTTGCATCTGGCTTTGGCCGATGACACGTCGCAGAAACTGTCTGTATTCTAGCCTGTCTGTGTGTGAATCCGCGCAGACTCTAACGTTTTCCCACTTGCTTGTTCACTGTGTGCGTTTGGGTTTCAGCCAGTTGTAATTCATACAATCCAAACACCTTGTTCGTGTATCTCAAGCTACTTCGCGCGACTAACAAGAAGACCATACTGTGACTGCTTGAATTCAAGTAGCCACCGTTAGCCCGAAAGCAACCGAAGCGACGAATCCCATCGAGAAGCTCAATGACCCCGGCGGCAACCCATGAAAAGGATCGATGCTACCCTCAAAGTTTGACCGCTCCAAGAAAGGAATGTAGGAGGGCAGAGGGCGAGAGGGGTAATTGGCGTCGAAATATCATGTTTACCTGACCGCTGCCACTTGAACACAGAATCTATCGAACCCAACCTCCTTCCTCTGTTGCCTATGCCGACTGAGCTCAAAAGCCAACGCAATTTCCGATCATGAGTTCCGCACTGAAGAGGAAGGCACAGTCACCTGTACCTGAGGCGAAGTCGCCAACCGTACAGTCGCCCAAAGGACAAGCTAAGTCGCCCACACCCGGTCCGGCATCGCCCACGCCTGGTCCGGCATCGACCACGCCCGGTCCCGTATCGCCGCCGCCGGCCCAATCTGACGAGCCGACCGAACTGTTGCCTGGCGCACATTGGGGCGAGCTGGTATGTAACTCCTATAGAAACACGAAGGCTCATGGATATTGTTCTCGATGTCCTTTGCTGACCTTATTTTTTACCGTACAGGATGTCCCTGACGACAACGATTCCACTCTAGGTGATAGTGATGTTGAGAGCTCAACGGCGTCGATCTCTTCTACTATTTTGCAATACCGTACGATCAAAGGCAGGACATATCACAACGATGCTGTGTCAGATAATGAGTATTGGTATGTCAGTTTTGGAAATAGTTTGGCCGGGAATCTCGCGGGGCATCAAAGCTAATCGCAGCCCTTTGATCTAGGGGCCCAAACGATGCGAAGGCGATGGAGGTCATGGATATTTACCATCACGCCATGACCCTGATACTTGATGAGAAGCTATACACAGCCCCGCTCTCCAAGGACATCAAGAACGCCCTGGATGTCGGCACCGGCACCGGTAAGGCTCACCCACCTCCTCGCCAGGGCTCACATCGCATTCTTCCCTTTTACGTACCACTCCTCCCTAACGAGTAAACTGCACGGATTGTGTAAGACGATACCTGTTGTACGTAACGGTTCGCTAATGGGGAACTTCACATAGGGCTCTGGGCAATGTAAGACCAAATTCAGGACTCATGATTTGTTGCCTGAGATGACTAACAGTGGCACCTGTAGCGATTTTGCGGATGAATTTCCCAACTGTACCGTGATTGGTACCGATATTTCGCCTATTCAGCCGAGCTGGGTTCCTCCTAACCTCCAGTTCAACATCGACGACGCGACTAGGGAATGGACATATCAACCCGACTTCTTCGATTACATCCATATCCGGTGGCTTTGCGGCACAATCAAGGATTGGACATCCTTGTACAAGGAAGCGTACAGGTGTCTTAAGCCGGGCGGCTGGATTGAGCATATGGATGGCGAAGTGAATATGAGATGCTTTGACGGAACTATGCCCAAGGAATCCGCTACCTATCAATGGGGACAGCTTTGGGGCGAAATTCAGCGGAAGACCGGAGTTATATTCCACATGGTCGAGTCCGGCTGCATGGAGAATGGAATTAAGGAAGCGGGCTTCACCAACATCCAAATCGAAGATTTCATGGTGAGTTGCATACAAATCTGCTGAAGCCATAAGGTGGCGATGAATCGAAGGAGGTGGTCAGTCAAAGGTGGAGATGCTTGGTACAGAGGACCTACACCTACCGACCAGACTGCAGTGTCAACACATTTTCTTGCTCGAAACCCACGAAGACTAACTTCTAGTCTCTAGACTCCGACTACCCCTTGGCCTACGGACGAAAAGGCAAGACAGATCGGTCTCTACCAAAGTGTAGCTTTGATGTCAGACGTTGAGGGCTTCCTCACCTACTTTTTTGGCCAGGTTATGGGGTGGGCTGACAACGAGATGGCAAATTTTGCCGCTAGTCTTCGCCGGGAGTACAAGGAGTGCAAGATCCATGCGCACCTCGTTTGGCGCGTAGTTCGTGCCCAGAAGCCGTTGGACGCCTGAAATCACAAGTGTAGACAACGGTGGTAGGGCAGGTGGACGCGTGTTGCGCATGATGAAAGTGGCAGGGAACATGGGGATGGGGAATGCACGTATCTGCTTCTTTGTGCGAGGTCTTCAATAGTGTGTATCACTGTCTTTATCACGATCGTCGTCAAGCGTCATGGGTCCCTTTTTGTGGTTTGTCCGGAGTTTGGTCCGGTTCAAATGTTTGATGAACAAGGTTGACTGCTGTTTCCTTCAGCCTTACCCGTGCCAAACTTCCGATACCCGACATCATTGTCGATGTTGCGCCCCATCAAAGCGTAAGCATACTCACTACTTTTTTGCCCTTGTGGTTTGTGGAGTCATGTGGCATGGCCGGACAGGTGTTAATGGCTGAAAAGAGGGGTTGACAGCCACTGCCGGCCGAAGAAAGCAATGGTTTGGACAAAGCGCCACGCGACCACAGATTGGACCGATGGTACAGTACCCCCTCCTGCCCCTGCCGTATGTGAATCAGCTCACAGAGCTTTATGGGCTTGAATTTTCTCGGACTTCTTCCTCTTCGCTTGCATCTTCAATCGGCAACCCACGTCTCCAGTCCCTCGCTTTGCCTGACAATTGTTTTCAATATTGTACAAGCCACATACCCCAGGGGTAGCTGCCATTGGCTGTACCGCATTCCACTTGCCCTGACCTAGAAGCGTTTGCCAAGGTCTGCCGGGGTTACATGTAGTCCCGCAGCATGACTTGTCGATGAGGTGGCATGGGATGTTGGTAGCCAATTGTGAATTGCCTGTTGTGGAACACCCCGTATATTTCTTCGACAGCCCCCGCGACGATATTCTGTCTGTGGCTCAGGCCATCTAGAGGATTGAGGTTACCTTCACGCTTGTTGACCGCTCCTCGAAGTCGGACACAGAAGGGACTGGGGCCACCATGGACTCAGCGATGGGGCAACCGTTTGTATATCTACCGGATCGTCGTCACTGGAAGGACGAATAACGACGCACAATCGAGTTTCCTCCATTGCTCGAACTTTGAACATCGAACCAAATACAGTCTCTAGCCATGAGTTCTCCTACCAACAAGGCGCAATCACCTGAATCGGAAGCGATATTGCCAAGCGGAAAGGAAAGGTCGCCTACTCCTGGTCCCGCGGATGAACCCTCAGAGCCCTCAGAACCCGTTGGCCTCTTGGCTGGCTCACATTGGGCGGAACAGGTTCGTGGATTCCACACAAGTTTTCGTCTGGTATCCACCAGAGTTTGAGGCCGCTTGATAGGCACCTAAGTACTAACAAGAATTGTCTCCCTCGTACAGGAACACCCGGTTGATGATGATGCCGACTCAGCGCTGGGTAGCGATGTCGCGAGTTCAACAGCCTCACTCAGCTCCAGCATCCTAAAATATCGTACGATTCAGGGCCGTACGTACCACAGCGATGCTGTAACTGATCAAGAATATTGGTTTGTTTGATCCAAAAGCAGTAAAAGTATGAGATAACATGTGAGGCTAATGATTGTTTCGCAACAACAGGGGTCCAAATGATGAGATCGCCAATGAGATGCTGGATATCTTCCACCATTTCATGACTCTGTTCTTGGACGGAAAGCTGTATACGGCTCCCCTCAAGGATAACATTCAGAATGCACTTGATGTCTGCACTGGTACCGGTAAGTTCATGAAACACAAACATGGAATGGACGGAACATGCACCCTTGTGCCCACCTGCAAGTCGACATTGCAGTCAGGCGAAAAGGGTTCCAAACTAATCACCACATTTATCCTTTTTAGGACTTTGGGCAATTGACTTTGCCGATGAACATCCCAATTGTAATGTATACGGCACCGACATTTCACCAATTCAACCCAACTGGGTACCTCCCAACCTCCGGTTCGACATCGAGGACGTAACCAAACCCTGGACCTACCAGGAGAATTTCTTCGATTACGTCCACATTCGCTGGCTTACCGCCGTAGTCAAGGACTGGCCCGCTCTATATAGAGAAGTATATAAGTGTATGAAACCAGGTGGCTGGCTCGAACACATCGACGCCGAGGTCAACCTGGTCTGTCTGGATGACACGATGCCTCCCGATACCGCCATGTACCAATGGGGCCAAATTTGGTCTGAGATTGGTAGAAAGACGGGCCTGGTCGTGAACATGGTGGATTCGGGCTGTATGGATGCTGGGATTAGGGAAGCTGGCTTTACTAACATTGAGGTGGAGGACCTGCTTGCCCCTGTCTCGCCGTGGCCCGCGGATAAAAGGCAAAAGGAAATCGGCCTTTTCAACTGCGCGTTCCTAACGCAGGATATTGAGGGCTTTCTGACGTACTTTTGCCCGACGGTGTTGGGCTGGACGGAGAAAGAGACGTTGATCTATGCTGCGATTCTGCGGAGGGAGTACAAGGAGTGTAGAGTCCACGCAAACTTCAAATGGCGCTTAGTTCGGGCCCAGAAGCCGCTGGATGGTTGAAGGGTACTGACAGTTTGTAAGGGGTATATTCAGTGGATCGTCGTAGACCATGTGGTTAAGAGATCCTCATATACACTTCCATGTCTATTGTCTCCGGGGAAAGCGTCCAGACGGACGTGAAGACGCGGATGTTTTCCTTTTTTTGAACAGGATCTGCATTAACGTCAACGGTCCCTGAATCTCACCCCTCCCCCCCCTCCCTTTCGCTTGATGAACGAGGTCCACCATTCATTGCTTCTTCAGCCTTACCCGCTGTGCCACTTACACGGCACACGTGTAGATTACGTACATACTACCTTCGGTACCGTATTCTAGAATACCTCTACCCAATTGACATCCACTCAGAAGTCAGAACCGTGCCGTGCCGCTCGGCAAAGCTCAACCACCGCAACTCCTTTACGTCGCCCCGCTTCCACTTTCGTCACATATCATTTTTTTTTTTTTTTTTTGAAATACTTCTAAGTACCTCTACGATCTCATTCGCGACCTGACGGAGCTAGACAGAGTTCCTTACGGGTCCACTTACTGAATTACATACATACCTGTCGTTTGCTGGGACAAGAGGCTATGTTTTCTAAAGGTTAAACTTGGTATGTCATGCATTGATAATTTCCCGTTTCTGATAGTATGTATGTGCATTATATAATAATGCCCTCCAACTACTAACTACCCCAACCCACGTTGTCTCTCGCTTGCATGTATCTTGGGAGGCATCGATGTGAAACACTTCCAATCCCGTGCCTCAAGGTACATAGGAGAGAGGGCGATTGGTAGCTAATAGGTAGGTACCTCTAGGTAGGTAGGGAGGTAGGTTAGTGAGAGAAACGCACCATCTTCATCAACTCCACGGCGGGTACACGTAGGTGGGTATCAAACGTTCGGAGCATTCAAGTTGGCTAAGCGGACGATAGGTAGGGTGGTAACAGTCACCGCGAACGCACCCAAATGACCTTGGCAGAGGGGCTAGGTAAGTTGTTGTTTGTGAAGCCATCGATAAGATGACAGACAGGTGCCTCCCGAGCTTTGTCCACCAAACGTGCACCTCGGCAATTACTTTCGGTATGCAAAGAACCACCTGCAAGTTGATGTACCATGTACGTTCACCGCTCTTGCCGTTCGTCATCCGAACTGTCGTGAAGGCAGAAAATGCGTGTCGTCATGAAGGCGGCTGATGAGGTCGGCGAGGGACGAGTGGAACAGAATTAGTTCGTTCTTTTAAGTCGGCCAGAAAATGATACACCTATCAGTCAATTTGGACGGCCCGTTTATATTCGAAAGCATGAGGGCATTCACACTTGGACCCGAACAGTACATCCAAGCATTTGACGATCGACAATCTTACTCGCTTCTTTGCCAATGAAGTTTTGGTTATTGGGCTCGAACGTCGTCTCATGGAGGCTGGACTGGTCTAGATCAGAAACCCGCTACGTACGACCACTCCACTCCTCTTCAAGCACGCCAGCACCCAACAACCACTCACTTTTGTTAGAGCTGCGCGGGAGCTGAACCAGACCGAGTTGCGAGCACGTACGTGGTGAGCAGACTAGGTTGCCTTCGCAGGCTAGCCGAAAAGACTGCAGGACTTCCCCAGCCAGTGACTTCTATCTACCTACCTATCTTATCGGCGCATGGCATGGAGCTCCAGCACCCTCAGAGTTCAATGCCGAAATCAATGCCTGCATTCGGTACCGGACTTCCAGGCTCCAGCTCAAACTCGGATGATCAGTTACCTCTCTCTACCTAAAGTACGTATAGGTATTTACCGTCTGTCGCCAGTCGAGGGAACACATTTTTTTTTTTTTTTTTTTCCAAAATTCGCAAGAGCGGAGGCAGGCACAGCACGCGACGCCCTGGATGGCATCGACTTGAGTCTCAATGTCATCGCCGACTTGACTACTCCGTCTCATGCTTTTACACCGGGAAAGTAAAATTTCGACGACGGAGCTGCCAATGACATGACGTCTGGTTTTGGAAAGGTTTTCCGGACATTTGCGTCTCCATGTCCCCCTGATCAAAGAGACGTGGAAGACTTTACTCTCCAGTCTCCTGAGCGAGACCGGCTTGGTTGAGTTTCAAAAGGAAGCTGAGAAGAACCAGCGGGATGAACGGGCTTGCGAAGGATGTCGCGTCACACAGTTCCGCAGACTTGGAGAGTAACTCCACGAAATTGTAGGCAATCCATGGAACCCGGAATGATTTTTCGCATATTTCTTTTTCCTCATTCTCTCCCGCTACATACACTGGTCGGATATGGTTTTTCTTGCTCGGGCTATCGCGGTACTTATCCTTCTCTGCCCTCTGAAGCATGTTATTCATGGTACTCTCGTCCTTCCCCATTTCCAGGTATTTTCCGAGTCCTCCCAAGCCATCAGGTGTCTGTTCGGGAAGGCTTTAGGTTTCAGATGTCCACCATGTATATGTGTGTACATGGTTGTTGTCCGAGGCAGAGGGTACTTGAATGATTTTGTGCACCTAGACTTTGATGTTCGGCAGGAAGGACGTCGAGAATTGTGCCTTGCACTCTCGGACGTTAACGTCAAAATGCAGCTGGCGCAATGTTTGCACAACAGAACTCAAACACCGTATCATCACCACAATCAATTAAAAATGGTTCTTTTGCTTGTTCATCATCACATGTGATTACTATTACATCTATATGCTTGCATCTTCCATCGTTGATATCAAAGCATCCTGTTCATTCCCATCCAATCCGATATCCAGATCAACCGACCTTCCTCCATAAGTTCCTCTCCAAATCCTGTCCAGGACATCACCGGTGGGTATCTTGCCCTCCAGCCTACCGGGCAT